ATATTGGGGGTATCTCTTTCCATGACATCATGAAATCTAGGTATTTCTTCTCTTTCGTGTATTGCTTTATTTGTTTGTTTCAATTGACCCAAAACCTCTTCCATCTTTCCTCTTCCACAATTGGTTTCGTTATAATTTGTTGATATCAATTTGGCTCATAATTTTAGCCAACAGCCCGATGTGAAAGCAGGCAATTATTCGTCGCTCTCCGCACCTACACACCAAGGATGCTCTATCACTTGCTCGATCGTTAATCTCGAATCAACGTCCCGATTTAGCATACCTCGGATGAGGTCGATACTTTCTTCGCTCATGACATAAGGTACCCTAAGATCACGATCCATGATCTCGTCGATACTATAAAATGGATTTTCTTTGTACACGATGGTGTAAAGAAGAATACCAAGAGCCCAAACATCTTGTTGCTTGCCTCGATATGGTTTGCCAGAGAGAACTTCGGGTGCAGCATAATCTGTGATGAAATTAGTCATAATCTTAACCATGTGAGTGTAGCGAATTTACCAATCGTTCCAACGAAGACGTCAAAGGGACCGCTTTTGATGTAAGCAGCACTTCCGAAATCAATGAGCTTGATATTTCCTTCGCCATTTATGACTATGTTCTCATCCTTAATATCGCGATGTACGACAAGGGCCTTGGTATGAAGATGATGGACAGCATGAGCAACCTGTACGAAGATGCTGCGACATTCCTTCTCCTCCATGTTGACGCGGAGCTCGATATAATCGAATAAATCCATTCCTGGATATCCGTGTGGTACCATTTCGATATAGTAATTAACGGAATCCTCAAAGAAATCTGACATCTCCACGATATTGGGGTGCTGAAGACCGTCCCGACGCAAATAATCGAGAACGTGAATCTCCAGTGGCACAGTTCCCAGCCGACGATCGCGAGTCCAAGTATCAACGAGAATGCGTTTTTTCGTGACATACTTGAGGATCACCTTGTTATTACCGCTCTTCTTATATCGAGCAAGTTTTACCTGACCATAAGCTCCCTGGCCCATTTCTTCCAGTATTGCAAAGTCATCAATGCACTTCTTGACAACGGGCTTAACCGATTCCGAGACAGCTGGCTTCGCTTTCTCTTGTGCTTTTGACGAAGACCGATCGCGACCCGTAAGCTTAGCTGCTGTCTTCTTTGCTGCGACCTTGAGCTGTGCTGTGAGCATAGACACGTGCGATGCTTCATTCTTGGGCTCATCGGAATCCGACGAAGAGTCCATTTTCATGGGAGCTGGAGGTCCTGTTTGACCTGGAGAAGGTTGATGCAATGGGGTTTCAAGTCCGGATGGTAAAGGAGTTGTCATGCCATTAGCGTGTTTTGCGGCATGAATATTTCTTGAGTATGTGATCCACAAAGCGTAGACGAGTTCGGTTTGTATGGCAGGCTTGCAGGTCGTCGGTCCATCTTCTTCGTCACTTCTTTCTTCTATGACGTTCTCATCGTAGACGGACGTTTTGGGATCCGACTTAACGACCCTAAGTTGAGCATCGATCTTGATCTCCGATCCATCTCTATGTCTGGCTGATAATCCATCTGGCCTCAAAAAGTATGTCGATGCATCGGCCTTTCCATTCCGTAGTGCAAGGAAAGCTTGAGCCCGCCTGAAACTATGTTCAGGGATAACAATCCCGTCGACCATCTCCACACCATCTTCTTCCGTGAGAATCTTCAGCATTCTATCGAAATCGGGTATCAAGTCAGTAATCAGTCGACCGTCAGGTTTATCCTGCCCGAACAACGCGGCGGAGAAGACGGAATTAGAACTCGTGATCTTTAAGGTTTGCGCAGACAAAACCATGATACCGGCAATATGAGGAAAGCTGGAAACGCGAAGATCCGTGCCACCAGGGACTCTATCGACGACTGCGGGAATATTCACATATCCAGAAGTACGAGCCGTAAAATATCTACGTTTACTGACTTCGGCGTAATCGATTTCTCCACTTCTGCCGTCAATTCCTTGTCGCGAGAGTCTTGGTAGAAGTTTCCCAATATCCATGCCCGTCCAAGTAACGGCATCTCCCCAAATCGCATCGATGGATCCAGAGGTATTCATAATGGCAGCATCGTCGTCCAGGCCAATGATTGCCACATCTTCGTGGATCTCTTCCAAAACCCAAATGAGGCCACCTCTCTTCTCCTTCACCCACAAGCTTGCCGAGCCTGTTGCGCCGTTTCGTTTTTCAATGGGTACCACGTCACCGCATAAAAGAACACCTCTAGACTTATTACTTTGATGATTCAGGCCACCTTTCACTGCTCGTGTCCTCGAAACAAGACTCGAGCCCGCACCATCATCGGTTTGTGCTCGACGGCTGGGTTTCTGTACTTGACGCGAATTAGGTTTACTCAGAAGGCTAGCCGTGATACCACCAGGCCGACCAAGCAGCGTTGATGCTGCAAGCCCTGGTCAGTATACTAGCAATGAAATAGCGGTGATTAATCATGTGATTTTGAATAAATTCAACACTTACTAGTTATCATTGGGCTTGGTTGCTGAATTTGGCTCGTTGGTGTTTGAGGAGTTTGTTTTCCAACCCTGTAAGAAGATATTCAATATCGAATGCTCCAAAAAATCAGGAAAACAAATGTTCACTTACTCGGATCCGAATCTGTGCGTGCTTAGTTTGTCCTCTAACCATGCCCGTCTTTCTTTTTGTACAACTTCAAGGATGCCCATCTTGCGAACTTCTGCTTTTGTAACACCAAATACCAGACAGGCGAGATCGTTGGCAGCTAGAATGGTATATGGTGAAGTGCTTTCGGTAGTGAAAATTGCTTGCGCAGCAGGTGTCCACCTGCTCGAATGACTGTGATTAACTGGGCCCAATGAATGAGGTCCGAAAGTTGAAGCGCTGGCGGTTCGTGGAATTGAAGGAGAAAACATGGATTCATGAAGGGAATCGGTAGCTATGTAGGGAAGGGACATGGCGTCCATTAGTTTATTCTGGAGGTTCAGAGGTTCCAGATCAGTAAAGGTCCTCTTTAGACTTGGCCGTCTAGTGATTGGCGGGGACGTTTTCGCCGTCGTCCTACTCTCATTGGTGGGAGTCCTGGATGAAAGTTCAGAATCAGCTGGTAAAGCTGATACTATGCCATTCTGGGGTTCGACAGACTGAAAATCATTTTCGCATGAGATGAGTGATGACGATGGTACTTTTTCAGCGTTTGTGGGCGAAGGCGGAGCACTTTCCATCTGCTCTGGACTCTCGGAACGCATGGCAAAGCTAGTATCGAAAACATTTCGAGAGTCTTGAGCACTTGCCGGCCCGGTAAGGGCCCCTCCCCTCCCTTGATCTTGCCCAGTCCCAATATTCTTCGCTCCAACCAACTTAGCTTTCGCCAGAAGCTCGAGCATGGCTTGCATCTCCGCGTCCCCGCTAACTCTGGCTTGTGCACTGGCCAATCCCGCATTTGTTGTTCCCCAGCCCAGCTTTTGTGACATAAACTCGACGGACCTCTTCAGGACATTTTGACGATTGTGAATGAATTCATCCGATTGGTGGGCGAACGAGAAGGAATGTAATGACTCAGATGGAAAACGTGTGAGATCTTCGGTGAAGGGCAGAGTTGGAGAGGATGGCCCAGACGGCATCGCTACAGAGCCTGTTCGACTAGGAAAGGGAAGGGTCATTGACGTCGATCGAGCACCTATAGATGCAGCTCTGGAAGAGCTCTCGGAAGATGGTAGAGTTGGTGCCCGAGGAAGTTGTTGTCGAATTCGTCTTAGACCCGAAGCACCGAGCCCATGCTCATGTTCCGTCACGATGGGTGATCTAGTACTGTAGAAGTAGTCTGTCAGTCATCAATGTCTCCATAATGAAGCTAGTCATTTTCAGACAACCGTGAAATGATTTCGCCTCATGACCTCAAAAAAAAACATGTTTCTCTTGCACCGTTCACCAAAAACTAACCTCGACATTGTGTCAAACTCTGCCGCCGCCAGCCCTTCGTCAAAGGAAAATCGTATTCTGGATCTATCCGTTCCTGTTGAAGCATGTATGAGAAGGTTTCCGGTACTTCTGTTTTTCGGTATTGACAAGTTTGAGGGGCGAAGGGGTGAACTGCGGTCGTGATCGGGTTCCCTAGCTGTTGTGTTCTCGAAGGCTGAACGGCATTTCCATTAGTTTTCCTAACTATTACAGTATGGAAGGAAAATGAGAAAAGATGAGTAAGGTACGACTGGCCACCCACACGATGACGAAGTTCTACCGTTGGGCGGAATTTATGCGCCGATCAAAGAGAACTCCGGACAAGGAATTTTGAAACTGGTTGGTATCACTAATATTAAGAAATAATAAAAACAAACCATGATTATTTGGAGTATCCGTCTTCAGCATAATTGTGAAAACCTTTTTATATGTATATTCAAAAGCTCTCTGTAGCCCTTTAGGAAGCCAGAGTATTTGATGGTTGGTTTGGCGGTTACAGGTAGAAAGTAGGTAAGTAAGTAGTATCAGTTGACGGCAACCTCCAGATCCAGCTGCTTGTTATGTGTAACAAATGTTGCTTTTATTCTGATTCTGATGACTTAAGAAAGCCTTATATCTGTTGAGCTCCTGTCAAATATCCAAATATGTATCCTCGAAGGGATTCGTGAGTTAGAAACTCGAAAGACGCTGATTTATGATAGAAAAATTGAGAAAAACGAAATTTGAGAGAGAGTGGTACTGAAAAGGTGGGGTCGAAAGGTAAGTATTTATTTATGTAAGTCTTACAAGGCTTGATTGGCCCTTGATACTTGTTATACTCGAGTTACTGGTTATGTATCTGATAATATATAACTTGTAGACAAGATAAAAATGAAATAAATGTTATTAAGAGAGTATTTGTTAAGATGAGTAACAATGAATGTATTGATATTCGGAAGGGGTATATAACCGGTGCGTTACTTTGCTTTGCTTTGCTTTGCTTATGGCTGATGGATCATGCAAGTGAATGAATCAGTTTGTTAGGATGTTTCCAGCTTCTCACGTGAATACATACCTAGTAGTGTTTTGGGTGGAGTTCAGCACAACCGTTTTAATATGGGGAGCTGATATAAAAGTAATCAATCCATTTCCAGGGCTGATACAGTTTCAATATTTTACCTTTAACGCAATAACCACCCTCAAAGAAGATTATCAATGATAGCTTGTTCAAGAGATGGAAAAGCTTTATATATTCTTATAGAACAATTGAACGAACATCGAAGGAGATATTCAGATTAAAGTTCTCCTCTCGAAACAAACTCACTTTGATCTCATTTTTTGACTTTTTTCTTTTTGCAGTAAAGCAAGGGCTTGCAGTAGGGTGGCTTGCGTGGTTACATATATGATACTGCCAATAAAATGCTTACAATGATCTCCATCGTTTCTCTCCTTCATTCCTTTTCAACCTTTCAACCAAACACAACTGTCTTCGATACATGGACTTACTTCTCCAACTTTCACTCCTAGTGCTTTAAAGAATCGATCCAAGATGGCACGCAGGATCGTGACACAGCATATCCTAGCCGGGGGTCGGATCTTTCGAACCGCGATCCGCCGATAACGCCCCAATCGTCAACTTTGCCACACAATTCGTCTCTTGAGTAACCACTGATGGCATTCGCGTAACCCCCCCTTCATGAGGCCAATGTCGTCGCAATGGCTCACCAACAGCTGTGCGTCGTAGATGTCCAAGTTCCTTGTGCATGGTTGCTTTTTTGAATTTGTTGCCAAGGTAATTTTGTCGTTTTGGCGGTTTCGATATTTAATTGGGGTCGACGATCTTTCGATTATGGAGTAGATGCAGTAAAAAGTACCTAGAGTAGTACTGGCAATCATCTTCTACACGAAGGAGGCGTGTAGCAGTGAAAGTACGGTTATGATTTCATTTTCACCCTCAGCGGTTATTCTCCTAGAGATCCGTAAGAGAAGAGATTGTTACCCGAAATATCACGGAAAATGATTTTTCCAATTGGCTAATTCGAGACGACAGACCCGACTATAAAAATGAAAGGTCCCTCTCTCTCTATCAGGCTAAACTTCTTCAATTCATCCAAGCTTCATTATTCACGCAGGTTCTCGCCGCAATTGCTGTACAACATCATGCTATCCTACGGCATTCAGTTATCAAAAGGAAAAATAAAAATATGTCATTGAATAACCTTTCTAAGCTTGGCAAATACAAGTACGGAGTAGAGAGAGAGAGTATAGTTATGGAGGTTCTTTAATTCTCCAAAGTTGGGTTGTACACTACTCGGGATTCGGGAAGGATTACGGGTAATGATGGATCTCCAACTTCAAGATTTAGTTTAAGGATCAAAGTCAAAATATTGCATGAACTGCTGACACCGAACATGACTTGATCATACCTATCTTCTATAAAGAAATTATATCAGCAGCTGAATCTTACAGAACCTGTTCATACTCGGTATACCTACCCATTCATATACATACCGCAGCAAAATCTTATCCACTTTTTCGACGATCAGCCTGGCTCAGCCACGAAGCCAAACCGTTTTAGTAGTAATAATTAATACTAAAAGATCCTCAACCCCACGATTCATGAGCTACTACCCGTACTGTACGGAGTAGTGCGGCCTAGTCTGGTGTTTTGATTCGGTGGGTTTGACGGGTTTGACTCGATGTCTCGATGTCAGTACGGAGTGAGAGGCGGGGGAAGAGGGGGCGGAAGGGTTTGGGGGGGGGAGGAGGGGGAGGGGGGTTCCAGTTTATTAATCCTATGGATAAATTTATATGGCCATTTTCATATACGTGTAGCCATTTTCATACGAGTTATATGTAGTCTGGTACTCGAGTACTACAGATTGAAATCAATTTCTAAACACACTTGTAAAAGAAATAAAGGTTACTTTATTTGACTTTTACTTTTCGGGGAAATACATTTATTTATTTGTTTATTTGCATGTTTGTGTTTGTGTTTGTGTTTGTGTTTATGTTTATGTTTATGTTTCTATTTGTGCTTGGTGGCTATCGTGGTTCCTTACAGCTTCGTGCTGCATAGTACTAAAATAATAATGGGACTTAGTAGTAGCTGTACTCGAGTACTAAAAGAGTAGCCATACAGCCATACTAAATGTGTAATAAAAGTCTGTTTTATTCCTTATCAAAAATCACTCACCACGCTCAGATTCTTTAAATCTTCCATTACATTGCTTAACCTTCCCTTCATCCTTCATCCTTCATCCTTCATACTTCATACTTCATCCTTTCTTATCAAAATCTTGTCGCATGCTTGAGATTTGAGCATCTGAGCCATCTGACGACTGACCCCTTCTGGTTGAATCACGAAACTTGTTCATGTGCAAAGCCTTACTTGAGCCGATAAGGGTCAATTGCGATAAGGAAGAACTCTCATCAAGTTGAAAATAATAAAGGAAATAGATCGATTTGCATATATTTTACAATCGATACTCGAGTATATAAGATAAGATATAAGATATACCTGAGCCTTGTTTATATTGATTTTGGTCAGCTCGGCTTCAAAGACATTAGTGAATCGAAATCAACAACCCCGCACTTTGTTCGATATTCATTTGTCCTTATCTATATCTCGGTCAACTTGCCTCGATTCTAAAACTAAATATCAAACCTTTAAACAAAGGGTTCAGTTATGGCAGCCGACACAATCAGTGGCATGGCAGAGTTTTCAACTCCAGTCGAAAGTCCAGTACTGGTCATGAATGATGGAAGACCTGTGAAGTCCAAAGGTAAATGGCTTCAAAGGATATCTTCTTCACCCACACTTGCACAGTTTAGCCGGAAACGAGCGAAAAGTAGTCCATATGGGAGCAGGTCTACACTTTCGTGTATAAGTTTCGCTCCCCCGTTGACCAACAACTCTCCAACTCCGGAGGAAATCCTCGCTACTCGTTTAACAGAAGGAGGCTCTTCTACAGCGCCAACCTCCGGGCCAACTTCAGAGCCGTTCTCGATGCCAGTCACTCCAGGTCTTGATACTCCATACTATGATCCAGCATATCGTCATGTTGCTATAAGACGCATCGAGGACGAAGCTATGGCTGGTCTATCAACTCTTTCGCGGGATGTAAAACAACTGTCCATCGCGGAAGCGAAGAGGCCTGCGTCTGCATCTGCGGTTCCAGACATCGTCGAGGATTATTTTACACTATCGAGGATATCGAAACCTAAACTCTCCAAACATGATAACTTCAAATTCTGGGAAGACATGCCGCATGAGATCAAGTTGCACATTTTTGCATTCCTCAAGCCGAAGGAATTGGTACGAGCTTCCAATGCTTGTCAAGACTTTCATAAAACTTGTTTCGATGGACAGCTCTGGACATGCTTCGATGCTTCGGAATTCTATGCCGACATACCCGCCGAGTCTTTGGCAAAGATTATTGTATCGGCCGGTCCTTTTATCAAAGATTTGAACCTTCGGGGTTGTGTACAGATCGAGCATTATAAGCGGGCAGAAGTGGTGGTGAAGGCATGCAAGAATCTTATAAATGCGACTCTTGAAGGATGTCGAAATTTCCAGAAAGCAACACTACACAATCTCCTGAAAAGTAACGGAAGATTGGCCAACCTCAATCTTACCGGATTATCAGTCGTCACAAACGCAACATGCAAGATCATAGCCCAATCCTGCCCACATCTCGAGATGTTCAATGTTTCATGGTGCACTCATATGGATGCTTTTGGTTTACAATTAGTCATTGAAGGCTGCCCAAAGTTGAAGGATCTCCGTGCTGGAGAAGTCAGAGGCCTCGATAATGAGGATCTGGCACAACAAATCTTTGAGACCAATCGACTCGAGCGACTTGTTCTAAACGGTTGTAAAGAAATTACTGATAACATCCTCAAAATCATGATCCATGGTGAGAACCCAGAGCTTGACGCTTTTACCGACGCACCAATGGTCCCGCAACGAAGACTTCGACATTTGGATTTGGGCCGCTGTCACAAATTAACTAGCGTGGGAGTGAAATCACTTGCCCATTTATGTCCGGATTTGGAAGGTCTGCAATTGAGCGGATGCCTTGCCTTGACAGACAGCGCACTTGAGGGCGTCCTAGCTACTACCCCACGGCTAACCCATCTAGACCTGGATGATCTCAATGAACTCACAAATACTTTACTATCCGATCATCTCGCTAAAGCTCCTTGCGCCCCTGTCCTCCAGCATCTTTCTATCAGCTTCTGCGAGAACCTAGGTGATACGGGCATGCTCCCTGTTATTCGCGCTTGCACTGGTCTTCAGAACATCGATATGGACAACACGAAAATCAGCGATCTAGTTCTCATCGAAGCGGCGACCACGGTTCGTCATCGATCCTCACGTACGACAAATTTACAATCACATCCACGCATCGGTCTTCGCTTGGTGGTGTTCGATTGCTCAAATATCACATGCACTGGAGTCCGCGAAGTACTATCCCGAAACTCGGAAGTAACGAAGCCAGGCGATGGTAGTTACCATAGACGGACATTCCCTACTGAAATTATCGCGCTCAAATGCTTTTATGGTTGGCAATTGACAGTAGATGAACATACGAAGAGAGTGCTGAGGGGAGATCTTCCTGCAGCAGGAAGATTGGAGAGGAAGTGGGCGGAATACATGATGGCCAATGAGGAGGCGGGTGCGGGTGGTGCAGGTATTAGAAGAAGGAGAAGAAGGGCGAGAGAAGCTCAGATGATGCATGCCGATGAGGAGGAGGGTGGAGTGGCTTTGGGTGGGGTGGGAAGAAGAAGGAGGGCGAGGAGTAGTGCGTGCGGTATCATGTGAATATGGATAAATATGGAGTGTAAGTATACCAAACGAGAGATGGCACATATGATGGGATATGAATCGACAGTCAACAGGATAAGAGCATTGTTGCTCGGGATCAGGAGCCTATGAGAAATTTTGGCAGATGAAGCGGGCTTTCATCACGGGATTTAGGTGGTTAGCTGGCTGGTTGGCTGGCTGGCCAAAGGCGATCGGATTGGGGGTTTGGATTGGGAGTCACTGTTTTTGAGGGGGAGAGGAGGGGTGTTATCGCTTCACTTTACTATCGTAGCATGGCTTTTAGGGTTTATTTACTTTACTCATTTGAGATGAGATGAGACGAGATGAGATACTAGAGAATGCTTTGACGGAATGGAATGGAATGGGATGGGATGGGATGATATGGTTATGGTTACTTTCTTTGTGTTTAGTCATGGAGTGGTGCGATGTCTAGGATGTAGGATGGGCTAGATTTATTGGAGATGATATGATATGAGATGATATGATGTAGCTTCAGATGAGATGAGATGAAATGAGATGAAATAATATCAGACGAGATGTTATTACATACTCGTAAAATGATATGATATAGATCAATAGGAATGCACATTTTTTGTACATTCGTTATATTCATTATATTCTCTAATACACTTGATTTGGTGACATGTTGAATAGCTGACCTCTGCCTGATCAACCACTTTAGAGAGAGGTACTGTCTATACTGCACTATACTATACTATACCGAAAATCTATAGATTTCTCCGGAGGGAAATAGGTGAGTGGATAGATAAACGAAGAACTGAAAATATCCACCCTACATACGACACCACTACACCACTACACCACTACCCCCACCACTCAACCCAAAAGCCCCAACTCCTGCGCCAGCGCCCAAAACTTATGTTGACCCTCCACGCCCTTATCATCCACGCCGATCGGCCCCCCGGTATCCACAATTGCATTATCGACCAACTCCTTTGCGACATCCCACTCATTATTTTCAATCAGGGCTAATAACAGAACCCTCATTGTATTCCAGCTCGTAAACTGTTTTGATTTCTGGACCTTGCGCAGATAATTGATGGCGGACGCGGTATCGCCTGCTCTTGCATATCCTTCGATGAGGCGATCCCAGAAAATGTGGTCCACGGAGCCGACGGTCAGGTGGGCGCGTTCGATGAGGATGGTTGCTGCTTCGAAATTAGGCGGGGTTTGCGCAAAGTAGTATTCGAGGAGGATGGTGTAGATGTAGGTTGAGGGCTTGAGACCTTGTTGCGCCATTCGTTCCATGACCTCTGAGACCGGACTGGTATCAGTGGGGACCCCTTGCAACAGTAAGCCTATAACCTTTGCATATAGGAACATGTTTGGCGTTATATTCATTTCTTGCATGGCTATAAATGTGTGATTGACTGCCTCGATTTGTTCTTGGGGACTCATTGTGTCTATATTGGCGAAGGTCTGATCTAGAATAGTGACGAACGTTGCGGCATCTGCTTGAACGCCCTGATCTTCCATGGTAGTCAGAAGGCCCGGAGTTTTATCTACATGGCCAGCACGGACGATTGACCGTAGAAGGGTATTGTATGTTTGAACGTCAGGGATGATGCCCCATTGATCTGCCCAGGCAAGGATGCGATTAGCTGCTCCTAATTCTTGCATCTTTATGAGACCAGAAACCGCTGCATTGATAGTTGCAATAGTAGGCCTCACAGCTCCCGTGACATCTTTTACATCTTTATAATTCTTTATGTTGAAGTTGGGATTGGTTTTTCTTATTGCCGCTAACCATAGACGGCCCATCTCATCCAATGCGCGGATGCCATCGTTTGCCTTGTAACAGTGAATAAGCCCGCTGATTCTAGTGGTCCAGCAGGTAACATCGGGATTTGCTCCAGATACGATCATCATCGCCCAGACTTGCTCGAGAGCTTTTGGATCGCGGATCATCTTGCAGCCATTCAACAGGGCGTCCCAGGAACCAATGTCTGGAGTCAAATCGTTTCTGATCATATGATTCCAAACTTCAATCGCTCGAGGGTACTGTTTAAGGCCCATGAATACAAAAATGAAATAGTTGTAGAATGCAGGAGTGAGAAAACCAAATCGATAACCAGAGACGGAACCATGTTTGTCAGTTGGGACGTGAATTGGAAGCTTCTGTGCCTGTGACCATAGCCGGTCCAGTGAATCCAAGTCTCTCCTAGCAAACGCATTGCCAACCCTCGTGTGTAAAAGCTGCGATCGCTCAGTGTCTGTGGCTGTAAAGTTTTGTGGGACCTCCTCCTTCTCGGTGAATTCCTTTATGGCGGGCCAGTCATCTCTGACAAGTTTGACCACGGATTCAGGGACATCTCGAAAAAACACAGCGGCATCACTAAGAGTCATCGTACATGCGTTGACCATACTCGAGAACATTAACATGAGTGGCTGGACAGCTTGCACAGTATCCGCTCCAATTCCAGTCCTATCAAGTCTAAGGAGAAGGTTTAGGGTTCCGAACGCGACTGTAGGTAACTGGTACATCTGACCTGGTGGAAATCGGGGAGTAAGAAGACTAAATGCATATTGAATTCCATTTTCGCGCTTTTCCACATAAATGCTGTGCACAGAATGATGAGGAAGTTTTGACCAGTCAGAAAGAGAAGGAATGATTTCTGGCCTGTGTAATTTGTGTTCTGTCATGCGATCTCGTCGAACTCGCCGACGACAAACGATGTTCCAGCTCGTGAGAAGCTCAGATAGTAATGACTGACCCTTTTCCGATGTCACATCGACTTCCAAAATGCTTTTGATTAATATGATTATCATTTTGATCCATTGGGTACCACGCAGCAATCCCAACTCAAATGTGACTACTATCATTTCCGGAAAAGTAGGTACATCGTCACGAAGAGGCTGCTCCTTCCTCTTATCTCCTATAAGTCTCAGTAACTCAGGTACTCCAGATTTGAGAGAATCAGGCCATGATGTTCGACTGACGGAACCATTTTTCCAAGCGGAAGGTCCAAAATGTTCCACGAAAAAGGACCAGCAGTCGCCGAGAGGGCATTCCTCCCGGAGCATTTTCTTGAATTCTCCCGCATGTTCGTAAGACTTCATCGAAGATGACGTCTGCCGGGAAAGCTCTGATATACGAGCTGGTTGGTGAATGGATTGTTTCTTGCGGGTCTCCTCAAACATTGACTCCAATGCATCTACTGGCATTTTGGTAGCATGGCGAGGGGCTGGTGGTCTTTGGCGTGGTTTTTGACTATGCCTAATGTCGCCGCCTTGAAATCCCCTCGTAGATCCCTCATGGCTCTGCTCATTCGCGGAGCTTTGAGGGGTACCTATTAGAGAGTTAAATGTAGCTTTCGATTGCCATTGGAGGGGTTTGTTTCGACGTAAATGACTGATTGTTCGTCGACATGTTATACAGATATAAGGAGAGCTCATGTCACCTATCTCGCAATGCAATAAGACTTGACTCTCTCCAGAAAAAAGGTTGTGTAGGTAGTCGCAGGTCGAACTTCAAAATAATATAAATTTACTGTAACATAAAGGATCGGAGGATCGAAACACCGACACCGATCAGCACGCACAGACTTCATTCATTACTTTGAAAGTCAACTCACCTAATAAACCCCCGGCTCGGCTTCAAACATGATGTTCAAGCTTGACACGTTCCAACGCTTTCCGGTTGTCAGGAAAGGAGCTTGAGGTTGAAAGAAAAGGAAAATGACTACACTACAACCCCGTGGTCCATATTCGCAAGAGGAGCTCAAAAGGCTGTACCCAGAAGATCTACAACTGCAACTTGTCCAGGTCCTCCTTCGACATGGCGAACGAAGCCCTGTCTCTGCGAGATTTCAGAACGCTGGGTTGAAACCTTTTTGGCCTTATTGTTCAGCAGCCCGGAGAATGGTGAGCGCTACAATGGAAGCTAATTCCTCGGATTGGACTCCCCTCCAATGGAGACGTCGTCTGGAAACATTTGATAGTGATGATGGTCCGACTATCGCACGCGGGCCTCGCGGAGAGGTAGATGATGTTTGTAACTTGGGTGAGTTGACAGACAAGGGAAGAGAAACAACTTCACAGTTGGGGACACGACTTCGAAGACTTTATGTTGACCAATTGCAATTTCTACCTTCAATGATCCATAATACTGATTTCATATACCTTCGCGCGACACCAATTCCAAGAGCTCTGGAGTCACTACAAGAGGCCTTCTTGGGAATATATCCTCCCAAGTCCCGTGCTGCATCTTGCCCTCCGCCAACAATTATCACACGCGCGCCTGCTGGTATGTGTTGCAAGCCCTCAAAATGTAAGCTCGCTGCTAATTGTTCAAACTCAAGACGAGACTTTGTTTCCGAATGATGGTGGTTGTAGAAGGTTTGTCCAACTGTCAAGAGCTTTCGCACAGCGAACTGCCGATCATTGGAATAAAACAGACGAAATGGAATATCTCAACAGAATGATAGGAAAGTGGATGCCGGAACACAGTAAACGAGTAGCTGTCGACTCCCACCCCAGACTTTCTGGCATCATGGATACTATAAATTCCACTCTAGCCCATGGCCCTGAAACTAGATTGCCCAAAGAATTCTATGATAAAAAAGGTCGGGCCATTATAGAACGAATAGGAGTGGAGGAATGGTTTAGCGGATACAAAGAGTCGGAAGAGTATCGTTCTCTCGGCATTGGAGGGCTCATGGGAGATCTGGTGTCAAGGATGGTTGGAAGTGTTGAACATAACGGGCAGGATGGGTTGCTAGAAACTGGCGGTGAGACTGGCTCAACTGGCCTTGGTAGAGGAGGGGAGAAGGCTATCAAGCTTAGCTTGAGTGGTTGTCATGATACTACTCTTGCCGCCGTTCTTACTAGTCTAGGGGCATTCGAGGGCGAGCCTTGGCCACCGTATACGTCTCATATCGCATTAGAGATGTTCCGCAAGAAGCGATCTTCGTTTGAAGAATTTAAGTATGAGCCTTCTGAGACCCGCAGTACCGGCAAAGGACTGCTTTCAATATTTGGATTGGGAAAACAAAATGAAGCAAGTCCGGTCGGTATCGCAAGGAGAAAGCTTCGAGACCTTTCAGAAACCGAAAGATCTAAGCTGGACGGTTACTATGTCAGGATTCGATACAATGATCAAGTCATGACAGTTCCTGGCTGCAGGGCACCAGGCAAACACTTGGACGGTGACGAATCATTCTGTACATTGGTAATTGCGCACTTCCAAGCTCCCCCATAAACCTTCAATTGACACGATTTCTAGGATGAATTTAAAAACATAGTCGACAAGTATACTCCTGCCCACTGGAAGTCGGATTGCTTGAATAACATAGATGCGCCAGCTTTTCCAAAGATTAAAGAGCCCGCAGGATATTAAACATGAGATGTGCAAATATTACACAGTTCTCGTTGGAAGGGGATAGATGTATATCACGTTTTAGCGGTTTTGTATTGTCTGATATTGTATAGATCGTTGTATGTGATCCAAAGAGATTAGTGCATTGGTGCTGGTATCTAAGAACCCAAGTCTTCTTTCTCTCATATACCAATCTTTCCACCGTGTGGCTTGGTAGCGTTTTCTTTTATTTTCAAATATAGGTCTAATGTATATCCAATATTGTTCCCAAACTTGTGAACATCTAAAACATCCCATCCCATAGTGCACCCTTATAATCTAGATGGTTCCGAAGGGTTTCCTGGTTTCTTCCCTTCAATGACAACACCGAGTGCGGATCCGGCATCCAGGGCCGGCAGAGCTGGAGTGGTAGAGAACGATTCGTCTCCGGAAAAACGCCTAAAAAGTTAGTACATATCAGTTCTCTATTCCATTTGAAAGAAGCATCAGAGAACTCACCATCCTCGCTCTTCTCCGCCACTTAAGAAGCTACAGTCACCATTCTTGACAATTTCCCATCCACCTCCAACACCATTGCCATTTCTCCATTCCACTTCCGGGATCTCCTCCTCTGGACCCTTCCACATATTCACGTCTTTTGCTGCTTGATATCCAGTCTCCTTCCTCTCGAAAACACTCAATCCGCAGGTAAATGGTCTGAAATCCTCTTCGCCTACATCCTCCGGCATTCTTCCTGTCAAACATCTCCCAATTGCTATCAACGTCGCCGCATGTGTGCAGATGACAATAGCCTTGACACCCTCTCTATCCGCATCTTCTATCACCCTATGTAACGCATATGCTGTTCTATCATGCAATGTTTCTATACTCTCCCCATTAACACTAGGTCGAATTTTCGGCACATACTCCTTATCATATGTCGGGAATAAAGAATGTAATAATTCAGGAGTAGCAGGACTTGGGTGATCGAATCGAGCGGTGCCGTACCATTCACCAAGTCCGTTCTCGCCGCGGATTTTGAGGGTAGCTGATTCGGTTGCGGTGGAAGAGAGGTATGGAACGAGAGGAGAGATGGTCTGAATACAGCGGTAAAAAGGGGAAGAGTAAATTCGTTCGATCGGTGGGGAGAGGGTGCTTAGATGAAGACCAAGTTCTGCGGCTTGGGCTTCGCCATAGCCTGCGAGCGCCGGATCGCTGGGTATGCCGGTGGGAGTTGGGATGTTGGAGGTGTAGGTACCTGTTGAAGGATCAACAATCCAATTGGATCTAAACTTGGGAAAGTCAGTTTGATTAGCGCAAACTATGAGATAAAACTTACGCCATGGCGAGTTACGTAGATTGTTGTCAACGAACGTGGGGACTGAGAAGACATTCTTTTTGTCAGTTCTTCTGGTTTGTTAAAAAATATAATCTCGTGTACTTTGAGTTGTTTTTTCACGATGACGTTTTGTGGAGGAAAATAAATGTACCTGGTCTTTTCTCCGCGCCTCGGCTGCGATAAGATAAAGAAAGGGGCCCAGGTGGAGGAGTTCCGGAGTTTTAATAAATTGTAGATAAATTTGGGATTGCGTTACATCAAAGAGGAATGTTATTTGACTTTGTTAAAGGCGGAAGTCGGTGCCTTTGTGTCATTTGATACAATTAATAGTTTTTCATGTATAGTAATCAAAATATGAAATGGAAAAGACTGAACTGTATTTATACATCATTGGGAACTAATACACAGATGTGGTCATGATATGTACAGCGAATGGCCATCCCATGCAAAGTAGCTGATTCATACCATAGTGAATCACTATTCCTTGCCCTTCGTAGTTTCATATCTATGAGAAGTTAGCATCAAGTAATCGCTATCGGTTAAGGTGACAACATACCTCTTTCCTCTGAACCCCCATACGCCCCAGTTACCACAGCTAATGTCTTGAGGGTCCATGTCATTGAGATCCCATCTCAAGCTTCGGAAGCGATTCTCTCCTGGTTCCATTAGCATGTCCATTTCTCCTCCCACGGTCTTCTTGACCCAATCAATATCACGATCCATATCGTATTGTGTGTATCCGGTAACCAAAATTGGTACCTTGGTCTCTAACAACTGTGGGATGGTTTCCGCCCACTCGTGTGAGCTGGCTGGGTGTCCCAAGCCAGGATGGAATAGCATGAAGCAATCAAAGTAAGGATCATAAGGAGAGAAGTGACCAGCCTTGTGAAGGGTGTGATAGTACTCCACGAAGGTACTAATCTTCAAGGAGTTCGTTATACGATCCTCAACAATTGAGCCAAAAGGATTTTCCGGAGTTCGTTTGGGCAAAGGAAATTCGGCATCTCTGTTCGCCATACTTTCGGGCCCGATGAAAATCAGGTGGAATGTAACACGAGGAAACAAATGAGCCAACTGCACCCAAACTTCTCTGGGCAACGAAGATTCTGCGCGAGCTCCAAGGATAAAGATTCTCATTGGAGGCGGGGTTGGCTTAAGGTTCTTAATTTCAGATCCACCTCCGTTTAGTGCAGGATGTAAATTATAACGTAGAGCTGGTTTTAGTTAGCAACAGATATCTTTGAGAACTACGAAAGGTTGTCATACCACTTAAACTCTTTAGACCTTCGACTGTCAATCTGCCGCCTTTCTTAATATTGTAGGGGCTCAATTCATGCATCACGCTTCCAATAGTAAGAGGGTACGTCAATAACCTAGTCGCCTGTCTTAGACTTCTCTCGTCATTGATAGCTCTAAACTCCCGTGAGAAGAGTAGAGTATCCCAATTTGTCATGTTAACCATAGCCTCTTCAATCTGATCTCCAGGGTACTCGAACTCGGGGAAGAACCGCCCTGAACGTAGATCATGATCATCCTCGTTTATCTCTCGTAAAGTATCACATATCTCCAAATGTGCCTCGTAATCATCAGCCCAATGCTCTTCTGAGCATGACACAGGTATTCCACAATCTGGGCATTCAAAATTGACATGTGCAGGCGGTAACGCGCCTGTGGCAGGTTTTCGTGCTTCGGGATCGTCTGGATTTGTTGGCAATCGAGTCTGATGGTGATCTGGGTGTGGACAATAGGCGTTCTGTTTCATAAAAGCTGCTCGTCTTCGCATCTCGGGAGATGGCGAATTCGAGAAGGAGTGGAAAAGGTTGTTTGGCATCAAGAGAGCTCTTCCTTCAACCTCTGGTGGCGGGGTTGATTCCAAACCACCTGGACTTCGATATTGCGGAGGCTCATTTCTCGCTATCTGACCTTGTCCAAACGATATTGCTCGACGACCTAAATCTTTTTGTGCCAATTGATTCCCGGATGGCACATTCGAAGAGAGCTTGGGGCTTCTACTACTGCCGGAAGCAATGGTTCTTCGTCCTAGGCCAATTGACATGGGCGTTCTCCTAAGTGCATGTAGGCATTTCTGACAGGTATATGAAGCTGAAGAACGCATGATTCTTTAAACCGCTGTAAAGGGTCTTATATTTTTCAGAAGTAAAAGTGCTATACAGGCTGTGTTCAAGGAATTTGATACATGAGGTGATGATGAAATTCGATGATAAAGCGTCATGTGGTATCTCTTAAAGCGGCATGAATCTTCCTTTTAGCTCGTGAATATTTGTAGAATCAGCAAAACAACCTCGAGCACCAGCGCTGTGCGACAAGCTGCTTGTCCAGTCCTTACAAATGATACCATTTGTGTTTTACCGCGCGAAGTGATTACCTTTACCTGAAGCTGCGCAGACTTTCTGCGCTGCTGCCAAAATATGGCGACAACATCAAACCAATTCATGTACAGCTTGACCATCAATCCTCCCACCGCCATCACTCAGGCCATACTCGGACAGTTTGCTGGAACGAAAGAGCAGCAGATTGTGACTGCATCTGGTTCGCGTCTGACTCTTCATAGACCGGATCCGTCACAGGGGAAGATTATCACAGCACTTTCACATGATGTCTTTGGTATAATTAGAGCCATTGCAGCTTTTAGACTGGCTGGCAGCAATAAGGGTAAGTCCTTCGTTTGATCCCACTTGAGCTTCACTTAGTGATTTGAAGCATCGACGGCAGCACGAATTACACCGCTATGAATAGTCTATGAGGACGAGTTCTATAGAAAGTCGGTCACAATTGAGAGCTAAGCTAAATAAACAATCGCAGATTACATTATCATCACATCAGACTCTGGCCGTATAACGATTGTGGAGTTTATTCCGGCACAAAACAAGTTCCATCGCTTACATCTCGAGACTTTCGGTAAGTCTGGTGTTCGAAGAGTAGTTCCAGGACAATACCTGGCCGTAGACCCGAAAGGCAGAGCTTGTCTAACCGCGTCGGTGGAGAAGAACAAGCTCGTATATGTCCTGAATCGCAATTCCCAGGCTGAACTCACTATATCGTCTCCTTTGGAAGCCCACAAAGCTCAGACTTTGGTGTTCGCATTGGTAGCCTTGGATGTGGGATATGCAAATCCGGTGTTTGCGGCTCTCGAGGTTGATTATGGAGATTCGGATCAGGACCCAACAGGTCAAGCCTATGAGGAGATTGAGAAACAGCTTGTCTACTACGAACTTGATCTTGGTTTGAATCACGTGGTACGAAAATGGTCGGATCCTGTCGATCGAACGGCGAACATACTTTTCCAGGTACCTGGAGGAACTGATGGGCCCAGTGGTGTTTTGGTTTGTGGAGAAGACAATATCACATATAGACACTCTAATCAGGAGGCCTTCCGCGTTGCTATACCCCGCCGCCGTGGCGCAACTGAAGACCCACAAAGAAAACGAAACATTATAGCAGGTGTTATGCACAAACTTAAGGGTGCTGCAGGAGCCTTTTTCTTCTTGTTACAGACAGACGATGGAGATCTGTTCAAGATAACCATTGAGATGGTAGAAGATGACAGTGGGCAGCCAACTGGCGAAGTCAAACGTCTCAAGATCAAGTACTTCGATACAGTACCTGTTGCGGCAAGTCTTTGTATCCTTAAAAGTGGTTTTCTTTTCGTTGCAAGCGAGTTTGGCAACCATCAATTCTATCAATTTGAAAAGCTTGGTGACGATGATGAGGAGATAGAATTCGTCAGCGATGATTTCCCAACGGGAGCTAATGAGCCGTACACACCCGTCTATTTTCACCCAAGACCGGCAGAGAATCTGAGCTTAGTCGAAAGTATTGACTCGATGAATCCTTTAATGGACTGCAAAGTCGCCAATCTTACCGATGAGGATGCACCACAAATCTATTCAATTTGTGGTACTGGCGCTCGAAGTACTTTCAGAACCTTGAAACATGGTCTGGAAGTCAGCGAAATTGTTGAGTCTGAACTGCCCGGTGTACCATCTGCAGTTTGGACGACAAAGCTTACTAGAAATGATGTTTACGATGCTTATATCATTCTATCCTTCTCGAATGGTACCTTAGTCCTCAGCATCGGTGAAACGGTGGAAGAAGTAACTGATACTGGATTCCTGTCATCGGCTCCAACACTAGCGGTGCAGCAACTTGGTGAGGACTCTTTAATTCAGGTTCATCCCAAGGGTATCCGACACATTCGCGCGGACCGTCGCGTGAACGAGTGGGCTGCTCCTCAGCATCGCTCGATCGTTGCAGCTACCACGAACGAACGGCAGGTTGCTGTAGCGCTAAGCTCAGGAGAGATTGTCTATTTTGAAATGGATTCAGATGGATCCCTCGCTGAATATGACGAGAAGAAAGAGATGAGTGGCACGGTTACATGTTTGAGTCTTGGCGAAGTTCCTGAAGGACGTCAGAGAAGTCAATACTTAGCTGTTGGCTGTGACGATTCGACAGTGCGCATTCTGAGTTTAGATCCCGAGTCTACCCTCGAGAACAAGTCGGTCCAAGCTTTAACTTCTCCTCCCAACGCTCTTGCAATTATGGCTATGTCGGACTCATCCTCTGGTGGCTCAACTCTATACCTTCACATTGGACTCTATTCCGGTGTCTATCTGCGGACCGTTCTGGACGAAGTCACCGGAGAACTTTCTGACACACGAACACGTTTTCTTGGACCAAAGCCTGCCAAACTTTTCAGGGTGTCAGTCCAAGGTCAGACTGCAGTGCTTGCCCTCAGCTCTAGACCGTGGCTAGGATACTCGGACCCTGTCACTAAAGGATTTATGCTCACACCACTCAATTATCCTGCTTTGGAATGGGGCTGGAACTTCAGTAGTGAACAATGTACTGAAGGAATGGTGGGAATTCAAGGACAAAATCTAAGGTACGTTCATACAGTCCCCCATTTTTCTAAAAGCATCGGATACTATGATGATTTTCTTATCGTTAAACTTCTTACGTCTTTCATGACTATGAGGATTGAACATTATAATTCCAATTGTTCCTTCTGAAATATCTAACATAAACTCTCCTTTGAAATTCTACATTTGTAATTGTGCAAAAGCTAATCGACTATAGAATATTCTCTATCGAGAAGCTCACCGAAAATCTCTTGCAGGAATCCATTCCTCTGACCTATACTCCTCGTCGTTTCGTCCGACATCCTGAACATCCTTATTTCTACGTCATCGAAGCAGATAATAACATACTTTCTCCAGCCACAAAACAAAAGTTACTCGAGGATCCTTCGGTTGTAATTGGCGATGCCACAACACTTTCCCCTGAGGAGTTTGGATACCCAAGAGGCACAAATCACTGGGCTTCTTGTATCTCTGTCGTCGATCCCGTGACCGAAAAGAAAGTTCTGTCTAAGATCCACCTTGAGGACAATGAATCAGCAGTCAGTATCGCCGTTGTTGCTTTCGCCAGTCAAGAAGACGAAACGTTTCTGGTTGTCGGTACTGGTAAAGATTTGATAGTTAGCCCGAGGTCATCCTCTGCAGGTTTCATACACGTGTATCGTTTCCACGAGGACGGTAAAGAGCTCGAATTTATACACAAAACGAAAGTGGAAGAACCACCTATGGCAGTACTTGCTTTCCAGGGTAGGCTCTTGGTTGGAGTTGGCAAAGATCTACGCATTTATGACCTTGGAATGCGTCAACTCCTGCGGAAATCACAGTCCGAAGTTGCACCTACCATGATTGTTGGACTACAGACTCAAGGTAATCGCATCATTGTGAGTGATGTTCAAGAGAGTATCACCATGGTTGTGTACAAATTTCAAGAGAACAGACTTATTCCATTCGTGGATGACACCATCGCAAGGTGGACGTCATGTACTACCATGGTGGATTATGAGACTGTTGCCGGAGGGGACAAATTCGGTAATCTGTGGCTCCTCCGTTGCCCTACTAAAGCCAGTGAAGAGGCAGATGAAGAAGGTTCCGGTGCCCATCTCCTGCACGAACGACAATACCTGGCTGGAGCTCCACATCGATTAACGTTAATGGCCCACAACTATACGCAGGATATTCCTATGAGTATTCAAAAGACCAACCTCGTTGCCGGAGGTAGAGACTGTTTGCTGTGGAGTGGACTTCAAGGCACACTTGGTATATTGATACCATTCGTCAGTCGAGAGGACGTAGATTTCTTTCAGACATTAGAACAACATCTCAGATCAGAAGACGCACCTCTGGCTGGAAGAGATCACTTAATATACCGAAGTTATTATGTGCCAGTGAAGGGCGTTATTGATGGAGATTTATGCGAAAGATATACCCTCTTGCCAACGGACAAGAAACAGATGATTGCAGGAGAGTTGGACCGTTCGGTTAGGGAGATTGAGAGGAAAATTTCGGTAATTACTTACCCCTTTTCGTATAATTTAGGAAGATTCTGAGGCTAACAATACTTGTAGGATATTCGGACAAGATCGGCATATTAGTTTGGCGCAACATGGAACTGGACTTTGGAGGCTGCTAACGGGTAGTGAATGCTATGAATTGTAATTTTACATGGTTTAAAATACAAAAATAAAGATAAAATCTGTACTATCACTATGACAGCAGTGACCACTCGCGAGAAGTCTCATGATCTCTGCCCGGTGAATCTTCTTCTCCCAACATCAACTTTTGTCTTCCCTTTGCCCTTACCTTTATCCAGTATAGGATTATCCCTCTCCCATCTCTCATCATCTTTGTATACTCCCATCGCGAGCTCTAGATCATAATTCGCCTGTTCGAGATAAAGGACTGCGATGTCGTATCTAATGAAAGATCAAATACGTTAGCCTTCCTCTCTTCTTTCCTTAACATTCCATGCATCCATTTATTCCAACCTCCTACACACACAACACAGCCTAAACCCCGCATACCCCCATCTCCTCCCCCCAATCAAAATAAACCAAACCAAACCAAAAGTATAAAAAAGAAAAAAGAAAAAAGAAAAAACTCACTCAGCAACCTTACACCCCACCATAAACCTCCTTACACAGCCCTTCCTCCTCAGCTCCTCCTCCCCCTCCACGGGCCCCGGACTCAAACTCACACTTGTGTTACACCATTCCCGGGGTATACGAACCGTTTTCTTAGCCGATAGCAGGTGATCGCTCGTAATCCCATTTTTCCGTCGCAAGATATCGAGGGGGATATTGTAGCGTAGGGAGAGGGAAGTCATGGAATCGGTGGCGTGGTTGAGGTAGTGGAGGGGGTCTTCTGGTTGTGGTTGTGGTTGTGGTTGTGTTTGTGGTTTTTGAGGATACGGAGGAGAGGAAGGAGAGGAAATATGAGGATGATGATGAAGTGATTCGTAGGATGGGGGTTTGTATGTATATTCATGTCCATCTCGCGCTATCGATGCAGATCTGGTGGAATCTAATGTCGTAACTCCGTCTAATATTCCTCCACTTCGCACCTGACAGAAAGGACAGTAAGTCCTAAATCTCCCGTTGCCCTCTATACACTCGCCGCATATAATGCGTTCGCAACACGATAATCTTCGATGCTCCGTCCCGGCCCCCTCTCTCCAAATCCCATCTTCTTTTTCCTTCTGTAAATCCCCTGATTCGAATCTCCAATCCGCCGTCTCTCGATCACGATGGCCATTACAAAGTCGTTCTCGGTTCCTCTGCCCATCTTTCTCTCTATCATCTGTATACATTGCCGTCTTTTCCGAAAGAGTCCCCTCTTCTTTCATTTCCCCATTCTCTTCCCCATTCCCATCCCCATTTTCTTTCTCATCGCCACTCAAACTCTCCTTCCTCGATCCAAAAGAGGAAGAATTACTATCACAACCTATTATCGAAGCTAAATAAGAAGGCGGTCCACTCCCCAATCCATTCCCCAGTTCACTCCTCCCTATAAGCGCAAGCAGCCGCGCACAAGTGCAGCAAGATTCTTGATACATTTCATTCGTTCCTTTTCTGATCCGTATGATTGATCTCTGTTATATAGTATAATATGTATTGAAAGTAAGAGGAAAAGAGTATGAGAAAATAAATGAAGGAGTGTTTTAATGTTGGTTTATTACATATTTGCCCCCTCGCTTTGTGTGGAGTCGGGGTCGGACATTTCTCTTATCGGAATGCTTATCAGCCTGTACCTAAATAAATAATACTTGTACCTGTAAGTGTAAGCGTCATCATTGTTTATCCAGCCGAGAGATTTACTTGTACTTGTGGCGTTGGGATATAAAAATATCCATCATATTAATCTGGTCTGGTCTGGTCTTAGTCTGGTCTCACATCGTCTTAAATTTTGAATTGCATAGAATAACGTGACATCATAAGGGTTTTGTATCATTTGTGTCATTAATCTACATTGTGTATGTCACTTCGCTGATGGAGAAATATCTACAGAAACCTTGCAGAGTCACCATGTGGTTATGTTACATATGCAAGGCTTATTTAACAAGCAAGTATAGTGAGGGCAATATCAATATATCATTATACCAGCGCAGCCGCTTCGTGCATTGCGATTCCATTAGGAATAGAGGGTGCCCCATTTGAAAGATCAAGGTGATGTAATAGGTTGGACGTTTCAGACATGGTTTCTTGAATCAATCCTTCTTCGTTGAGTGATCTAGATCGGTTAGAGTGTGGTGGAGTGATACCATTTTCTTGATCATGATCGTGTGGTCCAATTCCTGGAGGAGACTTCCGATAGTTCAGTCCCGAGTTGTAAAGCCTTTGTGATCTGGCTAAGGCCACTAACTCTTTTTCGTTAGGGAACAGCCGAGACAGTTCTCGTCTTGGTGCTTTGGATTCCGGGAAAGGTTTTGTACTCGTTTTGGTTTCAATATTCGAACGTATGACTAATGACCCATCAATGTATCTTTGGGGGGCAGGCCAGAACGGATTGCTCGGATCATAGTCTAAATCTTGTTCATACTTGTTGACCGGAGGGGTGCCCAAGGGGACAAGCTCCTGGTATTCGACAGCCATTTCAAGGCCTCGTAGGTGAGGAAAACTAGGTACAATGAACATGAATTCAGATACCTATAGTAGTGTAAGCAGGTGAACCATCTCCAGACATATAAGACACATACTTTTACGAAAAAAAGATCGAGTCCAAAGAATAATAATTTGGCGTTATCTTCCGGGAGATGGGTTGAGCCTCGTTCAGAAAGTGGGAGTATATCTAGAGGAAGACCAAAGGAATATTTTGCGAGTACGAGGGGCCATATAGATGCTTTGAGATCCATCTCTAGTGGAATACGCTCCCATGCCGTATCTGTTGCAGACCAGTCAATATACACTTTCCTAATTTGCTTGAGCTTACTCACATCTTGATAGCTCCAGGTCTTTCTCTCCCAACAGCAACGCAACGTCAGTGTTGAGCATCCACTGCTCTCGAGCATTGGGATGGCCTGTTGCTCTTGGTCTGATTGTGTCATATCGATATCCTTTTATAGTTCTGAACTTGGACAAAGATGCAATTCTGGGCGTCTTAGCTTGCTGAAGTTGATCAAACTCTCGAAGTAGATGCGGCAGTTTCGATAATCGTTCTGCTTCTTTTTCTCGCGCTTGTCTCGCTTTCTCAAGTCGTTCTCGCTCTTGCGCAGCGGCCCGGTTTTGTTCCAGCTTTTCCCGGTCTATTCTTTTCTGTTCATCATATAGTCGCCTTTGTTCTGCCTTGTCGCGCTCTTCCTGGGCTTGTCGTACTTTTCGATCCTCTTCCTCTTGCGCTCGCTTGGCAGTTTCCTCTTCGATGACTAGCTTCTCCTGAGCCTCCTCTGCTTCTTGGGCTTCTCTAGCCTCCCTTGTTTCTTTTTCCCTTGCTCTCTTGTCCTCTGCTTCTCTCGCCGCCTCCTGAGCTTCTTTGGCCTGCTGTTTAGCCTCCTCGGCTTTCTGCGCTTCACGAGCTTCCCGAGTCGACTTTACTTGTTTCTTGCGTTCCAGATCGACCGAATTTGTCTTGGCTGCTTGAGCTTCCTCATTTTCGTGATTGGAACTCGTCTCACATTCTCCCGTGCCCTTGGTTGGGATTTTCGATGGTTTCTCTTTCGTAACCTTTGGTGACATCTTGTCCTGAGAGGATGATACATCAAGATTGGGCACCGGATGATCAATATGTGAGTTTGTTGAGTTTTCTTCCGTGGCTACGTGCTTCGAGGGCCCCTCTAACTTCCGACGCTTAGACGGAGCACCATCAACATCCGTGGCGGCCATTATATCATGAGTACCCGTGCGAGGTGGCGTTGTACTTCGACGTTGTCGTTTTATTGGACTCTTATCGTTGCGGATGGACGCCAGCCTGTCTTTAGAATTATCTCGCCTTGTACCTTTGATTTTGTCATGCCTTTCGCCCTTATCAGGAGTCGCCTCGGCGCTTGAATGTTTTGATATCTGTTCTTCATCGGCAGGTTCGCTTGGCCGTGCAATGCTTGTATTTTTGTGCTTACTATCTGTATTCTTCAGCTCTTCTACGCCGCGTCGGTCCGTAACAGATGTAGTAGAAACATTCGATGTAATACTGCCGCGCCTTTGTTTATCCCGCTCTCCTTTTAATTCCTTGCCAGAAACGAGCTTACGTCGTGGTTTCGTAGGTTCGTTTTCAGACGACATTGCGGCAGCATCGGGTTCCGTTACCTTTGGTGCTTGCAATTTTCTCTTGGGAGGCCCTAGAGGAGTGCTTTCCGTGTCTGAAGTCGGATGCGATGCATCATTTTCCTCCTTTCTCGGACGCCCTGGGCCCCGTCTTGCTTGATTCTGCGCGTTATGACTTTGACGAAGGGAAGAGCCGCTTCCGTGCTGACCTTTTTGCGAGTCTGTGCCCTTGTCCGTCGTTTTCGAGGGACTTCTCTTTCGCGATGATGAAGAGAGATCACGAGCAGCCCTTAATGGCCGTTTATGATCACGGCCGCGATCAGTGTCTCGAAGGAGTTTAGGAGAACGAGATTTCGAGGGTGAAGATTTGACTGGTTTAGAGTAACCACTGAAAGCTTCTTTGAGTGTCTCAACCACCACTTCGTAGTTGTGGCTGCCTCTTTCTCTCTCCTGAGCGATTTCATAATAAGTTTTATTGTGCCATCGCTTGGTCGGGTCGAAATCTCCTGAAAGCAAACAGTTGATCACATCAATATGTCCCTTATCAATCGCACAAAGCATTGGAGTAGACCATCGGGGATCTTCGCCCTTTAGTGGTTCTGGGTCGCGATCAAAATTGCCGATACCAAGGAGTAGTTGGACAGCAAAGTTGTCGCCCGCTTTTGCTGCTATGAGAAGAGATTTTGCATCTTTCCGGCTCTGATTGACATCCAACCATCTAGAAACATTGCTGTGATCGCCATTCTGGCATGCTTCACGGAGCATATCCACCTTACTAAGATCTCGATATAGATCTTGATCCGTGGTTTTATTCGATCGTGCCCGCATGCGGCTCGAACCACTTGGATATTCAGAGGTAGGACTGTGGCGAGGACTATGTTTCGTGTAAGAATCGTGATCTGCACTTTCTTCAGTCGTTTGGTAGCCCAAAAGAGTGTTTCCAGATGCATCGTTCTTGATCTTTGCTTCTTCAATGAGTTGCTGCAAATCTTCCCTCGTTTTGTCGTCTCCGTTATAGGCTGCTGCTAGATCACTAGGCTCGTCGCCCCCCATCTTCTTCGCCTTGCGCGGGTTGGCACCATGCTCCAGAAGTAGTTTCACCACTTCCACATGGCCATTTTCGATGGCATCATGAAGTGGTGTGTCACCGTCTAAATTAACCATGTCAACTGTACATCCTTTAATCAAAAGCATTCTAGCAATTTTGACAAAGCCTTCAAGACTTGCGGCATGAAGTGGTGTGATTAATGCATTGTCTCCTACATTTAGATCCGAAGGGTGTTTGCCCAACTCATCTGTCACTCCTGAGATGTTATTCTTGCGGACGAGATTTAATAAAGTGGTTGCGCCTGAACCGTCAACCCGTTTTCTAGGTGGATGGAAGGCGGCGGGTGACATTGTAGACTCTCCAGCAGTATGGATTGTGCGCTGCCGTGGTCGAGAGCTGCGAGGATATGAACGGCCGCTTGCAGAAGAGTCATCGGATTGGTACTCGGAAAATTGAAGAGGGTTTGGAATGCGCCCTTTTTTGTGACTTGAAGCATGAGTTGGCTTTGGCGGAAATTGAGTCGAGTTACTGCGTTTGTGGGAACGGCGATGGTGGGGAGACTCTGATCCCTCCTTTGTGACTCTTGAAGTACTTTCTGCATTGATAATTAAGGTTGGAGTGTTTTCTTTACTTTGCATACGACTGAAGGCAGAACTTCGATGTCGCTCCGCTTTCCGATCTTCGTGGTCGACGTGGTCATCACCAGACTCCGATGTTTTCTGTTCATCCCGCGGAAAAGCTCCATCAACAGATTTAGCCTTGTCATGAATCGCGGCGGGTGGCGATGGCGATTTGTGAATTCTCAATTCTGGCGCAGGGAATTTGGGAAGAGACGAATGTCTTTTGTCCTGTAGATTAGATGCTTTCCCATTGCTAAGATGAGACTTGCTTATTCCAGATAACTCTGCCACCCCAGGCCTTAGACGCTTCCGCCTTCCATGGTTCTCTTTCTGAAAAGGTGCATCTAGTGAAAAAGTATCCCGTTTCCTCAACTCGGACGGCTTCCGAATATCTTCGTCGTCACTCTTATCTTCATGTTTGATCAACTTTCGAATTTTCGAGGGTGAGTGTCCATCTTTGCCTGGTAAGACGATCGTTTCTGCTTCGGAATCGCTCTTCACCTCAAGGTCTTCAAGAGACACATCGGGAATGTCCACTTCCATTACAACCTCCGCCTCAGTCAGAGTCACCTGTGGAGAGTTTTTTTTTTCGAAAAGACTTGGACTTCTAATAGTAGTAGTTGTGTAGTTGGTTTTATCCTTTCGAGCGTCAAGACTGGTAGGCAAGTCCCCATGCCTTGCAGGTGTTGTTCCCTCATGACCTTGAATATCCATAACATCTAGGCTATATGTCGCTTTGTCCTGCAGATCATCCTGGCCTGTAATATGAGTAGACACTTTGATTGTATCAAATTATAAGGACAAGGAGGAGCATCCGAGTCCTCAAAAGCGATTATTGAGAGTGATTGATTTGATTGAATGCGCTGATTAATTAGTTTGGAGTAGGAAGGATCGTGAATGGTGTCTTTCCGAGATCTTTTGCTTGTTATATTTTTTGATAAAATATGGAAGATATCATTAAATTCGTAATCATTGATGGTGAATGTCTTTTTATGTGAAATATATGTAGGTTTTCGAGGATGTTGGAGGGTACTCTAACTGGGTAACTTTATTCTAGTAAAGACTAAGAGAACGCTAAAGACTACGGTTACCCATCGATTGCCACAGAACAGGGGATAAAGAATTGTTATGGAGAGAGGTAGGAGCAAATAAGATAAAATAAATTATTAGTGATTATTCCCATACTAACTACTATTTCCTAAATCCACCCCTTATCTATCTAGTATATATATATATGTTTTGACTTGGGCTTGGGAAAGAGGGAAGAGGGAAGAGGATAGAGGAAAGAGAAAAGGAAAAAGGAGAAGGAGAGAAGGGAAAAGAGATAGAGAGAAGATAGGAAGAGTTAGTTTAGTACGAGTAATTCAATCATTCATCTGATATTATGTACTTAGAGTATCTAGTAGGTACAGAATAGGAGTGTATTGCCTAATTTTGGAAAAGATTATTAAATACTCTTTGAATGTATAAGTCTTATCTAGTATTTATAAAGCTTGAGATAGAGTGTTCAATTCTATATTCAAAATAATGAAACGATAAGATAATACTGTACTAGTGTTGATACAATATATACAGCAGTGCAGTAGTGACAACTTTATAAATTATAAGTCATATAAGTTGGTAAACAACGCATTAACCGATGAACCACTTTTTCTCTTTAGTTTGTATCAAAGAGTAAAGATTATCATGGCTAACATGGCTAACATGGCTGGTAAAGCAAAAGATTTGCCCATAAGTTTTCTTTAACAAATCGGGTCAGTTAAAAATAGGTTTAGACTTACTGCATACACGATTCAAGCTTGGTCCGGACTATTCTATTTCCCCTTAACCTTTATCTCTTTAGACTTCTTCGTCATCTCTTCGTCATAGAGATTGTATCAAACAATCATCAATCAACCATGGATCTTCAACAATTGTCATTACCAACATCTCTCAATGAGACCAAAATCAAGACTCTTCCCTCGAAAGCATTTTATATTTCTGATTTTCTTACGGAAGAGGAAGAACAGGTACTGTTGCAGAAAGTATGTAAATTCTGAGCTCACGCATCATTGATGGCTCGAGATTTGACATTTGACATTATGGTATTTGCAGATTTCGACGGCACCGAAACCACGATGGAAGCAACTAACTCGTCGTCGCCTTCAGACATGGCCCTCCGATTTGACGAAGAACACTTTACTGGCTGCGCCTCTCCCTAAATGGCTAACAGAACCTGTTGTCTCTCGGCTTCTCTCCTTACCTATCTCTCGCGAAGACGGAGGACGCCATATCTTCAGTGATAGTCCCCATGGATGTCCGAATCATGTTCTCATAAATGAATACCTGCCAAATCAAGGAATTATGCCACACAAAGATGGATCCGCCTACCATCCTGTCGTCTGCACTGTAAGCTTGGGCGCAAGTCTATGCTTGGATATATATGGGGACAAAGAGGATGGGACAAGGCAGGAGCAACCAAGCTGGAGAATTCTTCAGGAACCAAGGAGTTTATTAATCACTACAGATGAGCTATACACTAAGTATTACCATGGTATATCGGAGGTTGAAGCAGATATCAATCTCAACTCAACAACTGTTGCAAACTGGGAACTCTTACGGTCCGAAGATGAGATCATTGACGGAAAATATGAAAGACGTGAGCGACTAAGCCTCACGTATCGCGACGTACTCAAGGTATCGAAATTGGGTGCTAAGCTAGGGATTTTCGGTAAACGCTGAGAGGGCGTCATATTGATATACACATGGTATTATCTCCAACAATCCTTAAAACTATACACGGTGAACTCTGAGAGGGCCACGTCTCAGTATACATATGGTACCATCCTCCATCTGCCTTCCACACTATCTACGCCAAACTTTGTGCTATACCACTTCCTCGTCGAATCTGCAGTTACACCGAGATTTGATATCACAAAACACAGACCTGCCAATATGGTTCTGTTCAGCATCTTGCCCTGGGGCGCGGCTACGATGGTAATTGCAATATACAACAAGCATTCGCTAGTGTAATGGGGGCAGACTACGTAGCGGAAAAACGTGAGTGATGGGATAGTATACTTCTTCAAACTTGCTAGGTACTCATGACAGTCATGCTGAATTATAGATGCAACCACAAAGATGGGAACTGCTACGCAGGTCTTCAGGGAAGGCTTCGAGATCTCTATAGAATCCAGTGGGTTCTCGATTGCATTAAGTGTGGCTTTGGTAGTTAGTCACTAGAATAGGCTCAGAGTCAATATCACTCACCAATACCTTCAATCCAGACCGAAATGCCCATGAAGATATAGTACGCAATGCCAACAGCCCAAAGTCCAACCCACATCTTTGACTGAGAAGGTTTAGTGAACGTGAAACTTTCATACAATCTCCGGCTACCTTGGAAAGCCATGAATCCCCATGCCAAAGACACCTGATTGATCGTCATTGATTGCGTGGTATCTTGTTGAGAATACGAGGCAAGATATTTGAAAGCAGTTCCACGTGTGATGATTTGAAATGCCCAGAAAATCGAAGAGGCCACAGATACGATATAATAATGAGTGAACCAAGTATGAGGAACTTGGATGGAACCAATGTATTCCAGTATTCCAGTGGGCTTGCTTTGGATGAAAGTGGTTTTTGGAGTATTCGGCATGATCCCTCGACTGCCATAGTTCATGACATGCTGTCGGAATGAAGGTATCAAGGTACCAACTAAATCAACTGTGGTCCCTAGAATGAAGAAGGCTATGCATATAGTCGAAACGTCCATTGTATTGGCAAGAAAAGAAGTTGTACAGAAAATGGGCTCTTAGTAAAACTGTCATGTAAGTGAGTGGCATCCATCCATCTTAAGACTGAAAGGCCGCGGTGCGTGTGAGAGAATTGTATGCCTCAGGTTAGAAACGATGCGATCATAGAAATAATTTTTGATGCAAAGAACCAAAGAACCCCACAAGAAATTCACATAACTCAATTCAAATCCAAAATTTAAGACCCAGGGAATTTGCTGTATATTGTCTCGGTCAACCAACTTCTTAAGCAATAAACACCCCTCTATAAGTCTTCTGGATCTGACCAGAAAATTCCGCAGCCATGTCGACCACCGCTGATAAGGTAGGTCTCTCCATTCGCAGCTTTTTTCAAGTGCTAACACCCCGCTACAGATCAGAGGAATTGAAGATGAGGTATACTTCCGTCACCCGATCGTTTCGATTTCAATAAATTCTAATGAGATGATAGATGTCCAAGACGCAGAAGAATAAGGCGACGAGTTTCCATCTTGGACAGCTTAAAGCAAAACTTGCTAAGCTCAAGAGAGAGTTGTTAACCCCTACGACCAGTGGTGGAGGAGCAGGTGTAGGATTTGATGTAGCACGTACAGGTGTCGCCAGTGTTGGATTCATAGGATTTCCATCTGTGGGGAAAAGTACATTGATGAGCAAACTTACCGGACAACACTCGGAGGCTGCCGCATATGAATTCACAACCTTGACGACGGTACCCGGTCAGATTCTATACAACGGCGCAAAGATACAAATCCTGGATCTTCCCGGTATTATACAAGGAGCCAAAGACGGAAAGGGTAGAGGTCGACAAGTTATTGCGGTCGCTAAGACCTGCCATTTGATATTCATCATACTTGATGTCAATAAGCCCTTGACGGATAAGAAAATCATTGAAGATGAATTGGAAGGATTTGGCATTCGAATCAACAAGTCACCACCTAATATCGTGTTCAGGAAGAAGGACAAGGGTGGAATCAATATAACCAACACTGTCCCGATGACGCATATTGATCATGATGAGATCAAGGCTGTCATGAACGAGTACAAAATCTCATCCGCAGACATCGCCATTCGTTGCGACGCAACTATCGACGATCTGATAGACGTACTGGAGGCTAAAGGACGAAGTTATATTCCTGTCATTTATGCATTGAACAAAATCGATGCTATATCGATAGAGGAACTTGATTTGCTTTACAGAATTCCTAACGCATGTCCCATCTCTTCTGAGCATGGGTGGAACGTTGATGAACTGTTAGAACAGATGTAAGTTCATGATTTGAAAACCATTGTATAACACTTCGCCCTGGAATTCTGTCCATAGTTCATCAAGCGGTGCAGCGTTCTGGGTTCATCACCTACTGGCCTCAAAGAAAAAATGCAAGGCATTTTTTAGCCAGCGGCCAGCAGACTTTTGCGGTTACTACAGTTGCCTAAGACTCTAATACTAACCTTGAATAGGTGGGACAAACTTAACCTCGTCAGAGTTTATACAAAGCCCAAAGGAAGATTGCCTGATTACACTGCACCAGTGGTGCTACGTTCCAACAGGTGTACAGTTGAAGATTTTGTAAGTGGCTCCTACATTATTCCGAGGATCCGTAACAATACATCCAGTGGCTAACTTATCATTAAAGTGTCAAGCAATCCACAAAACTATTGTGGACGATTTCCGGGTAGCTATTGTTTATGGAAAATCCGTAAAGCATCAACCACAGCGTGTAGGGCTTAGTCACGAACTAGGGGATGAAGATATCAGTAAGTTTCGCATGGTCGCCTAATTGGCTTGAATTCCTGACTAAATCTTGATCAGTTACCATTATCAAACGATAGAAGACATAAGATAGAACAATGCGGTGTAACAACCAAGGATTTTCCCGTTGTACGAACAGTGCGGAGACTGATGTCGAAGAAGCCAAGCATCATCGGAAAATAGATAGATGAGCTGACCTATACATAATGGCAACGTTCGTCGGGAGTTAATGGCGTCAAGTCTCGGTACAGATACATTCGGACATTAGGTTGCTGGATTCTGGAGGAGAAGTTCGGTGGTTAGCTACTAGTAGTCGCTCGTAGGTTCCTACCTGCGAGCCGGACGCCCCTACTCACTTGACATGGAAACGCCACAAAGGCAGTCGAAGTGAAGGAGGGATAAATGAACATTTAAAGAAACAAATTTTCGCCAATATCTTGAATGACTTGGACAGGGCTCCCTCCCAATGCAGAAATATACTGTAATGTATACATATGACGCTCCTGTATTTTTGAGCTGAGTGATTAAGAATGGCGAACATTCATTGATGGATATGATTACATTGGATCTTCATGCGATACAGTAAGTAAATCACAAGAACGCCTACGATACCATCAACATGATACTTCTATGTTTTCTTGGATATGTACTGGGACGTGGATGAGATGAGAAGACCGAAGATGGGGTTGAGCTTGAGCTTGAGTTTGGGTTTGAGGTGAGGCAATAGTTATCAATACTTTATTTGTTTGGTTTTATAGATGGATAAGTGGATAGATAGATAGATGATAGATAGATGATATATCTGATAGCATGGGAGATAGTATGGGAGATACTGGTAGTGGCATGTTCATGTTCATGTTCATGGGTGTCGAGAGGGAGAGAGGGAGTAATTATTAATGTGAGTATGAGGTTGATAGTTCGCAGGGTGAATTGGGGAGGAAGGGGGGGGTTAGATTAGGTAGGTAGGCGGTTCCGGGTAGGTAGGTAGGTATCATGTTCTCTATTCGTTGGGATAAGATTAGTTTACATTAGTTTGAGAGGTATATGTATTGTATTGTACAATGAATGGGATTATAGCTTTGATCTTGTGTTATACTTGTTATTAATATACTCAAGTATTTTGGATTGATATCAATCATGGTTAGTTTTCTGCTAACATTTTTTTTCGCGCAACTTTTGATAGATGGATGAGATAAGATGAGATGATGAGATGAGATAATATGGTGGATCTTTCCATGTTTTATGTACGTATTAGATATTGTGATCTTAAGAACCTTACTCCAGTGTCCAGACAGACATGTATAGATAGGTATGTTCATCAAATCAAGTCTGTAAAAATAAAGTTAAAAAAGGTAGAAAGAATACTACTCTCTCTCTCCTCTCTCCTCTCCTCTCTCCTCACGGTTTTTACTCTACAGTACGCGAGTTTACAAATATATACTATTGTACGAGTACAGTATAAGAACGGAATTTGGGTCGGTACAGTATATTGTGCATCATCGTCGCATTAGCTTTGATATACTCAGTAGTACCGGTATATCATCATATCATATCATAGCTACACAGACGCTATCATCCTATCTCATATCCCTCCTTGAAAATCCTATCCTATCTATATGTAATCTATCTCGCCCATCTCGCCTTGTCTATCGTCTATCGGCACATTACATTTTAGTATGTAGTCAAGTATGATACGGTCCAAGTACCGTAATTTCCAACTCCAAATCCAACTCCAACTCCAACTCTAATCCTTTCCTTCCTGATATGATGTAATATCTCAATCAGTAGGCGCTTCGGGCCCTGTCTGCAAGAATGTATACCTACCTACCTACCTCGATAATGCAGAATAAAGTTTACTCTAGTACTAATCAATTAAATCATCAAACTCACATAAACTCGAGTAAGTAGTCAAGTCCACGGAATACATAAATTTTCCCATTTTCCCAGCGGCTACAGAGTGATTTTAAGCGGTCGGTGGTGGAGGGATAATAATTCATCCTAGATTTTTATTTTATCTCTATTGCTCGATTCGGTATTTTTGCTTCTTGGGGCGGTTTAAGGATTTGAGGGGTTTACTTACTATTGGGGTGAAATCTTCACTAGTTGTGGTGATGGGATATGGAATACGGAGTAGAGCTTTTTGGGGGTGAGATGAGAGGGATTAGTTGATTGGTTTTATAATACTGTACTGTGTAGACTTGAAGGATGTCTGATTTAGAGGAGGAAGATTGCATGGAGATTGAGGAGTTGATTTCGAACGGGGAATTTCCATAATGTGAAGTTTACCTAAACCCAATCCTAGAATTAGATGGCTCATCAAGCCAGTTCAGAATCTAGATGCTGAGGGTGAGCAGGACAGATGAGGATCATTTCCCCGCGATGAAAATAAGGTTGTCTCAATTGCCGCCGACCAAAAACATGGAAGTACAATATATTTGAGCTTGTGTGATGTATGATTCATGATGTATGATTTACCCGCTATAAAACTAACGGGGAAGAAGAGAGCAAGGAGAGGTCTGAGCTGAGAGTGAAATGAAATGAAGTGAAGTTTAATTTGTTTCCTCGTGATAGAGGATCTGCAAAGCCCGATATTGAATGAGTGAGTTCCTAGGTTCCTTCACCGCTGTTGGTGGTAGAGGACTAAAAGAGGAGAGTACCGGTAGGTAGGCTGCAGCCATGCCGTATCTTCTGAGCAGGACGGGAGGGATGGACGCGTTTATTTTTTGGGCTATACCCTCCATCGCTAAGACATGGTTTCACATAGCGAATGCGCCGCATATGGAGTAGATGAGTTGAGGGTGTACGTTCCTAAACGGTGAATCGGTGATGGTGCCTCATGGTCGCTTGTAAAGCCAACTGCCCATGACGAAACGAAAGGCAAGGCTCATTTAATCGATCGCCGCTGAAGAATTAGTAAATAAATAGTAAATGAAATGGAAAGCATAGTACAAGTATGAATGATTGATATTGCAGGGAACAACTGCAAATAGAATTGAATGAATTGTGGGCCGTTAGGATTTCACTCGGAGCTTTTGACACAAGAGTATGTGATTGGACCAGTAGTTGAAAACGTGGATGCTGCACACAAAGATGGAGAGCCCAACTACAGATGCGAGGTTTCCTCCACACTCGGGGGTCAGGGTTAGGATGATGGGCACCGTTTGAGATGGATAATGAAGACGGGAGGAATGGAATGGTGTTTGTCGGTTGGTTTAGATAGATGGTAGTTCATGCTATGAGCGGGGAGGAGAGACGGGCCTTGTATGTATGTAGGCCTAATCACTTTCTAGAAGCACCAAGTCGATTTGCTCAAAAGAGAACTTCGCGAGATATACGGTAAAAGTATGGCGAAGTAGAGATTAAAAGGAGATGGATAGTGGGGTATTGAGGTTTCCAGAAATGAACACCCCTGATCCGATATATACCGATGTAATCGATGCGATACGGATAGCTAGGAAGGGATATCTGAGATGAGATACGATGCCGGAGCTCGCGACCAGAGTAGACGCGAGGCGAGATGTGATGGGGTGGAATGGGACGATGAGGACGGTCATGGCGGCCATGTCTGTATCCTGTTACTGTACCTGTATCTGTACCTAGGTTAGGTGGGTTACTCAGGGGCAATGCAGATGCAAATGCAGTACATGAAATGGGCTGCACCAGCGAGCGCTCTGAACTGAAGCCTTACCATTACGCTGAAGTGCAGTAAGGTCGCTGGTGGTTGCAGCAGCAAAGATATCTGCAGCTCTCATCCATACAAGTTTTGGTGGGTAGAAACCAACAAGTTGGAAACTTGGGACGAAGGATCGATCGATGGTACCTACATCAAAAAAGTCCCCCAAAAGATGAAAATGAGGCGAAGCTGTTTTGTAAAGAAGTGAGTAATACAAAACGATGAGGCAAATGCCTTGCAATATCTCAATTGGGGTCTAGAACTTGGGACAAGAATATCCATGGAGCTCACCTAGGTAGGTAGCGTACGGACCTCTTTCTTTTCTGCAACGATCCTCTTTTCCCCGAGGGGGTTGTAACTTCTACATCATGGTACATACAGCAACGAATTGTTCGGAATACGATCTTTTTAGGTTCAGTTTGGACCAGGTTTCGGATTTTGGCTAATATGATATATATGATATATGAGTGAAAATATATGACAGTTTTGGTTTAGAAGGGGTTCAGTTTGTTATGGGTTTCCGGACCACCCATCAGCTCGTTATCAAATTGCTACATAGAGAAACTTTGGCGAGACGAGACGATGAAGGGGGGGCTTGGAATTTAAAAAAAAATGCAGATGCAGATAGAATTTAGGGACTCAACAAAAGAAGAGTATTATCAATTGAGTTCAATCCGGAAATGATAATTTGCCGCAAATGCTAGATAAGTTTAGCTAAGTTTTGCTAAGTTTTGCTAAGTTTAGCTAAGTTGAACTAACTACGGAGTAGAGTAGCTCCCCAGTACTAAGATCATTTGATGGCTTTACCTCGTTTTTACTTCCGGGGCGTACCGTTAATGAACAGCGAAACTAAAAAGCAAATTCATGAGGTTCTTCTCGTCGTTTCATTCGTCCATATCCTGGTTATCAACTTACGATATCCATAAAACTTTAGACCTTGAGTAGTTTAGTTTCTTCCCCATCTGATTCAGCTGAAATGAGATGCGAATTGATATCTAACCCATTTGGACGATAATCATCTGGATAGTGAGAGTGGACCTTGATATACTTTTGCTGAATGAAGCTTCAAATGAGGTTAATCTGATCGAAAAAGGACATAGGTCCCCGAATCAGGTTATGTATATACCGGTATCTCTATAACTTCTTTGTAGATATATTAGATGTTCGGCGATTCCCTCAACTAGCTCTTATTATGAAGTCATTAATTACTTACTTGAACATATGAGATGATTAGATCCGCTTTCTCATCTGGTATATAAACTCGCTCCCAAGCAATCATTTGATCAAAGCAGCAAATCAAATAAGTCTTCAAGTCTTACTTTGCACTTTCCCTGTACCTGAACCTTACTAAACCCTATTAAACCCTACCGAAATCTTTCCAATGAGTAATTCTTATCCTTGTAAATAACTTCTTTCGAATATTTTCATACGAATTTGAATTTCCCTTTTCTTGAATTGATTTGGCCTATCTCCTGTCTATCTGCCTGCTTGCTTGCTTGCCTGCCTGTGGTTCCATTGAATCTTACACCAAAATTCTATCCATCCATCCCATTTCGATTCGTTCTCTTCTCCTTCTCTACCCATGCTATCCCGTTCTCCACGCTCGTTCGTTGCTCATTGCTATATTACTCCTTGCCATTGCTCCCGTGCTCCTGAAAACTATGACTTACCTAGCATGGCAGTAAAGAAAGCAAGCCTAGCATCTATTCTCTCTAGTCCAATTGGTCCCCACCATTAATCTATCTTCCCAAGTACTCCCTCCCTCTTCCTGCTGCTGCGGAACCTTTACCTTGCAAAATATCCATAAACCGACCACTACCTACTACTGTACCACAAAACCCAAAAAGTCCAGGTTTGCCTCCTCCTCACATAGCATATCGTCCCATCCACACATCATACACATTTTTTTGTTGCGCGCCTTTCCCCAGGATAAACCCATTGCAGCCTTTCGCATACGCCTCGTGTTTCTTCCCCTCTTCGGCATTGCAGCGAGCATTTCCCAGTATCTTTTCTAGCATCTATTCCTACCCTCCTTTGTCGCATAATTGTCCATCTTCTGCCCCATCTACCGCAGACCACCAGCACCACCAGCACCACCAGCACCACCACACCTAGAAGTGCATATCCTCTTTAGCTGCGCGCGTCTAACATTAGCTCAAACAATTTTCAAAATATTCTTGCATTCGAAACTACATATCATCTGAGAAATCCCAGACTCGATCCGTTACTCCTGCAGATTCCGCAGGGTTCATACATTTAACACTGCCAGGAACCACGCTTCGTTTTGCTTATCATGCATGCAGTATCCCGCTCTTAAGACTTTCAACGTTCTTGATATTACACACCTTACGCAAGGTTCTGTACTATAATCATCTACAATTGCCTCGGATTTCTGGAACGTAAGGATACACCAGGAAAACCATTCGTTCTAAACACCATATATCGCAGAATGCACGAATCTATGATGTCCCATATGGGTATGGACCAGGAGCAACATCACAATCCACAAGAAAATGGATACGGCGGTGAAGGTTGGCCGGAAATTGGTAGCAACTACAGTTCTTCACAACATCAATCACCAATCTACGAAAATAGGATTCAATATGATTATATGCAATCTCATCATGGATTGCCTACTGAACCTCAGTATCCAAGAATGGCCCCGCCGCCGACGACATATCCTACGCATCACCAGCAACTTCTTCCTCTCATAATGCCAAATCATAACACGTGGCCGAGCATGTTGACAAATCCGGCAAACCCTCAAGTAATGCCAGTTGCGATTCCTCCTGCGAACTCTGGAAAGCTACCTCCAAAACTACCAGCTAGTCATGCTACTCCGACTCCAAGGAAGACACTAACTGACAGTGATCGAAGACGGATGTGTCAATATCATGAGGATAATCCTACTGTCAAGCAGACCGAGATTGGAGGTAGGACATGACACGAGTCTTCCAATGATTTTCTTGCTAATATCTATTTCTTAGCTATGTTTGGTGTTGAACGAAGGTATGGTTAAGGGTTGGCATTTGGTCCTGGTCTTAGCTAAGAAAAAAACCTAGTACCGTCTCTAAAGTTTTACGCCAAAGAGAAAAGTATCTTTTTCCTGAAGATAGAAGCTTGTCTCCGGTTAAACGAGCCAAAGGAAAGTTCCCTGACATCGAGAGGGCCCTTTCAAATTGGGTGCGAAATACCCAAAAGCAGGGAATACCTCTTACCGATGCTGCGATTAAGGAGAAGGCAAGATTCTTTGCCACCACTGTTGGCAACAACGAGAGTCACTTGAAAACAAATAGCACAAGCTGGCTAGAGAAGTTCAAGCAGAAAAATGGTATAAGTAACCTCAGGAGAAGGGCATCCGCGGCCGATATTGGCAGTCTTTCCGAACGCATGGCAATCAATATCAACTCAAGCAGAGGTCTCGGATCGCGCAAATCCAGTGGTGTGTCGCCTGCTTCGCCATTACAGTCCCCTTTACCGTTGGCATCCGCCAAGAGTAGTGAGGATCTCAGGTCTCATCATATGCATGATAGCTTGAACAGTTATTTCGACTTTACACAAACAGCGAGCTACAAGCAACACTCAACTTCCCACAGCACAGTTTCTTTGTCTAGTGCATTTACCGACAACAATCCATCGTCATTTTCAGGAGGACCAACCAGTCCAACAACTCCATTTTCATTCTCTCCTGATGGAAGTTCCGGGTCTTGGATGCCATCTCAGCAATCTCGGGTAACCCAACAGTCAACGAACAACGGAAACGGCAATTCGATACTTTCGATCACTGGAGAAGACTTGAACAATGGGATGGATTCAAATACTCCTGCTAGCAATTTTCAACGTCCAAGAAGCCAAACCTTCCCCACTCTAGCAATTGATCCTTCATTCATCGCCTCGCAGGGTACAGATCCTATGACCCCAAAATATAATCTACCGGACACAGCCCCTTCATCAGCTGTCGAATCGCCTGTTCATGAATTAGGCCCTCCTTTTGGATTAGATTCTGCAATTTCGCCACGGTCTTTACATCATAGCAGCAGTAACAGCTCTATGGCTCCCCCACCGGCATCACTCACTCCCATCAGCGGATTACAATCGCCTCCACACCTCTCAACACCGAACTCGCCTACTCAGGATGATGCACGCCGGGCGCTTGATACTCTACTCAGTTTCTTTCAGCAAGCACCGACTGGGTTAGTGGATCAGAATGAGTATCTGACGGTTCTAAAGTTAACCGAGAAGTTGCGAATACAACAACAAAACCCTGGGCCTTCTTTACCTGGGGGCTTACATCGGATTTCGGAACAAGAATGTGAGAATCAACCGCAAAATATGAAGATGGAGCAATCCACGGCCTGTTAACAATGATTTTTGCATCCCGCTTATATATACGCTCTCTATCTCTGTACATCATGGCATTATAAATATATGGTTCTACAAGTCAACATTTTTTCGGCGTTATTCTCATCAAATTTTATCAACTTATATCTGCACTCCCCGTCTTCATCTTCTTCATACTATCGGCAACAGTCTCTCTTCATACCCTTTCTTCCACCTTCTCTTCCCCTTTCCTTTCGATCCTCACGATCAACTAGAGAGTGAATATAAGGTGCATACCGGCGCCACCAAATTTCAGGGGCTTGGAAAAGAACGAACTTGAAAATGTTTTCGGATGAATTTTTTTATACCCAATCTCACTCGATTTCAAAATTCTTTATTCTCTACATCTTCGACGCACACGCGAATATAACTAGCTCGAATACCATCTACTTGCTTTCTCGCACTGATTCTCATGCATCTCTTTTTATTTATTTTTACTTTTTACGCGAGGCTGTTGCCATATATGCCCTTTTTTACCCCTTTTGGTTCGTCATATCCCAAATAGCACATTTTCTTTTCTTTTCTACTTTGAGCCGTTTTTTCTTATTTCTATTCATGTATTTTCGTTGAATATTATAGTTCGGGAGGGCGGTATGAGATATTTAGTTTCAGCATTTTCGGCCCGTGGTATGGTGCAGAGTTCAAATTCCCCATTATGTTTTCCTTTCTTTTCGATCAAAATACCTACTTGTATATATATACATACGGCCTGTTTAGTTATATAACCTCTTGCTCTCTTTTTCTTTCTCTTTCTCTATTATCTTATGCGGGTTTATCTATCTATATATCTATCTCTCTCTCTCTCTCTCGGGGTATGTATGTGTGTGTGTATTTTTGTATTTAAGGAATTCTTTTAGTCTCTCTCGCTCATTTATATATACAGTAGTGAGTGTAGCTATTGTATCAAGTTGAAAAATAAAAATGGAGTTCGTTCATTCATACTGCGTATATGAATTGAGAAGGCAAGATGAGAGGGGATGCATGGATGGATGGATTAGTTTGATGAAAAAAACGCATGGATGGATGGATGGATGAAATGTCTTGCGAAGACGAAGGGTTCAAGATGGGGTTTTCACTTTTTTTAAACTATTTAAGCTAGCTGTCGAGTACCGCTACGAAACAAGACATATATAAATGAATGGAATGGGTGGCTGATCTGCTACAAACTTTGGACTTCACGCTGCACAACTTCTCTCTTATGCTGCTTGTATGATTCAATTACTTCATTACCACAAAAGAATGATGGGTATCTATCTAAACTTTCAACCCAAGACAAGCTTAGACCCAAATATAAACCTAATTCAACCTCTCATCCAATAACTCCTGCACCCCCTTTTCAGCCAACTCCGGTATTAATCTCATGATGATCAGCTCCACAACTCCATATAGCAAATGTTTATTACAATACACATCATCAAACACATTTAGCACATCTTCCACTTCTCGAATATGTTTTTCTTCCGTGGAGAGTTCGGTTGTTTTCGCTTCGGCGTCGATATTAATGTCGATATTATTGACAGGAGTGTCCGAAGGATGTAGAGAAGCGCGGCCGAAATAAATATCCCTCACTCCTATGGGTATCAAGCCGAGTATAGCCTGTGCGCACCGTCTTCGTATTTCTAGTGTTTCAGCAGGAGTAGGAGGGGTTCGACCTGGTGCGAGTGTATTATTGGGGAAGAGGCTTTGACGGAGGGTGCGGAGGAGGGGAGGTAGGAGGGTGGGGTCTAGAATGTGGGTGCGGATTTGGTGAGATAGGAGTCTGGGGGTGCTTGTTAGCTTGTGGATTATACGGCTGCTAAGACATGAGATGAGCCGGCCTCGGGAAGGGTTTTGTTGGTGCTGTGTGTGAAAAATAGGGGAACTGGTGGGATGGATGGCTGAAATGAATGGTGATAGATGGCAGCAAAAAATCTAATAGACCGGATGAGATAAGATCTTGTCCAAATGTGTACTGATTGTGATCTCTCTCGACAGCCAGGTCGCTTGAACTAAGGCCTCAAACGCTCGCGGCGAAGTCTCCGGATGTTTTGTTCGCCTCGGGCCATGATTTGGATGGGGGCCAAGAAGCGGAGAAACATAGAAAATGTAGGTCATCTAAGTTTTGCAAAAGAGGGAAGCGGCAATTGACTGGTTTAGAAGATGCTCCTTGGTGGGGGTGGAATATGCGCAGCAATGGTGCGAGACGTAGTAATATGTCCATCTCGTTATTAAACCGGGCGCTTAGGGAAGGTCATCGTAAGGCACGACTCGTTTTACGCCCCAAAATTCGAAGCACCACAATGCGAAACGTAATAACAGGGATAAAAAGGATAATTAAATGCGGGTTAAACGGTAGGTTTTGGTTGAACGCGAAATGATACAGGTTCGAAGGATGATTGGATTTGATGATATGACCGCATGATACCAGTGCGTACACCATCTCTCGAGAGAATTGTCAATCCATCGGCTGACGGCTGGGCATCTGAAGAGACTCCTCATTCGGCATTTTGCAAACCCTTGACATGCATACCGATAACGGGAATCAAATCCCTGACTGCTGAACAGCCATTGTTAAACGACTTCGTTTCTGCAAGTTAGATGGAACGTTTCTGGTCAAGTGACCAAAATTTCATGCGGTGTGATGTGTAGATGGTGCTCTGATATTCGGGATAAAATGAAAAGTGATCAATCATAGAAACTTACTTATCAATTATGCCGTCTGTCTCTCCGATTTTTCCAGGGCCAGTAATTGCACCCCATTGAAGAAGAGATAATGTGGCGCTTAGCCATGGCATGCGAGCATCCGTATCTAGCAAAGTAGAGACACATGACCATAACTTCATAGTGAGAACAGGGCGCTTGAGTGGTTGAGCTCGAGTCCAAGGTAACGCTTCCAAGTTCATCGGTGGTTCCGAATCATCGTTCGGCAGCATTAGGCCAGTGGGCTTCCTTGTGGGAGGAATACGAGACGGCAATGAGGATGAGGTAGCAACAGCAATGAATATGACCCGGACCGCGGTGAACGCTAGAAACAAATATTGAAGAACTAGCCAAAAGGTTTTCTGCATCGATTTCCCAAGATTCGAAGTTTTCGTGCCACTGGCTTGTATATCCAATAGATTCGGCCTGGTAATCTCGGAACTTAACCTGTCAACTCGGACTTGAGCTTTAGATTTCGGAAGTCGAGCGTGTATGACTTCTGCAATCTTCATGATACCTTCCCATACTAGCCACGGTTCACAGGCCTTGCCTCCAATACCATTGCCCAGTATCATCTCTGAAAATATTTGACCAACTAGGGATGTCAAACACACATTTTCGAGATCCTCCGTGGGTAGCAGAACGGCTAAAACACCGTTAACGATTAATTGTCTATACGCAGCTTCATTATTCGACTGTCCCTTGATCGTATCAGGATCTCCATCAAGCGGAACTGGGGATAACGGCGCGAACGGCCACAGCGAATGATAGACTTGTCGCGGGTTCACCGAGATTGGCTCTGGATGTAGAGGGTAGTGCGATGTTCTATATACTTTTCACGATGAATTAGCCTATTTGACTTGATGTATCTCATAAGTAGCTGTACTTTTAACATGTGTATCCAACAAGTCTGGCAGTTCTTCGAATAACAAGCCCTCCAAGTCAACCTTCCTCACCCTTTGTTCAAGACCTCTCGTACAATGCGCAATAATCTTCACCACCTCTTCCACAAACACTTGGTCCGGTGTAATCTTCGCATACCAAGTATACACAAATTCCCTTATTATTATCGCTATAAATGCGTACAATTGCAGATCGACCTCGTTACTACTCGTTAACGGGGGAAGTATCTCATCGATTGGAGCTGGGGTACTGCGACCCTTTTCACTCAGGTGTGAGCATAGTGTGCGACGTATGAACAATAATGTAGACCTATCCGAGATAGCATCTGTAGAGAGGTCACGATTGATGGGAGCGGCTGGAGTATTAGGTCGTATTGGAGAGTTCGATGTTGCGATCGTTTCTGGAGAGATAGCGGTGGTATTTGCAACTGTATGAGCTTTCGAGCGAGGCTGAAAGGGTGTGCGCACTCCTGCCATTGCTTAGATGTGTCGATTGACCGTAAAATCATGACGAGCTGGGCATGATTCTCAAATTGACGATGACATCTGTTGCGTGGAGAGGCTGTGAATGCCTGTGTTAGGGGACAGTGCGGGCATGTAGGCCCGGACCAATAAGATGTCAGGCCTTCTTGCACCCTAAGTTACAGGCTGAAATTTCACCACAATCACAATCGCAATCAAACACGCAAAAAAAACAGTCAACACATCTTCTTGAGGATGAAGGCTCCCCAGAGCAACCATGTTTTTTTGATACAATTGCATATGGGAAGTTCAATGTCTATACTGACGTTTCCCTTTTCTCACTTCACCGTGCAAAGAGCTCAGTAAGTACATCGGGATCACCGGGAAGAAGCCTCGTAGCTCGAGTGCTCAGAAAATGCTACCTCACGCCAGTCTCCTTCCAAGTTGAGGGTAAAGATTGAAAAAGTGAGCTGTTAACGGGCTGTAATGGCAATCGGTCATATTTTCACATTGGTCCAATATGGGCAACGACTTGCGAGTACTTGCTTCCCAGTTCAGTGGGGGATCCCCACGAATGTCCTAGTGGGCTTACCTTACGGTCATGGTCACATCAAGATATACCTTTATGAGGTAAAGTTCGAGTGGACAGACTGCTACATCAGGGCAAAATTCGAACGTGGGAGAACATGATGTCAACATTCATGTGAATGTTTATTGTGAATATGTATTCATAATTCAACTCCTTTTTAGACTTTCACTTTGTCAGGTCTGTCAACAGTGCTGGCCTCCCATTGCCGTCATCTGCGATGGAATAATCAAAGAACATCCCTAATCAAGCTCGGATGATATAGTATCATTCACGTTGAGATTGGACGGGTTTGTCGATGGTTCCAACCTTTCGGGGTTCAGAGCATACTGTACTACAAGACAAAGCCCACAGATTGATAGTAAAACTTGTTTCTAATGCTCGTGTCTAGATTTCGAGAAGTTTGGAAATTTCTAGGAAGCCGAGCGGAAAAAGGAGAGGCGGCGATACATGATGCTTATAGAATAGCACTGGGCGGAGCCATGGGATGATGCTCCGAACTTTTAGCATTTCGATGAAAGGGCTCTTGGTGATACACATCACTTGTTGTGTTATTTCAAGCAAAGATTAGGCATCACCGCAGTATCTGCTTGGGGATACATATTGCTTGGAATCATACACTGGTCCTGGAATCTGGAGACTGACTTTAATGCCCTGAACTTCCATTTACGCTCACTTACCCTTAATGCCATGAAAGTTTGATTAAATCTCGCACTTATCTTTTGTTGCCCATTTTGAATCAATGTGTATTATGCTTGTTGACTACCTGAATGGAACACTTTTTGTTTCAACGTCGCCGGACGAAAATGAGGAAGTGGCCCCTTGCTCTGCGAAACCCAGGGCTCGTTGGACCTTGCAAAGCAGGAAAATACTTCAAAAATCACTATCAGGACGCCTCCGCTTATTTATTTTGAGTACATGTGAAACGCGAAGTCATTTAAGTATTTAAGTTGACACTGAGCATTAGAACGGTATCAGACCGGGAGTGTATCGCTCCACCCCCACGAACAGAACAGGAAAACAGCGCTTTCAAATTCTCAATAAACCGACATGAAAGTTGAAACAAAAATTGAATGTCCATTAGCAATAGTAGCCAGCTATTTTTATCGTACTCACTATCCCATACATGACTCTATATTCCATACATCATCCTCCCATCCCATTCACTCCCCTCCCCCTCGCCCCCACATATGTATACCATAAACAAGATGCCGTATACACTATCTCACATCTCACAGCCCATTATCTACATAAATCCCTTCATCCTTATTCTTTCACTGGCAATTCCATTCTCTCATGTAGCGAAAGAACCATCATCTTGAAGCAAGTATTCAAATCGCTGGAGAGTTATCCTGCTGTTGGAATATTATAACTCACTGTCGCGATAGTATACCTCTAGCAATTCACGTACTGATAGGAAATCCTGACGAATTCTAGGCGCATCTCATAGCACTACTTCGAATCTTTCAATTATTAGCCCCAATGATCTTCTAGAATATTCCAATTAAGGTCTCCCAGATGGTTGTGTTGCACGTCTAAATTTTCTTTTATAGCCTTATCCCGACAAGTTTGCAATGCCTTTATTTAATTCACGTCACTACCAAGCTTTGAGGTCATCCACCGGCATTTGTTCGAACCTAGGCACGATCTGCCGACTAGTAGCCCAATTGGACTGGTTTTCCCAAAATAATGCCAATCAGAGTCTCTTAGAAAGCTATGTTGCATGTCTCTAGTTAACTGTTCATCTTCCTACATACCTCATCCCGGCAAGAATTGGCCGATGATCATGAGTCGATACCACTGGAAGAAGCTGAAGGTGTCCATATCGTCCGGTACTTGCTCCAACGACACATTTTTGGAGCTTATTGAGGTCATCGGTTTTCTAACTGCCCTAAGGAGTCTTTAAGTTTAATAGTGTTATATGTTATCGCTGGGAGAACTCTAGATATAAAGTGTTGTCTTCTGTGCAAGGATGTTTTTCTTCGATAGTCCTTTACTGAAACATAACGTTTGTTAGTTTCTTAGTTCGTCGAAAGTTGACATTCTTATGCAAATACGTTACGTCAAATTAAATTATCAGCAGGATATGTTATCCAATGCTCTTTCCTCAAACACACATCACATACAGGGGTTCCTTCCCCCGAAATCTGTAGAAAGTTCCAACCTGAAAACTCAAATCTTTAACTTTCATTTCGAAACTGCATTGCAAGTAGCCAGTAAACAGCTACAAATAAATAATAATTCTCCCAAAATGTACCATTGAACCAGCCACTCAGGCTCACGGTGGAGGACATTATGAGTAAGGTAGTGACGCTGCTTAATGAATCAGAAGCTGCATGGCACTTATAAACATGATTTGGTTAAAGTAATAGCATTACCGGATATCATACGGATGACATCAGGGCTATTTGTGTTTAGGAAGCTTAAATTATAGTTAGTTTAAGCTTGACCCAATATGTTACATGTTCGATAAAATGTGCACCGATTCCAAATCCCAAATTCGCTCTAGTTAATTTTCTAGTCTAGTGATCTGTTTGACTAGCTCCCAGCGCTCAGGGTACAAATACAAAGTTTCCCCTCGACATTTCTCATGTCCTCTTTCTTCTTCAGAGCGCCATGGGAGTTTTCGCCCACCACCTATCTATACCTCGCGCTGCCTTCCTCAGAGGACCTTGCTCCCTTCGGGGAGCAAGTGATGAGGGAGGCAGATGCGGGAGAGGGAGGTGGTGGCTTAAACCGACCATGGCGCTCCGTAACTGTGGGCCACCACTCCCTGCCTCTTGCGCTTCTCCCTTAGATGACCTTGTCCCCTTCGGAGGGCGAGTGATGAGGGAGGAAGTAGCGGAGCGGGGAGTGGTGGCCCACAGTTGCGTTAGGTCGTTTTCATCGTTCCGAGTGCTGAGTAATGCTAGGTAGGTGTTAAGGGGGTATGACATAAACGCTTCGATTGCTTGATCTTAATAAATAGTGACTCTTTTAACTTCTAAGATGCTTCACAGATACCGATTTCCATTGATTCGGGGCCAATTGTGTGATTACCCAGTCCCGTGATTCGTGACGAGGAAGCAATTACTTCTAACACTAGGGAACGGTAATAATCGATACCTAGTGGTACATCTAAAGGATGGATGATCCCATTTGTAATCTTACATCCATCCATCCATCCATCTTCTGCATCAATCACTGATAATAACTTATTGGCACTCAAATTGTAATCAACCCGCTTTTCATATTCTGCACCTCCGTCTTCAATTCCGAGTCTGAACAAAACCAAAATTAAAATTAAAGTCAGTCATACAATTGATATACTGTAAACCCTAATACCCCAATTTTCCCACCCAGATCACGGAGCGCTCATACTATCTCTTCTATCTCCTGTTACATCTCTCTCTTAAACCCCTCTATGCTCCTCCACTTCGCTCGCTCTTCCCATTCTATTTCATATCACATTACATCTCTTACTCGCTTAGTATACTACCCCCACCCCCACCCCCCGAAAACCTCCAGATGAGAATCTCACATATGTACACCTCCCTACCCACCCATACTACCTATAAGGGTATTTCCTGTCTTTTGCGACCATAGTCTATATACCCATAGTTCGATAACAAGTTTAGGTGAATAAGAGTATAAGAATCAAAATCTACTACTTGCATGCCTATCTATCTACAATTCCTTTCTGGATACTTTTAAGAAAAGAAAGTGAATTCGAGAATTTTACTATTACCCATTTGCTTCTACTGTACTTTACTCGATTTTTCAAAGAGATGTTGAGTATTACTTTAGTATACTCGAGTATGTTTAGAGTGGTGTCCTTGCAATTGATATATCGGATGAGTACTTGAGAATATTGTCAATATCGAAGAGATAATAAGTAAGGATTAGGATTGGTTTATTACTACTCGTATCACATCTCATCCTATTGTATTTGTATTTAATCGTATCTCATCGCATCCTGTCAGTTCCCAAACTCCCCATAACCAAACAATTTTGGAAAATTATCGTTTTCCACTTGAACTCTTAGGGATTGAGTTACTGAGATTGGGTTCGTTGGAGTAGGATGGTTATCATGTTACGTCTACAGTGGAGATTGTGATCTATTTGTAACATATCGCCGTGAGATGCCTCATACTGCTGTAGATATAGATATGGCGCCTAGATAGGTGCTAAATACTACCTGAGTTTTGTTCATTTCAATATCTCAAGTCCGCTACTCGAGTATTGCATAATCGCATATGAATAAAATTCATGTTTTCATTCGCGCTTCGACTCTATATCGCCAGCTATTCAACCGTTCTCGGGTATATCCTTATAACGCCAATATCAACATCACAAATTCTGCCTCCAAAACCAAGTTCAGGTCCCCTCATCCATCGCATCTCCATCTGCTGGCGGCGCAGCGTGGCTTTCAACCATTCTCACAACTCTTTCTAAATCTTCCACCTCGCCATTCCCAAGTTTCCTCCCCTCGCCTTGCCATTCCCCATCTCTCACTTCCCCTTGCGAGCCTAGCTCTAAGCCTCTAACATTTTCGAAATGCCGCCTTGTCTCTTTCTCAATAAACTCTAACCTCTCCCTTCTCCAACTCTTCTCTTGTTCTCCCACCATCCCATCCATGCCATTTCCTTCCGACAACTCCTTCAACCTCGGTCCTAGATTGTCCAGTAACTGTCTGAGCGCAGGTAGTTGCGTTAACGCGAATTCAGTCGTTGTCGCAATAGGATGCTTTCCATCCTTTGTTAAATCTCCCTTCTTCTGTAAGAATGCCAGTGAGGCTCGTCCATCATCTTCTGCATCAATTTCCATTTCAGTACCGTCCTCAGCCTTGACAATTTTCTTCGCCGGACTTGGTGTCGAAGATATAACCCCTTTTAATGCCGCAATAGTTTTCTCGTTCCTCTCTTTCTCTGCTCTCAATACCGCATTTAACTTCATTGTCTCCCTTAGCCTTTTCCTCTGCAATGTAACTGTTTCCAACGTCGGCGCCCCATTCGCACCCGCCCCGTTTTCCTCCACCGCCCTAAAATCCAACCCTTCATAATGGCTCAGCCTAATCCAATCTCTAACATCCGCCGGTACCGCAAAGACGTTCCTCAGCAAATAAATCTCCATCTTGTCGAAATTTTTATCAATCTTCGCATTGAGCAAAGTTTCCAGCTTATAGACTCCATATTCGATTTCGTGTTGACATTGTGCTGCTACGTCGTCGGCGGAGAGGGCGGAAGTGGGTGTGAAGCCAATTGAGGCGGGAGGAGCGGCAAGAAGACCCTTTTCGAGCGCATCGATGGCGCGGAATGCGAGGAGATTGATACTATTAATTATGTCATCGATAACAGCCTGCGAAACGTTAGATAGGCGCTATTAGGTTTGTACAGTACTATCACGACCATATTTCAGTACTTACAATTGGTCTGTATGTGAGGTGCTCTGTGAGGAGAGCAGTATCTGCGGCACTCATATCTGTAGTGATTTTCGAGATGAGTATGCGCCGATGAGGAAAAGTCGGGCAATAACAGTTGCAGCTGCGTCGACTAGGTATGTTAATGTGCCGCGAATTATAATAAGGATTTCAGAGTAAGTAATACAGATAGGCGATAGGATACAATAAGTACGAAAGAGAAAGTCGCAGTTCTTGGAAGATTTTGGCTAAGTTGAAGATAAAGATGTTGACAGAGCAATGCGGGGGACGCGCCTGACAGGGGGTTTTATTAGCGCGATATTGACTCTTGGCGTTAGTACTCCCGGTGAGCCCAGCCTTGAATATATCCTTGGGTCATTTACTTTTACTGATAACACCACATGAAATGATTTCTCTCAAAAGATTTGCTCCATAAAGAAACTACAAAAAGAACGAGATTTATACCAATATAACTCGTCAAGCCATAGTTTCTCCTTGCTTTCATTGACCTGCTAGAATTCATTGTATAGTGATTATCAATTTCTCAGAAGAGAAACGAACAAATTTCCTATCGAAGGAAGACTATTCGAACCAAAATATTGACGGATTTGTAGCATCAAGGCTCGAGAAAGACAATTAAATGGATCTTGTTCGTATGGCTCTACTCGAGTAGTAGTTGTTTTCGAAGTGTTGACTTGTTGTGACGGCGGTTAATACACCAACCCATCTACGACAAACACGGGCTCGAGATAAATACCTGTGTGATGTCTTATTGTCAGATGTCTCACATCTTAGTGGGGTTGGCGGATAATGCTCAGTATATGGACCAGGACCAGGAGGGAGTATCAACTCAGGGAATTACGTGTACGATCACTATACTTATTCGTTATGGTTATGGTTATGACTGGTTATTGAGTGTCTCTGGGTCATATGAAGCTCGGAGTTTGATACTCGTGGCGTAGTACGCTCGTCCTCCTCGCAGTCCCGTATTTTAAACACTCTAGAAGTCGAGTCTCTACGTTCGATGGCACCAAGGGGCAGAGCTGGCAATCATTCTATCAGAGTTGAGCTTCAACGCATCGTCATCGAAATCATTAGGGATGTTTCTGTCATAAGTGGTTACCAGGAGAAGAACAAGAAAAAGTGCAAAGGCTTGTGGCTTGTATGAAGTGGTGCACACAATCGTTGATATTGACTCGACGCGAATTCTGCAGGAAGTGGACTATACACTGACGGTACTTTATATACCTCTTCTGATCTACAAATGGATGGCATTTAGACCTGCTGAAGCAAAGTTTCAAGATCTCATACGTAGTTCTATCCTTTCCATGATTTTAGATGCTGTTGCTGGCAGCTATAACCGTCTTTTATATCTAATTTCGTTCAAGACACTGTCTTGAATAGGCACCATTAGATCTCCCCGTAAAAGTGATCAGTGATCATTATGGCGTCAAAATAGATGATGATAAATCATGATTTTCAAATATTCAAATAACAATAATACGATAGAGTAACAATTATCTTATTTCTAAGAAATTAGACCAATTTCCAAGACCACGGTTTGGCACCACCGAGGCCTCTGATACTGACAGGAGAAGAGAATATTCTTAAGCCCCATTCATACAAGCAAGTACCTAGTAGTCACGACGCATTTCACGAATGTGCAAGAATGAAGTTCATTAAAGTTTATAGAGTATCGAATGAGGAATCGGAGAGAACTGTTAACAATCACTCGTTTTAGGGTTTTGCCCAAAACTCAAAGAGAGTGAGAGACATCGCGATATCGAGAATATCAGTATATGACATGATTTCATACTTGCTTATGTACGTATTCTCATTCTCATCAACATCAAATTCATTTCGAGAAATTAAGGATATATTGATATATTCTTGCCCCTGAGTTCTCCGACGCTTCAAATACAAATACAACATACAGAAAGTGAACTCGTAGATTTTTAATCTATTCCTTAAGGTACTTTCGGGGATATACCCCGATCCTCTTGGACGGGCCCGAGACGCAGGAGATTCCGCCAATGAAACTTTTACTATTCAATAATACAGTATGTATAAAGTATATTATTATATCATTGTTCCCAAATGTCATGAACTCCGTATGTGAAACGAACATTGTTCCTCTTCACTGCCACTGGTAGTGTGAGCAGCCTCGAGGACGGGACGGGAACGGCATAAATGTTGGTATATTACTATAATAGCTGCTGGGTGTGCTACTCAGCCCACCACCGATAATGACCTATTCTGTCGAACCTCGAACCTTAATTCGTAACCATCACGCTATTTTTCTTCACGACAAACAGGAATAACCATGTCGCGAAGTCTGTTTGTTCCTATATAACTTTCTGCTATTACTGCATATCATAATGCAAATTCTACTATTACAGTTCTCACGTTGTTTATCGTATATGATTCGTCGTCTGTGGTACATTTTAATTTTATGTGCAACGAAACCTGGTTGTATTGCTAAAAGTGGTAGGGTGCTGGAGGGGTCTAATCTATTCAAGCGAGATTTTTGACCCATCAAGGATTCAGTACCTAGCAAGTCCCAGCAGGGTGTATCAAAACTCTAGTCTAGATGCAATCTTTTCTACTGATATTCGCTCCCGAGAGAAGAGAGTTGATGAAAAGGGAGAGAGAGACCTTCTGAAATTCCGAATGCGTGGATAAGTCCCGTTTTCTAGCCTGCAATCAATACTATAGTTTCATCTACCCAATTTGGAGAACACCTATTGGATGCATCTTGGGAAGTCCATCGCATTTGCACATGATAAGCTTCCTCTTTCTTGTTTCTCCCCAGAACCCATATACAAAGGTGCCTGGGTTGTTCCTGTTCATATAGTCAAATTCTCCGGGTTGAGATGGAACCGTGCCCATCGTTCCCATTGTTTTATTTCTAGAAAACTTGCATCTACCTACCTCGCGCAGTCCCCATAGCCCTACGGATTCTGTACATCATATAGATCTGATAAACGCGTGGGTTCTTGCCCATAATTTCTCCATCTCTTACGCCTTCGGATGACGATGAAAATATCACTAGAACTATTATGAGTTCTTCGCGCGCAGTCCATCATTTTGTATCCCCCGAGAAAGAGGTCAATGCCGGTCTCTGGACCCTTTTCGCCGGTGCCACTATATGTCTCGTCCTCGATTTTGGTGCAAGTTAAGACGTCAAGGTCTCTGGTGGGATGATCATATTCTCACAGCCGCTTGGGTGAATACACAAATCTAATACTTTAAATTATGAAAACCGTCTGGCTAACCGTCATGTGTTAATCAGCTGGTTCTTCTATCAACTAATATTGTCATTTCCTACGAATTCGCAACCGGATATGTCCAAAAGACCTGGCCGGAGCGTATGTTAGTTCTGGTGTCGATTTCATCATGTCTTACTACCGCCGGTCAGACATGGAGCAAATCCGCATTTGCGGTTACCCTTCTCCGGATGACCAACACCTGGCAAAAAGCCATTTGCGTCATCATCATCATCGTCCTCAACGTCCTTCTAGTCCTTAAAGTCTTTGTGGATTGGTCCAAGTACTGCGGCAAAGACGGGTATCAGAACGATTGGAGGATGTCTGGTTTCTGTGTAGATTACCAAGCTGCATACAACATAAAGGTTGCAGGAAATAGTGGGTGCAGAGATCCATATGATAAGATTGTCGATCTCTAACTTTTCTCATCTAGTCTTCAATATTGTGGCGGACTTCGTCCTGGCGCTATTTCCATGGATGGTTACTTGGAAACTGAGGATATCTCTCAAAGAGAAGATTGCTCTTTGCATAACGATGAGTCTTGGAGTTGTGGTCGCCATTATCTCAGCTGTGAGAACTGCCTGGATGCAAGACCCAAGTGTCGATGCCTACAACGACTATTATTTTTGTAAGTCTTCCTAGTCATACTATCTATACTTCCCTCTCCATATTTATACTATCTATTGAACCCTTCTCATACTCGTACTATAATATTCCCATACTAACAAAAGTCTTCCGTCAGGGCGCCAAGGACTGTCAATGGTTTGGTACTCGGCCGAAGTAGCCGGAACTATAATCGTGCAATCCATACCACTAATGCGGCCACTGGTAAACGATATGCACACATCACTAGCATCCAAGAAATTAAGCTCTGGAGCCGACGGCTCCAACCGAAGGAAAAGTTACGGAAAAGGTTCCAGGAGGAGAACCCTCACCCTAATACTCCAGGGCTGTGATGTAAAGGACATCGAAAACGACCCCAACGACGAGGGAAGACTAGACGTCGATCGAATGCACCTGATCCAAGACGAGAATGGAAAGATCGTGATCCGAAGAAAAGAAGAGGAACCACTAGCCGAGTATCAGAATAGCCGCATGGTGTCCAAAACACTAGATGAGGAGGAGATGAGCTTGACACAGGACGAAACGGGGAGGATTGTGCTGACTCGTGATTATCACGCCAACGGAGGATTGGAGGAAATTCCCGAAAACCACGACAATGAAAGCCTGGAGGAGATTCCTGAATACCACAATATTGGAGGCAAGGAACATATACCCATGACGGATTTTCACGCCCTCACTTGTAATTAGTTTAAACATGTAACTATATTTTAAGAAATAAAAAAAGCCAAAAAGTTTCAAAAGAAAAGACATCTTCAATTATGATATTTCATAGACCTCCAAGTTCAATTTGCCAGTCCCATATATATCCACTTTCATCTACCCAAAACATCTACATATCAAAAAACATCAAAGACTACACATCAACACTTTGCCCCCCCGCTCATCATACGCCAGTCGCTGAGCGCCCTCTTCATAACAAGCTCCACCCAGACACAACCCATAGACGCCCAAACAACCAAATAAGTAAAAAGCACATCCAACGACGCCGCAAACGCATAGTGGAATTCCAACTTCCACACAACCGCGCTCAAACAACCTAGATATACCAAGATATCGAAAATCCACCACACCACAGCGTCAGGTGGAAAAAAAACAACCGTCTGAAACCCGGTGATGAATCATATCGCGCATTATATCTAACGCGAAACTTCTCGCGGTCTTGTCTTGGAGCCCATCCACCGCGATGAAAGTCTTCAGCCGCATAATAAATGAACGGATGCACGGGTGAACCTCGCGCGTGCGAGTTTATACCGATGGGGATATGTAACGATTGGGATGAGCGTCGAGCGAGATAAGCATAAGGATGAGGGTACCGAGGAAAATCATGAGGAAAGCGGGGGAATATAAATGTAGATATAGATATAATTTTGGGCATCTGGAGGGTACCTACTACCCACGACGAAGGGAATTAATTAGTGCCATGAGCATGGAATGGAATGGAAACGCCATAGACCCAGGATGTCGCATCTAATTCCCATTTAGATCTAGAGGGAAGAGGGGCGCAGAGATCGCGATGTGATGTGCGAGGAGACGCCATATGCGCACTGTGGGGATGATGAGGATGTAGAGCTCGTCGAATCCAATGGAGATAACGGCGTACGGTAGCCGAAGATATCTCGATCGTATTCGGGGTTTTCGAAAGGGCATGCGTTTTGGGGGTATGCTGCGTTACAGGATTTGGACCATTGAGATCGATGGATGTCGAACTAGATATAGTAAATGATGCATGGGAGCGCAACGTCGAAGACGACAATGATGAGAGGGCCGATGGTGATTGAAAGGTGGTCTGTAGGTTCTGGGTTCTTTTGGGCTAATTTTTCGTAGGGCTGGGGTGACGGTGGTGAGGGTGGCGGTAGAGCGTGGGTGGTTGCGTTGTCAGAATCGGATGAGAGATGGGTGGTATTGAAGATGGCATTGCCATTATCTGCTGTTGTTGCGTTGGCGGGGAGGTCTCTCGGAATATCTTCGATGGCGTTATTATGCGGGGCAATTGGGTTGGTATCAGACCCCTAGTTACTGTATTCAGGGCCTCGCTTTATTCAAGGCAACCTCGGCACTCGAACCTGGGGTAAAAGATCTTCCTCCTTTCTTTTCTTCGTCGCTGATGGCGGGGGAGATTTCGTCATAAAACCGGCCAGTAGCCATCACCGGGGCTCTGCCCTCATCGCTAAACCCTGCTACTGTGGAGGCCATAGATATATATATGGAGATGGTACTGCTGATATTTAGCAGAATTCCATTTCTGAGATAATATTGATTGGGGAAGTGCTCTATGATCTGGTGTTTCTGACCCTTTGATAAAAGATCAGACAGGCACGTTTTTCCAAGGTAAAGTGCTGTCTTCTTTCATGTAGGACGCCTGAGGCGCTTGAATAGCTTAGAGCACGCTAATACTCTCGAGATGTTTCAAGCTGTAAAAGGATTGTATCTATCCGTTGATGATATGAAAGGCCAGCTTGGCTTCAAATTAAAATGGTATTCGTGAGCCTTATTGAGGATAAATCAGAGGAAAGGAAAAGTGGCTTGGCGATGGAGCAAAAGAGTAAATCATGACGGTCAAGATCATCTTGTATCTGCCAACACCAACACAGTAGGGATATTCAGGGTAATTTGAACCAAGTATCACTAGTCATCGTGGGAAAGTCTTGTTTGGGATGCGAAATGGGATTCTATAATCAGATACCAAGCGCAATGGGTGATGAAACCGAAGTTGCCGCCGAAGCTTCCATGATATATTCCATTCAAAATATTCATCACCCTACAATAATATTGGTGGAAGTGCATTGGCTGACTTAGATGTTCCGTCTGAGCAACGTTCAAGGAAGCACTCTGTACAAAAGACTCTGCTCACCAGCTTACGAAAATATAATCTTCATGATTTATTGCCGGCGATGGAGATTTTGCGCTGATATATGTAAAGGGGTTTCACGACTCGCAAGCCATTCTAGTACTCTTTAATCAACCCAACACTCCACTTCGCGCATTCTAAGTTTGGCAGGGTCACTGCGGTCACTATTATAGTGCCTTGAATTCGACAATTGGGTGTTTGACTTATATAGGTACTGTAAGATTGCTACTCTTTGGTTAGATTGCAGATTACAAGATTGGATCGGAAGAGATGCACAAACTCAAATTATTAATTCACCCCTTTACCGCTCGGCCCGCTCTATGCCTTTCATCTAGACGATTTGCGAAAAGATAAATCGTTTAGATCACGAGCCATTTCCTAGCTATGACATTTGCCAATTTCCTGTTACCTGTGATCATACAAAGAACCTTGATATTGTGTGCAGTATCAATCGTGATATCTTCTCGTGAGCTCTTATGGTCTTTGGTCTCGTTGAGTACCCGAAGATAGTATTTTATCGCAAGGTGCGAGACACCAAGCATATGATAAACTCTGGCCAGATTGTAATGTGCCTCCTGGCGCTCCTCGACAATGGATGACTGTTGACGTGAGTTGTAGTAATCGAAAAGAAATGTCAGACCTTGAAGGATCATGAATTGCCTATTATCCGCTTGTCTCTTGAGGGAGTGATGGACGTAGGCAAGTCCTATGTTCAAATTGATTACAGCGTTATTCGGATCGAGTGCGTAAGCTCTTAGGAAATAGTCTATTAATTTTGGTTAGCCCACAGATTGGTACGGTAGCTTAGGTTGAGGTACTTAGAGAGTAGGCATAACTTGTTCCCGAGTAGAGAATATGGCCGTACAACATGAGGAGAGCGATGTCCATATCATCATTAAGTATTGGTTTTCCATTCTTGTCCTGGGACGTGTAGCCAGCTTTCTCTGCAAAGCCTCTTTGACGACGACTTTTGTCGACTAGGTTGAAATCCATGGCCTTGACTTGACGAAGCATGTACTTTTGTTCAGGACCTGAACAATACCACGAGACTGGAGACTGGCACAACCTCGCTATGGCTGCGTACATTCTGTAAGAGTCGGTTGTGAATTGATATTCTCTCATGAAATATCTTGCCACCCTGATACACATCTCCTCGTCGTTGCAGAGTAAAGCACAAGCTTTATAACAATTAGCACAATATCAATCTCCCGACAAAAATGTGAACTTACTACCCCAACACACGTGGATCAGGAACATATCCTCGCGCCTATGATAAAAGACAATTGCATCCCTGGCAGATTCGCAAATCTCATATGACCCTCGATCATTTCCGTCCTTAGCGAGACAAATCGCGTACTCGAGAAAGATATCTAACCAGGAACTAAACGAGATGCCCCGATAATCAGCTGGAATACTAGCAGATGTAACATTCGTCCGGTCCTCAGCATCCGCTCCGAGTTCTAAATGTTGTCAGTACTCTATGGGGCCAAGTGTTGGAAGGAATTTACTGACTTTTAGACAGTCGATCGGCCATCTCCGTTAGATCAGTCTCTAGCTTTGTCTCCGCCTGGAACTTATCATCGTGGGAGTAACCTAAAAATTTGACATATTTATCCCAAGGATAGAAGGTTTTGAACCCTCTAAAATCATCGATCAGATCTTCAGCAGCTTCCATCCACATGTGTGTGGCTGTTGACTCTCCAGCTCTCATCCGCTCAAGCTCTGCTTTCATGGTAGAGTACTGGCTCTGTAGATGTTCTGCTCTCGCCGCCTCTTCCTTGAGCCTTTCTGCTGGATCAAGGAGCCTGCGGGGCACATAACGGGATTGCGGTCTTCGTATTGATGCAAAAGAAACATGCTTCTTACGCGGCTTCTTGGAAGATTCAGCATCAAAGGATTTTGTTTCACCTTCAGCATCCTCAAGTTGCCGTTGTGCTCGCCGAATTGCAATAATCTCATTCACATACATGAACGACTGTTCTCTTTCGTTCAACCTCTCGTACAATCTAGCGAGTTCCATCCTTGCTGGGATATTGTCCTCTTCCATTTGTACTGCATTTTGAAAACAGAGCTCGGCCTCTTTGTCAGTCTCCTCACCAAGCCAGCACTTACCCATCTTGAATTGCAGCGAGGCACCTTCGGTACCAGTACCTGGGGCCAATGGTAGATAGAAATCCAAGGCATCCCTATGATAACCCTTTTGAGACAAGTTATCAGCAACCTCCTCAAAAAGATGAGGAAAATCCTCAGTAAGACCTTGACCATTATAATCCGAGGTTTTAAGATACTCGAAATGACGCTGGCCGTATTAGAAATAACTTCCCAATGTAAGGGAATGGCTTGACTTACCAAAGCTTCCATATGATGACCGAGAGATAAGCGGTATAGCCCAAGTTTGATCCGTAATTCGACAGGGAGACTTGGACCATATGTGTCTGATGAATATGTCTTGGGATCAAATTGGGAGCATTCAGCTCTTCTGAGATCGTCATCATCCCACTCTCGATCGTCATCGATGAAATTATCCCAAAAGTCTTCTCCACTCCTTCCAACTAACCAACGGGCCACTGATCTAAGCTCCTTGATACCATCTTCATATTTTTCCATGAGCCCAAACAGTTGGATATAAGCATAAGCGTCTGTCCAACCAAAGACAGCGTCGGTGTCCGCATCAGCATTTTTGAAGTCTTTGAGGGTTTTGACATAAAGGTCCTTGGCGACTTCTATCTGCCCTAGATCAACGTAAATTGATGCTAATGTCTGAACAATTTCTGCGTCAAATGGGACACGCTTGTGAATGATCTCATACTCCTTGGCCGCATGATGGAGATTTCTTCGCTCAAGCATAATAGAAGCTTTGATTCTTCGAGCCTCCAAATCCTGTGAGTTTGCTCTGAGTATCTGCTGGGAAGCATATTGTGCAGAAATAAGAAACTCCGATCTCAGATCGCCAGTCTCATTTAAGGCAAAGTACAAGGCGCTATACCAAGGCCCAGGATGCTTCGGTCTCCAAGTAGCAGCAATCATCAAAGCCTTAACCGCCGAGTTATATTCGCCCAATTCCTTGAAGCAGGAAGCCATCAGAGTCCATGCCTCGTAAGTCTCTGCATTGATCCGAATGATTTCCGAAGCTATATCTCTGGCATCTTCACATCGCCCTTGCAAGAATGCCTGATTGGCTTGACTTAAACGTAGCTTGATATCACCGGTTGGCTCCGCTGCTTTGCGAGGACCTCTGATACCGGGTCTACGCCCTTTACCGCGTCGAGAACCACGTGAGCGTCGTCCTTTTTTAGAAGACCTACGACTCATCGGAGTCTCATCGGAATCATCGGAATCATCACTGTCTAGATGTCTGGCCTGGCGAACATCATTCTGCATTTTGCGAATACCTCTACCGAATTCACGATAATCGGGGTCAGAGTCGTCCGACTCACCACTATAACAGAGTCAAATGAATGCCAAAGAAATGCTCTTTCTTCAAATATAACATACCCAAGATCCATCTCTAAAATATCGTCCGCGGCGCCCTCCAACTGTTCCCGTCTTTGTTTTCTCTGCTCTGTACTTACTGCAGCAAATTCGGCTCTTGCACTGGCCAGGCTGACATCACCAGTGCCTTGCGCTGGCGATGGAGCATGGGAAGGCCATATCAGATTTTGACTCTGGCTCGCATCTGGATCTGGATATTGATGGCTTTGAGCCGTGGTGAAGCTATGCTCTGGCGGCGGTGGCATGTCGCGAGGAAAAGCAGACATTATGTTGAAAATCCTAGCAAATCTTTGAAACTCTCACAATGAAGGGTATAAGGTCTTAGATGTTGTCATCTAAGGTGGAACGATTCTATGCTTATTATGTGCAATTCAAGATGCGTAACTTGTATTAAAGTTAAAAGTGTGAATTTCTTGAAGAATTCAAGAGACCGAAAACTTCAAGGAGTGGGAAGTTGGACTGAAAGCTAGAGAGTAGAGTAGTAGGTATTCAGTCAGATTGATCCCGCCATGTGAAACGGAAAAGATAATTTCGAAAACAAATGTCTGGATATAAAGCATGTAATTCTATGAGTTACAAACAAGAAGAAGCAGGCTTCAAGAAGTTTAAGATCTTAGCCTTGCATAATTAGTGTAAGGCTGACAAAACTCTGTTCACCGCCTGCCTCAAAGCGGTAATGTATTCTCCCCACCTAAATTTCATTCACAGCCCCGCGAAGGATTAGATACCAAGAAAAAATCACCAATTCACTCGAATCTACCTCCTTCTCATATCGCATTTGACCATTCAATTACCATTCAAAATGTCCGCCGCCATTACCACCTCCCTTCCACCTCCTTCAGCCCTCCAAAATCTCATCAACACGCAAACACCCACCCCCCTCGAAACCCCTCACCCCGCCTACCTTCACCATCTCGCAACCACCATCCTCCAAAACCTACAACTCCAACACGACTGGACCTCTCTGACCCTGCATACCCATTCTCCCCTCACCTCGCTGCCCCTTCCTCGGCCCCTCATATCTGGACTTCCTCCCCGCCGCGCCTACATCCATCCCGACGAACAAGTCGAGATTCTCAAAGCTGAGCATGATACGGGAGATTCTATAGCACAGTTTCCCGAGCGCGAATGGGTTTTACCGACGCATTTGGAGGAGAAGTGGAGTCTGGCACGGTTTGCAGAGGTTTTTGATGCCGTAGGGACGGTGCCTGAGGGAGAGGGGGCAGATGGAGTGGAAGAGAGGGAGGAAGGGGAGGATATTGTGGGTGCGAAGTGGCAGGGGGAAAATAGACAAAAGAGGATCTTATTGGCGACGTTGCATGATGATAGTACCGTTGTGTACTATATCATGCATGATGGTATTGTGAAGCCGAGACAGAACTGAACTGTTCTATTCGGAAGGATTTTCTCTGAGCGAGTTGGATTTCCTCAATGTCTCGAATAATATCACAGATTGAGGGGTAATTAAAGCACTTCGAATCTCCCAAGACGCAGAACTTTCCAACGCCTCGACCACAATTTTCGAAATTCGGGTCCCTAAACCTGCAAAGTCTACTCATTGTCCCGATACTTTGAAATCTGCACCACCCTCACAGGAAAGAACGCTGTGAATTTTGGGGATAACTTTACGATGTAAAACAAAACGTGTTTACTCCTACACTATCATTCTGCTGAGGAGATCCGACGAGAATTGAACGATATTGCAGTTGAGGTTTGGAACATGGGACCATTGGGTTATGTTTGTTCCTCAACCCCATCAGTCCATTGAACTCCAGATCCACCTTTCGATTCGAATCCGTCTACAATAACGAGATCATCCTGCCATATACAAAATCCAAAATCCAAAGTATGTATTGAGGTGGCAGTGTGTAGAAACCAAAAGAGGAAGGACCAACCATACTTGCCGTGGTCTAGTGGGTAGATCCCTAGATCTCTTATGGTCAGAATCGTTCAAAAAAGAGTTCGAGACAATGTCCAGTCAACATATCTGCTAAAGTTATCTATATCTATTAAACTCCCATTATGCAAGTAAGGTACTTTACTTTACATGCGGATATACTGTCCACCCCTCGGAAACACATCCTACAAGCTCATTATGGCACACCAGGAGGTTGTACGAACCCGAGGTCAAGCTCTCCTGCTACGAATCGTCAGGCGGAAACTCGTGCGGTAAACATCGAGGACACTTTGCCATAAATTGCATTTGGACAACCGCTATCTTGAGAACTTTACCCGGAGGGCAACGTTTTCCTTTCAGAGGAACCTCTAAAGTCATAAACAGCTTCCATAGAACCTATCAATATAAATAGAATACCCAATGTAATTGATCTGCAAGTCATCTATATGTATCAATTGAAACGGTCAGCCTCCGGAGTAAACTCCATCCCATCCCAACTCGTCCCATACCGTCCCATACCGTATCCATATCACCAGATCAATTCCTCAATTCCCATCACTCCATCAATTCATCAATTCATGAGCCATGAGCCATGAAACATACCCTACTCCCATCAAACACCCATCTCGCATGTAAAGTAAAACCCAATTTAACCCCCACAAATCGTAAATCGCAAGTCGCCAACCCCAAATCTAAACTCCAGATGTCGTGTTCGCGGGTGTCTGTCAAGAAAAGACCAACGCAGATGCTCCATTTACTTTCCTTTGCTTTCCCATTCCCATTCCATGACCTCATTTCTTATTACAATGCATTGCATCGTATCGTGTCGCATTTGCATCATACCATACCATACCAAATCATCTCCAACCCATCTTCTCCCCCTCTCCAATAACCAATCCATTCCATCTCGCTACCTCTCCCCCCTCCCCTCTCCCCCCCCTAATTAACATTACTCAACAACTCCGCCTCCAGTATAAACTTCCCCTCCTTATACTTCTCATTCGGCTCATACGCCTTATCGTATTTCCACCCCACCGTCTCATTACAGCGTTTACAAACAATATCGCGCACAATGTGTCGACCGGTCGTCATGTTGCGCTCTGAGGGTTCGCCCGGCGTAATGTTGACTACAGTGCCGAAGAGGTAGGCTTTGCCGTGTTGGCCGCGGAAATTCTGGGTTGGAGGGGAGAGATGGGTTAGTTCGGGGGAAGTGGGGAGTGGGGAGTGGAAGCCAAGAAAGTAGAAGATAGGGAAAAAAAACAACAAACCCGTGAAATAATCTCCTCATGCGTACTCAAATGCGTCTTGCAATTCTTGCACCCATAGATCTTGTGACCGGTTAAATACGTATTATACGAAAGACCCATGATGTACCGTGCGTGATTCCTCTCTTATCTCTTGATGTCGATCAAGTTGGGCTTCTGGATTCGCGGTTCGTGAGGTATGATATTTAGGAAGTTTTGTTTTGTGTGAGGTGAGGTGAGGTGAGGTGAGGGGCAAGCTCTGCGATGAAACCAGATGGAGGATAGAGGATATGAGAAGTTTCGAAGAGATCAAGTGGAAGAATTTATATTTCGTAGAAGTATTTAGATGGAGAGATGTAGGTAGGTAGGTAGGTTGCGAATGAGGTCGGGTCCGGTTTGCTTTGCCTGTCTTCTTATTGTATGGTAGCTAGGGAACTCAAAGGTACCTATGGTATGAATCAAATGCCTTCGTTGAAAGGCACCGCTCGTCTTGTCTCCTTGCTTGTCTGCTTGTCCGGTACAGTATGAGTTTTCTTATTTGCACACACTTGTGAGATACGAATATGGAGGTACTCGAGTAGATATTTGAAATTTAAATGGGTAGATAAGATGGTGAGATAGGTGGTGAGTGAGGTAGATTGAGGTGGCTTGTGATGGGTTTATCTTATCGGCCTTATCCTATCTAGCCTAATGGTATTCACTCTATTGTAGTTGAGTGACAGACAAGTGAATCAAATGACCCTGAAAGAGTCATGTCCTTTGATGATTTGACAATAATGAATAATTTTAACTAATCTTTCTTCGAATATACCTAGGTAGGCAGTTATTCTTTCACGAGTTTAATATAATTCTTGTGTTTGCATTTTCAACGGAGATGAGCAGTAAGGAGTGAAGGTATATGATGGATAACGACAAGATAAAGTTTTAATTTTCAAAGAATCTTCTTGATTTGATTTCTATGATATGTTTCTATATACAATCTCTTAGGATATCACAACATAAATTCGCATTTGATATATGAATCTATGTTTCGTTCATCGTATGTACTCCCTAACTACCTAGGTACTTTCCAACTAGCTACTGAACCCAACCGAGACCAACATGATCCTAATATCCAGCCAGATCACATTCGCCGATCCTACCAACGGTTGGTTGTTTCCCTCATCCCATCCCATCCCCTAAAATATACAATAATGAATGCCTCCCCTCCCAGCTATCGTGTGTGTGACACTATCGTTTCCATGTGGGAACAATATTGGCACGATATACAAGAGATGGCCTCAGATTTACCATGAGAATGCTTCTTCCACGAAATCAATATTTCCAGTATATTGATGTTTACGAACTGCGCTTCGCACATCATCACTCAGTGCTCCACTACCACACACCGAGACACCCATAGCACCGACTTGGTTCTCCATTTCAATCTCCATCAAGGTCTCGATGTTGGGTCTACCTGGGAACATCTGTACCGTTGCAGATGGACTGTGGATTTCCTTGGTAGATCTTGGTCGACTAACGAACAGCATGATGCGAAGGACTTCACGACGTTTGTCCATCGCTAGGATCGAAGTCATCCATGGTCGGATCCACTCGAGATGTTCTGGCGATTGAATGGTCCAGACGAGGACAATCTTTCGTGCGGCCACGGTTCCGTTGGCATAACCAGCGACGAGGTCTCGTACGTGGGGAACTTGGTGAGTGATACCAACACCTCCTGCGAACAACATCACGGTTCCATAGGAATGCATCATATGCATACCTCCGTATGGACCTTCAGGCCAACACTTGGTGTAGAGTTTTCCATCGGGGGAAGACTCAGCTTTCTTGAAAAGCTTCTCAGTAAATCCAGTTCGGGCTCGAATGACAAAGGACATGCTTGTCTTTTGCATAGCTAGGATATCCTGGCGGTTCATTGCTAGCTTCTCATCTGATAAATCCGCTGCCTCTTCCGACCAAGCAACCGAGAAAGGATGAGACTGGAAAAGTCCAACAGAAGGCATATATAGATAGGCGTGTTGTCCCGGCTTGAACTTCCATGGTCGGGCCATATCAACGGTAACTCGAACGGCATTTCCTGGGAGAGCTTCTACCAATGTCCTGGATCCACCCTTTCCGAAGTTTCTATACGCGACTGTGAGTATTCTCGTAGCACGTTCAGCGGCCCAAAGGATAATGGCTCCCCAGAGAAGGGATAATTGTGGAAGGTCGACCAGCTTCAAGTGGTAGTAGACACCGATGATCACAACGATGACAAGTAAGATGTGAAGGTATTTGAAAATTTCGTATGCGGCGTGGCGAACAGGTGAGCTAGCCTGGATCATGATGACAATGGCGGCGATGACGGCCTACGATTCTTAGCACAGCTCTCAATTCTTTTCTTAAGGGGTAACTTACGATGGCTCCATAGATCTCAAAAGGACTTCCTCCAATCGATGGCAAAACCGCGGCCCAACCAGAAGCATGAACTGTGGAAGCAACCCAAGCACCAACGTGGGTAATCATTTGAAGAGTTACGATTCTTCCAGTCCATCTGTGCAAAAGATTGAATGTATCGAAAGACATATTGAGCCAGTTAATCAAAGGATTGTTTCGGGCAGCCATGATGAAGAGAGGAATCTAATGGATGATTAGCACGTGATAGACATAGAAACTCCTTGCGCTTCAAACCTACCATGTTAACAACGGCAAGAATACCAGTCCTGTTTCTAACCTGCTGGCAAACGGTAGCATAGGCTTGATCCCAGGTGATGCTAACAACACAGAAAGCAATATTTGTCCCAAAATAGGCCAAGAGGAAGACAAACTGCAGTCTAGTTGGAAGAGTGCCGACGTTGACGGCCCTTCCCATTTGGATTTCCCTATTGTGTCTCTTGCCGAAGATAGGAGCATAGAGGACATGTTTCTTGAACTTTGCATAACCAGAGGAGGGAATAGCGAAATATTTTTGTGTCTCGTTGTTGAGTGATGCCATAGTTCGCACATATTTGGTCGTCTCGATTCCGATTCTCCAGACCACCATAGCTCCAATCAGGGACGCAAGAACGATAAATATGTAATCATGAAAATCCTGATTGAACATTTTCGCATTGGCTTTGATCGCGGCGGCGACCGCAGCAGCAGCTTTCGCAGCGGGTGTAAGTTCTGTGGTTGAGGAAGAGCCTCCAGATGCTTCCTCACCAGCCACTATCTTGGCCATGGCGAGAGCAGCCACAAAGATCGAAGAGGAAAACATGTTGTGGTAAAGAATATCAGAGAGGTCTAGACGTTATATTGTGAGTATACAAAGATCGACCCGATATGATGCCTTGGTAAGTTAGGTGAATTTATCCGGTCCAGCACGAGATATAAAATTGCTATGTCTTGGGTGATTTCGTTTTGTAATGGACGTCTTGCGTCGTTTTGTCGAATATTGAGTGAATGGGCGAGCGATAATTTTGTGAATGACCAGCGAAACACAGTAATAAATCGTCTTCGAGAATAGAAATGAGAAGGAAGGTAGGTTAAGGAATGGAAAAGAACAAAAAAATGTTCAAGAAAGGCGTAATCCAGACGTCGAGGGAAAATGCGGAAAAGGTGAAGAAGAGGAGGAAGAAGAAGAAGAAGAAGACAAATCGAAGGTGGGTGGGTGGGAAGGAGATTGAATAGAATGTATTCAGGTCTTGGCTAGACTCGTCGGAATGGATTCCTGTGTGAATGAATGGATAACTCTGATATGTACGGACCGCGGGGAAAGAAAATAAACCCTAGGCCGCGCTTCGAATAGGAATCCGAGACAAGATAAGAAGTGTAGGTTACCTACTGTATTTTTATTTATACCCGTATACAATTGATTTCTTATTTCTTTCTACAGTATTTCTTTTTCTTCTTGTGACCAGGGCGGAATTGGAAATTGAAGGAGATATATTAAAAAAATAGATTGGCTTGAAATGCCTTTTAACAGGGGGTTCATTGCAAGTGTTTATTAGGGATTGGATGGCGTGGACAAGGGGGCTACCCTTGTTTTGGCTACCGCTGCAAGGTACCATAAGCCTATGTCGATAGGCTTGGCGACTTCTTTATAATTGTGGAAATAGTTATATGGGTGGGTATAAGTTGTGGAAGATCAGTAGGGAAGATGCGAGGTTCTTTGTATCAGATCATGTTCCTTTTTGGTGAATGGGAAAGTAGAGGCGAGTAATAATAAACATGTTGCAGAAGAGATCGCACTGCACTACGGATTCCGGAATACTAATCTGGGTCTGGTCTTTGGCTCTAGGTCAACTAGAGGTTGAGTTATTCAAAGTATGGTGTGCATACGTATTTTGATACAGCAAAGTTTTGACTTCTGACCTTGTTATAGTGGACGATCTATAGGTGAAGTAGGTTGAATAAGTAGATTGAAGTGAAGGGGGGTCTGCTAGCCGGGTCTTGTCTCATGTCTTGATGATAGATGAAAATGGTGTCATTGGAATGTTGGGTATCTAGGTAGACATAGATGTTGTGTTAATATTAATTCAAGATACACAGAATGTCACGGTTGTTGTTTAGGTATTTGCAAGATTTGCAAGATTTGCAGCTTTAGATTGATTAACGGATAAATAGATTGATTGGACTTGTAACTCCCCGAAGGCTGTGGTATGAGGGGTTTGTACAACTTTGTTGGGATAGAAAGTGCCGATGGGTGGTGGGACGGGATGGAATAGGATGAAATGGCAGTTATTTCGGGTGTTTTGTTCTGTTCTTCTCGAGTTTGGGGGCACAGATGACAATTCTGTATGGATAGTATTCCTTCCTAGACCTTTCATCTGTGGCTCAGCACTACCGGTATAGGTGCAGTTATTGGCTTGTCCACAACCTCTCCTCCAAACGAATCCAAAGATTGGGCGAGCCTTCAACTGACTCAAAAGACAGTTTATAAGAATGAACACTGATTGGTACAAAAAAGTTTCGTAGATTGGGGGTTATCAAGCGATCAAATAGATTTTCTAGATGTGGAAATTTACGTGGCAACAATCGTTTCAAAAAAAAGTCAAAAATGTATACAGAAGCGAAGGATTATTAGATTCGGTAAGGGGGCTCGGAACCGAAGTAAAGGAAAATTATTCCAAATAAGAACAAATAATCTATCTAGATTCTAGATCAAAGAAAGATATCGGTCGATGTCTGAGAAGAACGAATAAGCAACCAACAGTAGGTAGGTAAGAAGTTAATTTACTCGCAAATTTTGCAAAAGCATGGTACTGTACGGTAGTGTCCCGGCGATATTAACTACCCCATGCTTTCTTTCTGCAAGAAACCAGTCCCTGATAGAATAATGGTGATGGTACCCTATTGGATTAGCGCATCTTAGCCCTAATTGTTGGTGGGTTGTTGATCGAAAGAGAAAAGGATTAAATATTCCGAATGGTGCGGTACCTTGCAGATTGGATTGGCTAATTAATCCTGTACCTACATTTTCTCTAGGATTCGGTTTGTGTGGGTGGCCAGCCAGCGAGCCAGCGATGATACCTGTAGGATGAGCCTGCAGACTTTAAGTCACCAATTGAAAGAAGATCTACAGTACTCATGTAGAGTCTAGAATATAGCTATGATGGTTAAGTTGTCAAAGGGTCGGTCCATCATCCATAGCGTTGGTACTGTACCAACAACTACTAGTTCTAGGATATATATCCTGCAGATGCATTTCCATCTACTGTGAGTTCCCTCAAACACTTCATCTATTCCTGCATATGTTGATACAAACCTTATGCACTCAAAAGTTCGCAATCACGCATAATAACATTTCTTCTTCACCACCGCAGCATACGAAATTCCCAATCCCAATCCCAATCCCAATTGCCTCTTCCTTTTCCCCCCTTCACCTACAGGAAATCCATCCGAACTCACAAGTGACTAGTCGTAGCATAGCACAGCATAGCATGACATCACTACAATCCTTTCGTCCTATAAACCAGCCTCACTCCAATTAGACCTTACCTGACCTAACCTAACCTCCCACTTCCCACTTCCCACCCTCTGACCTCTGACCTCTGACCTCTGACTGCGCTCCTCATTCGTATCACTCCATATCCATATCCATTCCCCCATTCCCGATTTACAATCCTCCTGAGCCCCCCATCAGTAAGATCACCTACAGTACAAAACACCTCCAAAAATAGTTCGTTATGTATGTTTGATCTCTTCAACGATTCTTTCTTTCACAAAACCTTCTCTTTGCCTAAAGATTTGATACACGAACATAAAAGCGGTATTGTACGATGATACAACCCCCAAAAGGCAATAGCTATTTCCTAATTCATTACATCTAAACCTTCTTAGGAAGTTCGTCTACCCAGTATATCTACTATCTATCTGCTAGCTAGCGCACATCGCTTGACCCACTCCTATAAGTTTCATCAAAATGAAATTTTTGATGGGTCCCACACACACACACACCATTATCGTTATCATCGTTCGAGAATCTCCTTGATCGATTGCAAGTAGAGCAAGTGTTATGAAATTTATGCATCATCTCATACAGACTCCAGAATCCAGAGAAACATGCTCAAAAACCTACTCGTATCGCCACAATATATACAAATCGCCACTCCACTAATAAGATAGCACGAGTTTCCCCCGTACGAGTTGATTATCAATACGATATGGGGCATATATATGTGGAACCTTTTTGGCGGAAGATTGGTGGGCATTGTATATATGCTTGAGTACGGGTATATGATACAGAGTGAGTTCGGCGATGAGGAGTACTGTATTGTATTGTATATAGGTATACTTTTGATTCGCGATTGATGATTGTGGTTTCGTTTCCTTAGGAATCAGGATTGAGGATGTTATGGGTGTGGTATATATGAATATGTTCTAATGGATATCATATCATAACATATCTCCCATGAGGTCTCTCTACTCGTATACGGTACCTTATCTCTTCTTTTCTTTTCCTCTCAATATATTTTCTATCTACTCGAGTACATCTACATCTACATCTCCATCTCCATTTCCAGCACATCTCCAGCACACCTTGAGCACATACTAGGTATCTACAAATACAAATCATCCAAAGTCCCACCACCATCGGTCCCGAACCTCAATCATCTATCTATCTCATGATTCCCATCACCATGAAACCAAACTGCCTTCCTCCTCTGTACACGACCAAAATAATGAGTCCAGTATCAAAACTCCGACACCCCTTGATCCCCCCCTCCCCCTCTTGACACAACACTCCCTTGCCCACTGCCATATCCATATAGAATATCCAACATCCAATCCACCTCCAATATCCATCCATATCTATCCATCCATATCCACACAAACCCCCTTCAAAGTTCCAAGTTCCAAGTTCAAACTTCAAACTTCCCATCCCGAGAAAAGTCAGACGCGAACAGTGTTTCCATTTCCGTTTCCGTTTCCATTTTCACCATACATACCATGCTATAACACTGACAGAAGCACTAACCGAAGCACAAGCATCCGTATCCGTCCTAGATGAACTCCTTGTCCTCAAACTTTGGGTCTCATTATCATTATCATTATCATTGTGATTACCAGTATTCTAGACATTATTATCCACCGTACTCGATCGAGTACTGTACTGTACTTTGTGCATGTATATTGTATCATATCGTATCAAGCGGAGCATTAAGCGGAGCATCAAACATCAAACGAGAACCATGGATAGATAGATAGATATCGGGACTGTACCTACAATTAGAACATCTTTGGCTCCTGACCCTCCTGACTCCTTGTGCACGATAAGATTGGTAGGTACAGGTACGGTATATGTGATGCTACCATGAAGCACATACCGTATCCAATGCAATATCCAAGTCCAATACCTCCGTACCCTACCCTACCCTAGCCTAAAAAGGAAATAATTACAGATAAGCTATGCTATGCAAAATTACTCGCGGGAGTTTCTGTTGAAAGTCCCCTTCCCCCCCCTTCCCTCTCTCTCTCTCCGCTTTAGGTTGATAGATAGGAGATATTTGGCAAGTTCGTGGGTTCACAAGTTCACAGACATATACCATAGCAGAAGAAGTTCTTCCTATTGCATCGCATCGCATCGCATCGCATCAAATCAATCATGATACTGTACATTATACAATAAAACATCCATGTGCAGTATGTACATTCAACAATAACAGTCTCCAATCTCCAATCTCCAATCTCCAATCTCCAATCTCTAATCCCCAATGCGCAAATAACTTTTATCAAAACTCCAAATCTCCAAAGCTCCAACCTCGAACCTCCAAAGCTACCTACCTCCAAATCCATACCAAAGCCAAGCCGACGCTTTGTCCAATAACGCGTGTAAAAATTCCGAAATACCTAATCACACACACGATAATCCGAATATTGTGTATCCAATTATCCAATTCCAACACAGCTTACTTGATCAACAAACATGAGATGAATTCCCACCGTCCACCTCCACCTCCATCCATGTGCGCCAAGCCCACCTCAGACGTCTATGCTTTCATGTTCTCATATACCAAACATCCAGCGTCGCATCACCAGCCTTATTGAAGGTTGCTTCGTCATCTTTGGCAACAATACCCGTTATCTGTCCATCAGACAATCTGATTGTCTAAGCTCGTCCTATGATCTGCAAATCATGTATGGTGTCGATGTCGATGTCGCAGCTCTGGACATTGAAACTCGTGGTTACACCTTCCTCAATATTCTATTCATAATGTCAAATTCTGATAACGTAGCCGTGAGAGAAAAGAAGATCTGCCGTCACTGTCAACCGGTCGAATGCGAATGAAACTTAATCGTCTCGAGAGGTTACAGTTCCTCATATAGCTATGGAGAGGTATAGCCGATGCATCTGCTGTCGGGTCGTCATATGCACAGTTCATCTTCGCTGTATGACGATTGTTCGTAATTGATGGTTGGTCTTTGCTTTTGTCGCTTCGCCTTGACTAGTTTTGATCGACGCGAGGCTACTGTGTTTCGAACAATTTTCAAAACATGAGTATCTTGAAAAGATTCATGGCTGGAGTTAAGTTCATCATCGCTGCTATCATAATGCCAGACCTCGAGGGATGCTGCCTTCCCTCGTCGTGTTTCATCTTCGATCCTTGATGGTAGTTGTATTTCTGGCTCAGCAGATTGATCGGGTCCAGCACTATCATATCTCTTTTTAGGCTCTGGATCTAATCGTACAGGCCGTTGTGCGCGAGCAACAGAAGGCGATTCAAGCTCTAACTCGTCGCGCTCAGAACTAGTAGGTATGCTCTTGCTTTTGCTGGTATTGGAAGCAGGCGTTACTGGCACCCAAGAACTTATCCCTTCTTCCCATCGAAAATCTCTTGATTCGTGGTGGGCTTCTGAATTTGCTGAATCTGGTCTTCTCGAGCTTTCAGCGTGAAGTTCGTCATCTAAAGAATCCGCATAATCGAGATATTTTTGGCCCGGTGTTACTTGCGCGAAGGCAAATGCGCTATCCACAACAATCCCACGCAAAACGGTCCTCGCCTTCAAACCTCTACCCGTATTCACCTGCTTAAGTTTCCCATGTACATGCTGGAGGTATTCAAACCCGGAAGTTGAAGCTCCTTTGCCACAACAACGCGCTACCGATGATATGAACTTCACAGCTTCGTTGTGGGCAAAAAGAGTCCTCTGGAAGGGTTGAGAAAGTCTGCCCGTACCTGGATCTACAATCTCTTCAGCATACAATCGATACAGAGAATTGGTAATGAAATCCGATGTATCATTCGCATTAGGCTCAGTCACCAGACATGCTAGAAGTAATATGGTACATTGTAGATCAACCTCCTTAGCACCACGTTTGATGGTTCTTACGCAGTCTCTCAAAAGCATTGAATAATTCTCGCTGATTGTGGTGGTATGCTTAGACTCTTGCTTTAAGGTACTCTCAACAGCATCTCTACTGAGAAGAATGATGGATGAAATTACTGTCAGCACGCTCAACAATGTACGTCTGCATATCTCAAATAGGTCAGCATCCAACAGGGAGTCAGATGAAGACACATATTCTACAAGGCGTGGCAAGATCGTATTCATCAATGTCGTTGCATCTACTCTCGCACGACCCAACCATAACTCATGCATCAAACCAGTCCAAATCGGCGTAAATGCTCGTGTAGCTACCCAAGGAAGTGGAAGATTTCCATTTTGAAACAAAATCGAGAGTTGCCGATACAAATACTCAGTACGACCTGACTTTTCGGCGAAATTCCAAATCTTTAATAGTGGCTGGTGAGCCCGACTCTCCGAAAAAAGACTTTCGCTTGATCTTGGGGCAGGAAATTTGCATATTGAAAGTAGACTTGATAGTATTAGGTCTGCTTCGTCGTGATAATCCGAATATATACAAAGATCGACGAGTATTTCACAAAAGCTATGTTCCAAGAGACCTTCCACAATAGCATTGCAAATAATTTGAACACCATGGGCTCGAACTACACTCTGAAGATGTCTCCAACCCCGGCCAGACGATCCCAACAATTCGAGGTCATCATAAATTTCCGTAGAGATATCCCTCTCCTCGATGGCTGAGCGAGAACCTATCTCATTAGCTAATAACTTCTCTTCCATGGTAATATATTTCGGTACAGTTCTAAGACACATGGATAGTAATGACTTAGGTCCTTTTTTAGAATTGCTTGGTATAGTAGGACACGTTGCCCTTAGTAATGCCTCTAGACCATTATAAATGCCTTCATATGTGTTGAAGCGCTCAGCACTCATAGTATTCCGAATCTTGGAAAATGCTTGTGATCCTAGAGTTTGTGCCTTGCTGGTCCCTAGGGGTCGAGTTCTAGCTGGCTCGTCGATAATTGAATCTGTGCTCTTCTGTTGGTGATGCCCGAGAGTCATCCCTTTGTAAGGTATAGCGCGATATGGTGAAGCAGGTTCTCCCCAAGCTCGGACGAGCAATGGCGTTAGAAACATAAATTCTCCAGGGACTGATGGCCTTCTGCCGTTCGAGGATACTCTGACGTAAGGCCCCGTGCTGGTAATATGTTGCCCCGAACCATTGGTGCCTGTCTTTCCGGAGTACGTTCTCTTCACTCTCTTTTGCCCAATCCAATTTGCATTAACATTATCCAATTCCTCGCATGATGCATCGTTGTTTAAATCAGAGACCGATTTGCGCTTCTTAGATTGGGGCGTTATGTAATTCGAGGAGATTTGTCTATTCTTACGTAGAATTGCGATTCGGGAGGTTAAAGATCGTAACAAGCGATTGCACCGAGCGGAAGTCCATTCCTTCTTGACATCTCGATTAAGTCGTCCATTATTCAATGTCGATTCTTTGCGACGGACTGAAGAGAAACTATCCGGGATAGGATTCAATTCCGATCCCAATGATATGTCCGCCTGTTCCATAATATGAATGATAACTTCGAATTATAAGTATGTTTCGAAACCCTCCAGATCGACCGATCTATGTGCGATATCCGTACTTGTAATAGTAATTGTGATGGCAAATAAGTAAGGATTTGGAAGACTTTTTTGGTTGATTTCTCTGTAAGAAAACTAAAAGCAATAGTGTGTGAGTGAATGGAAGCAAAATAAAGCAAAAGTGGTATGCAATAGAAATGTATGAGAATTGTATGTTGTATGATGTACTCGTATGATGTAGATATATACATATACTCGAGTAGGTAGGTATATTGATGATGTTGAGAAGTTGGAAGTTGTAAACAATAATAAAGTGGTCATGTAAACAAGGATTGGAATATATTTATTACCCGGGCCGGGTTTTTCCGTGCACAGAACCTAAATTTTGTAACTTTCCCTTTTGGATTATTTATTAAGGAAAATCCATTAAATTTATTCTTCACTTGCATATATCCATACATACGCACGAAGAGGGGTTTTTTCTTTCTTCATCCAAAATCTGTACCACAACTTCCCAAAGTTCTTTTGAATTCCTGCATTTCTTGTGTTGGAAAAAGTCCTTGGTATCTTCTCATCTTGTCATTGTATTATATCTAGTACTTAGAGAGCTTTACGGTTCAAAATGGCTGTAACGAATGAAGTTAACAACACCACTTCTGGTAAGCACTTCAAGCACTTCAAGCACTTCCAAAAGTTACATATGCGCAAAAAACTACCTCAATTGATCTTTTCCCAATTCAATGTGCGCCCTATTCAAACAATTAGCACTCATTTACTAACTTTCAGTGTCTTCAGAAGCCCCTTCCGATGTATTAAGCAGCTCAGAAAAGCTTGCCACCGAGGAAAATGGCATAGCTAAGTTGAATGGTGCTGAATATGAAGAGGAAGATGGTGGGGAAGCAGGCGGTGAAGGTAAGATGAGTTGGCAGCTCGAGAATTTATACCTATTTTATGCTAATGCGAGAACAAAGTCTTTCAGTTGACTGTGGTGCTTCCCCGTGAGCCCCATAAAATTCAGATCATCGTGAGTGACCCCTCATCACATTTGGTGGTTCAATGCTCATATGCCTAGGTTTCCTCACAAGAAGCTATACACGATGTTCGACAGTCCATAATCGAGCTCCCTGGAACTTTCCAGTACTCATGTTTCCATCTTGAACATAAAGGAGAGAGGATAAACGACTTCGTTCAGATATCCGAAGTCTCCGGCTTAACAGCGGAGTCAGAAATACACTTGGTCGAAGATCCATATACAGAGAAGGAGGCGAGAATACATCTTGTTAGAGTACGAGAACTTATTGGTGCTGCCGGAAACCGTACCGATACCTTGAATGGCATTATCTCTGGAGCTTCACTGCTTGAATCAGTTACATCGGCGGACTCGAGTCAAAATGGTACAAGCACGGCCCCGTCTCATCCAATGGTTGAATTTGATTTCCAGGCTTCTGGCAATCTCTCGACTCTTCTTCCAAAAGCACAAGAGCCAGGCCCAAAAACTGTCAAGTTAATTTCCGTCTCTCCTTGGAACCCTCCACCGTACCAGCTCAGACAGAAGGGACATCTACTCTATCTACAGGTAACCACAAATGAGGGAGAGCAATTCCAGATCACATCTCACGTATCCGGCTTTTACGTGAACAAATCCTCAACGGGCAAATTTGATCCATCCCCAAAATCTGCACCCAAAGCCCATGCTGCGCACTCACTTTTAGCACTTCTTGGTGATTTGTCTCCATCATTTGAGGACTCCTTTAAGAGTCTTCAGGAGTACAATAATACCAACGAACCTTTGGCTACATTCCAAATCACGAACGCAACCCCCGCGAACCCTTGGATAGTGCCATCAGCGTCTGCTCCTATTGTTGCGCACCAAGCTGATATCACACGCACTCAAGAAAACTATCTTATTGCTGGTATTGAGAACAGCGAAACTTTGCGAGACTGGAACGAAGAATTTCAGTCTACTAGAGAGCTGCCAAAAGAAACTGTCCAGGATCGTGTATTCCGAGAACGATTGACCTCAAAGCTGTTCGCCGATTACAATGATGCTGCCGCTCGTGGCGCGATCTTGGTTGCTAGAGGTGAAATCGCCCCGCTCAACCCAACCGAAGGCAAAGATGCTCAAATATTCGTCTACAATAACGTTTTCTTTTCCTTTGGGGCTGATGGAGTGGGTACCTTTGCCTCAGAGGGTGGCGATGAAGCCGCTAGAGCAGCAGTGGGCAAGGATGTTATGGGAGTTCGCATGGTCAACCAATTGGATATTGACGGCCTCTTTACACCAGGAACCGTGGTCGTTGACTACCTTGGAAAGCGTATTGTTGGACAAAGTATTGTACCAGGTATCTTTAAGCAACGTGACCCAGGTGAGAACCAAATCGATTATGGTGCAGTAGATGGCAAGGACATTGTCGCATCAGATGAGAAGTTTGTGTCCGTTTTTGAAAAGCTTTCCAAGGCCTTGAAGGTCAAGAAGCATGCCGTTTGGGACAAAGACGCTAAGCGCCATGATCTCGAAGGTAGTATCGAAACCAAAGGTCTTTTGGGTACTGACGGCAGAAAGTACGTTCTTGATTTGTATAGGGTTACCCCATTGGATATCACCTGGATGGAGGAAGTTGGTACTGCACTTGACAGCCCCAAGGAGGCCGATGCAGCAGGTGAATCTGCATACCCGCATCGCATGACCGTCATCCGACCTGAACTGGTCGAATCCTACTGGAAGGTCAAGATGCGTGAATGGGTAAACGGTGAATTGGAACGCAAGCGCCAAGCTCAGAAAGCCGTCGAACCTACTGCCGAAGAAAATGAGACGAAAGCTATAGCTGAGGCATCCGAGCCAGCTCAAAGCGAGCAACCAGCCGAGAACAGCGAATCAGCCAACAACAGCGAATTAGCCAGGAAGGACGAAGCGGACAAGGATGTCGAATCCAGCAAGCCTGCAGCTGATCAGGAAAGAATTGATATTGGTGATTTCAAGTTTGCCTTGAATCCAGATACTTTCAGCGGTCAACAGCCACAAACCGATGAGGAAAAAGCCGAATTTGCTGAGGATGAACAGCTGGTGCGATTAGTCTGTGAATACCAACGTAAAACAGTGTTACCTGAACTTGTGAGTGATCTCAAGGAAGGTGACGTTGGATTCCCTATGGATGGTCAGTCTTTGAGCAGACTACTTCATAAACGTGGTATCAATATCCGATATCTCGGTCAAGTTGCCACTCTTGCGGATGGCAAAAGACTCGAATCTTTACGCATATTAGCCGTCCAAGAGATGGTGTCAAGAGCATTCAAGCATGTTGCTGGTAACTATCTCCGTTATCTTCCTATCCCTTTGACAAGCTCATGTATTGCCCACCTCTTCAATTGTTTGCTTGGTACAGATTTGAACCCAGCTCCAAAACCAGATGTGGATGATGCTATGGCTTCGCTTTATCCTGAAGCAGATTTGAAATTCAAAGAAGTTACCCCTGAAAGTCTCAAACAAGAGATTGAAGCTCAGGTTTTACGTCGCTTCCGCTACACCCTCGACTCTACCTGGACCGCAGCTATCAAGCATTTACAACTACTCCGCGAAGTGTCCCTGAAGCTCGGTATCCAATTGGAGATGAAAGACTACCATTTCACGAAGCAGTCGCAGACTGAAGCAAGTGCTGCTCTACCAGCGACTAACGGTGAGGCCACAAAGGATGCCGCCCCCAATGGAAAGAGCACCAATGGCAAGAAGAAGAAGAAGAATGCCCGCGAAGGTTCCCCTGTATCTATTGTGTCAGTGAATGCCTCGTCGCCTGTCACCTTCAACCCAGATGACATCCTCAATACTGTCCCAGTCATCAAAGAGGCTTCTCCACGAAGCTCGCTTGCCGAAGAAGCTTTGGAAGCTGGACGTATTTCCCTCCTCCAGGACCAAAAGAAGCTAGGACAAGAATTACTATTAGAATCTTTGTCATTGCACGAACAAATCTATGGTATTCTTCACCCTGAGGTGGCGAGAGTATACAATTCGTTGTCAATGCTCTATTACCAGCTCGATGAGAAGGAGGCGGCAATGGAACTTGCCCGCAAGGCTGTTATTGTTTCCGAGAGAACCCTTGGTGTTGATAATGCTGAGACACTCTTGAACTATCTCAATCTCGGGCTTATTGCACATGCCAGTGGGGAAACAAAGTTGGCCTTGACTTACATCAAGCACGCATTGGACTTGTGGAAGGTTGTCTATGGTCCAAACCATCCCGACTCCATCACAACAATCAACAATGCCGCAGTAATGCTGCAACATTTGAAGGAGTACCATGATTCTCGCACGTGGTTCGAGGCATCTCTCAAAATCTGCGAGGAGGTGTATGGAAAGCATTCTATCAATGCTGCGACGCTACTATTTCAATTGGCTCAGGCTTTAGCATTGGATCAAGACTCTAAGTCTGCTGTCAACCGTATGCGCGAGTCGTACAATATCTTCCTTGCCGAATTAGGTGCGGAAGACAAGAACACCAAGGAAGCCGAAAAATGGCTTGAACAGCTCACCCAAAATGCTGTATCCATTGCCAAACACGCAAAAGATGTTCAAGCTCGAAGAAGCCGAGCCGGTATTCGAGTCTCTCCTCGTGTCACTCTCGGACAGACTCAGCTCCAACCTCAGATCGGACAAACCGCTGAGGCTGCCGCTGGTCGCGAGTCTCGCTCCTCTAGAGGACTTGATTCTCGAAGCATTGATGAGCTTCTCAAATTCATCGAAGGAAGCGATCAAGCCAGCAAAAACAAGAAACGACCTGGACAAAGCAATCCAAAGAGGCGAGGTGGTGCCGCGGCTGCGGCTGGTAAATAAAGCATGGGGTAGGAGTACAAAATTTAAAGGTTGGCATTGGGCGGCGTAAGCGAACCAGAATTCACTTCTTCAAACAATTGTATCAACACTCAATTTCTCAATTGCCTCTTTCACTCATTCGGCTGTGGAATTGGCCGGTTAGCATTCACGTGTCTATGTTTTACTATTCGATTCGATGCATATACGATATGACCCGTGGGACGACAGGGGTTATGGCTGGCTTGTACTGTACATTCATAGATCATGATACAAGATGCATAACAAAATAAGAAAGATATCTTCTCTCCCTTAGTAAAGAGTAACTGATTGAATGTTTTGCATGTGGTAATTCGGTGATTCGGCTATCTAGCTATCCGACGGTACCATTTATCGATGGGATCTGGCTCTCTAATAGCTTCCAGGACCATTGGCTTGTCCAGCAGTACCCGTAGGAACCCTGGATTTCGCTGACTGGGCTTTGATGTGTTCCCTCCATTTCATTAATATCCATACCAAGGTTGAATATTAGCTATCCACCATCACTGTTGGTCGAAATTTGGTGAACTGGTATTCCCTAACCTCAATGCTGCGAGTAGTTGGCTTCATTGCATAAGCAAATATCGGAGGGGGGGGAGGGGCATATCACACATTGCCTTTTTGTAGAGAATAAACCCGATTGAATGGACTGTTGGTTCAATTTGGCGGTTATTGGATCGGTTCCTTCAAAGATGAGTTGCGATTTTGATGCTGTGATGTCTGCACGAAGGAGAGTCAGATTAGGAAGAATTGCCTAACGTATATATATGTTAGAGACAGTTAAAAGTGAGGGTATTGTAAGAGAACAATATCTTACTGGTATATCTGCTTTTGCAATGAGATCTCCCATGTGGATGATTGCTTATACTCAACCTGTCCCTCGCCCGACCAGCCCTCTGCCCTAAAACTTCCTCTCCTTTTGATAAGATTGATTCGCTATAGAGGTACTTTATTGTGCCAAGTCTTTGATTGCTTTAAGTTTTGTTCGCTGACTGGATATTTATGTATTCGCTCAACCTCATTAATATCCACAATATCAGTGTTAAGAACATAACTAACCACCACCGCTGATCGAAGTTTGGTGAACTAGTATTCTCCAATCCTAATGCTACCAGCATCTCTATTGTGAAACCGAATACGGAGGGCATATCGCACATTAGTCTCTTTTGAGAGATAATACACCCGGTTGAATAGGCTGACTGTTCAACTTTGCGATGATTTGATCTCTTCCGTGAAAAATTAGTTGCGATTTGAATGCGGTATTTTCTAAACGAATGATATTGAGAAGAGGTGCCTAATATACAAAATTTGGAAAGAGAATAAAAACAGTACCGGTATATTTGCCTTTGCAATAAGATCTTCTGTATGGATGATTGCTTTTATTTTATAATACACAGATCTAGCAATCAAAGTATCCCCAAAGACATCTATCCATCCATCTCCACCTTCTAAGGGTGTATGGTATAGCATTGGTCCATTCCCATGATTCTGTATTTGCTAAATGTATCTTGTTAAGAATTATAAAAATAAGTAGTTTGATAGGAGTATTTGAATTGATAGTGAATTTGGCAATACCAAATCGTCGAGATAGAAAACCCATAGTGATTATTTTATACAGATTAAAATGATACGAGTAGAAAGAACGATATGATATCGATATGATTTTGATGAAGAAATGAAAAAGTTGGCAATTGCGAATTGATATTTGTATATGAATCATTATGTATTGCTCATAGATATAGTAGTTCGAACCTAGTACCGTCTAAATTCAACTATATTGGATAAGTTTAGTCCTAATATGGATTAAGGTTTTGGTTAGTAAATCTTAATCGTATATTAATATAGGAATTCATTGGCTGGTTCAGAAGTGGATCGTAGCATCATATATGGTTTATTTGGGCGTGGGATCGGATGTTATAGATTCCGCCCCAGTAATAACCTTGATCAGGAATTATTAACCGAAAACCTTAATCCATATTAGGACTAAGCATATCCAATGTAGTTGAGTTTAGACGGTAGTGGCTCGACTAGCTAGTTCGCTAAAAGTGATTAAGCGAGAGCGTTTCTAGTAATTTTGTCAATCATTACTACATACACTCACTCACTCCAGTTGCCAGGAGCACCCGAGCGTTCCTTACCTTAAGCTCCACTGGCTCCAAATCAGTGCCCCAATAGATAACAAGACAAAGAGTAAACATCAACCGCGATTATACAACACATCGATTCAATACCGTGTATCGCAATATCAAGAAGTTGAAGTCTATGAATGATAGACACTCTCTAATTAACTGTAAATTTCAATACCGGTAGCTTTATGGTTGGAAATTGCTGGACCTAGATATATACTCATTCGCAGGTCAATTTATCACTCACCGTCAATATGGCTATGAGCCTCAAGGTGCTCATACCGTTCCTGGTGGCCATGATGTTGGTGACGGGTGTCTGCAATACTCTTCTCACAAAGTATCAAGTCAGCATGCCTTCCAAGTCTAAAATCCTTCCCTGCTAACTTTACTCTAGGACAATGTCTGCGTCCGAAATTGCGATGACCCCGATCCTAAGAAACGATCATTATTCGAGCAGCCGGTTATACAGACGGCTCAAATGTTTGTCGGAGAGATGGGCTGCTGGCTCTTTGTTGGTGCATTTTCTCTTTATCGTCGCTATGTCGCAAGTAGTCCAAAGCCCGAAGAGATTGGGTACGAAGCAGTGGATACACATGAAGGAGAGGCTGCGGATAACGATGGAGCGAGTATCATGTCAAGCTCGACTGCGAAGATATTGGCAATGAACGTGGAGGAGGATAGAATACCGTTAGTGGGGTGGAGAGTGTTACTTCTAGCCTTGCCGGCCATTTGTGACATCTGTGGAACGACTTTGAGTGAGTGACCACGTTCCAAGTGTTTCAGTTGTTAGCATGCGAAGCAGCACAGGGTACATTTACATTATGATGCTAACATCAGTCTCTAGTGAACGTCGGTCTCTTGTTTGTAGTGCCCTCTATATACCAGATGACCCGAGGTGCTTTGGTGCTCTTTGTTGGACTTTTCAGTGTTATCTTTCTTAAAAGAAGACTGCATCTATTTCAATGGTTCGCTTTAGCAACGGTTGTTCTTGGAGTTGCCGTTGTTGGCCTCGCTGGGGCCCTCTACCAGGATGACAAATCTGCACCATCCTCAATAGCACTCGTCCATGAAGCACTTAAACTGGCGGCGAGGGAAGCCAGAACGCCAGAAGCCCTGCGCGCAATTATTGGCGTATTTTTAATTGCTGGCGCCCAAATCTTTACAGCCTCTCAGTTTGTCTTGGAGGAATACATTCTGGAAAACTATGCCTTGGAGCCTCTCAAAGTTGTAGGATGGGAAGGCCTCTTCGGGTTTGGGGTCACGATTTTTGGTATGATCATCCTCCACCTCGCAGTCGGTAGGACTACTGCTGGAAGATATGGATATTTCGACCTTGTTGAAGGATGGAGACAAATCACGCACTACAAAGCCATCCGGGTTTCAAGTGTACTTATTATGATTAGCATTGGGTAAGTTTCCTCTCGACCTATCTTTTTGACTGCTAGCTAATTCGTTCAGTGGCTTCAATTTCTTTGGACTCTCTGTGACTAGAACAGTCAGCGCTACATCTAGATCTACCATCGACACTTGTCGTACGCTTTTTATCTGGATTGTATCCCTATTCCTCGGTTGGGAAACCTTCAAGTGGTTGCAAGTTCTCGGATTTGCACTACTCGTTTACGGCACCTTCTTATTCAACAACCTTGTTCGACCTCCTTTGAAATCTTGCATCGTACGTGAGAGGGTGGAGGAACTTCTTCCAGAAGAACCAGTTGAGCATATGTGATACAAGAAGGTATCAGTGTGCCCATGTGTATAGGATGAACGATTGCCCAGGAAGAATGATGGGTCGTGGATGAAAGAGAATAAAGAGTCTAGAATCTTTTGCTAAAGTATAATGTTGAATTATGCATGCGTTTTTGATGTATCGGATAATCACGGTTCGGTTGGGGCATTGATTGGAGGCGCAAATGGTGTTCAGGGTTCTTATGCATGTAAGCTTGTAAGCCTCAAATTGAAATGTTGAACATGTGTATCTGCACGAATTGGAACATGACAATCACAATCAAATCTACTTTTGAGGCAAGTGTTTCGGCTGTAGCTGACCAGATTAGGCGGTCTTGGAGAATCGCCTCAGTCACCTTCTTCAATGCAAGAGGTTCACATGAATCGCATCACATCCCACTCCTATTAATACCCGTAGAATGATCATGGTTCTAGTTCGACTTAGGAAGGCGGATTATATTATGCGTCGGCCGATTGACTTGATCATTGGTAATGACATTCGATATACTCGAGTATAGTACTCTCGGGTACTGTATTGTTTCATATGATAAATCTACCGGTATGGTATTTGGTTAGATTTATTTGGTACAGTATAATGGAATTGTTCGATATATTCAGTTCGTCCGAAACACTCTCAATATAATCACATGGTGCCTTGACTTGATAATCTAATCTAGATAGGATATAGAAATAATATCATAGCTAATTTGGAAAAATCGGTAAAATGGACCGAATGCTACTGCCGTGACCACTCTGTAAGGAAATGGCTCGTCCGACGGTTTCCCCCATGGACCCGATGCTGCACACATGTTTTTTTGAACCAATAGACGTCGGAGGCGGCTCACACCTCATTTTAGCCGCATCATACCCTAACGACATCTTGGAGAGTGGGAGTGGGAGTGGGAGTGAGAAGGGGAAGAGGAATGGCAACCAGTTTTTTTTCTCTATTTATTTTGTATTTTGGGGGATTCGAGGGTTGAGGTGCGGGGTTAGATGATGGATGGATGGATATGGATGATATGATGGATACTTTTAGTTTTGCTGTGTGGGAGGAGTAAGATGGGTGAGATGGGTAAGAGGGTTTGGAAGACTGTGAGGTTAGAGAGGGTGAGATGAGATTGAGATAGAGATAGAGATAGAGATAAAGATATCTAAGGGTGAGCACTTGAAACGGATGAATGAGTGAGTGGGAGATGAGGTGAGGTGGGATATAGGATGGGATGAGATGGGATGGGATATAGATAGGGTGAAGAAAGTGGTTTCGAGTTCAATGCAACGACGAATTGAATAATATTCGTCTTTGTATTACCGTGATTGCTGTGTGTTGCTTACTTTTGAACTTTGGCCCAACCCAACCTTGAAAAATGAAGCCTTTTGATTTGTGGCTCGTCGTTTCGCACATTTATCCCCCTTGTACATTAGACGAATACCGGTACAGCCTCTCTTTTTTCTTCTCCTCAACAACAGCAACAGGAGTCGTCAAGTCACAAGCTATATGTATATTCCTATTCTAACAAGCAATTTCACGCAAGAAAGCAACCATTTACAGTATATGAACTTATTGCTCACTTGAGTTTCCCAACTCGAAGACGAAGACGGCGGTTATAAACGTTTTTTTCATTCTCGGCAACAAATACTACTATGCGGCGCTCTTCAGCGGCGTGAGTACTAGGTAGTGATGCTACCTTGCCCACCTATGAGGACAAGCCACACACACCACACCTACTTGAGTGAGGTACATGATGTTGACACAGCAATATACAGATATGTACCGTATCGACTAAAATACCTCGCCGATACTATGAAGTCTAAAGCTTCTTCGTATTATAGGTATATATTTCGGGAGCTTGGTATAGTACTCATCATGGACGTGAACTACTGGCACTGCCATCTTCGATATGTATGTATGTACGTATATGTATGTACGTATGTAATCGTATACTATATGTAACAGTACCTAATGCGAAAGACTTCATAAATAGTACGAGTACTGTACCGAGCGAGTTGTTTAGATATCTAGGCACTGGGCTATTGACCTGTCGATGTGATGTGATGTTTCCTGCTGCTGTGCTTGATAACTCCCCGTTCTAATCTCCCTCCTTCAAGGAATACTGTAGTACTATACTGTATTGTACATACAAGTATGGAGGAAGTGTGCCAGACGCTGACCCAGTAATATGTAGGTACGCAGCACTTACTGTACTGTATCAGTCAGAAGCACTGCCCAAGAATATCCCAATCCACCCACAAATATACAAACCAAAACACACACACACCCATCCACAGAAACTTTCCCTCATAGCAAATTATAACTTTGCTCTACTTCTCCCCTCTTTTTTCATGGGGAAGACCACTACCGGTACTCTGACATTCGTCTATCTCCCTTGTCTTGTTCACTTCAGACCTCTTGTTAGTAATTTGATGCCTTTTATGCTTGCAGAATATTAGTCATGTCAGTACGAATAAAGTCTATTAAACTTTGAAGAAGAAATAGAAGAAGAAGAAGAAGAAGTTATAACTTTATTCTGTATCTGGGGTTCCCAGGTTTGAGCTTACTACTCGGTTGTCTAGAGTAATCAAGTTACCTTGCCGGCAGATCTCTCGGATCGTCTATCTTACTCCTCACTCTATCGTTCCCTCCGAAAGCACAAGCTCTAGCTATATCTTTGGCAATTTGGATTCTTTCAGACTTTGACTGTGTATATTACCACCTGCAAAGTTACTAGTTCTCAAGTTGAGCGATTACTGGAAAGCAACGGTCAGAAGCTAGCGCAAAATATTCGCAAGTCAACGATTCTTTGCAGTAACGAAATATAAGCCGCACAAACGATTCGAACTACATCCCCTCTTTATCTGCGATTCTATAGCCATTTTGGTATCCAAGTTACTTATGCGATCCTATTGGAATTGTCGCGTTGTGATATCCGCTGCTCCCGGGTCAACCTGCATGCCTCATATGCTATGAATATATATGCCTAGCAGTTCAATGTGTGCGATACATTTAGTGCCTCAATGGAATTATGATCGAGGGCGCAGATACCTATTTTGATCCCGATGACGTTGGTCCGCACGATAGTCCTATATTAAAAGCGATGCATATCAAACTCGAACCCTCGCCGAGCCCTGAGGCTAAACCTCCACATCCCATCAGTCCGATATCTAGCCCAGGCGGACGCAAAGGGGGGAGACGACCAAATAATCGGGCTTGTCAGGCAGATGCCGTGCTAGTTTCGTTGATGGGAGGAGGGAAACGACCAGATATCGCGCGCAATGCTGGGGATGAGGCTTTACCTTCCGACGAGGATGAGTACGAGGAAAGTCCCATTAGAGGCACCGCAGTGGAAATACCTGCCCATGTTTTCTCCTCCGCTAGAGCCGATCTTGACACAATGAAGATGGCAGCCGATGCATGCGCTATACTAGGAGCTCATGAAGATCGATCGGCTTTGAGATCTTGGGACAATTCGCAGAGCGCCACTGGTGAAGCTCCTGCAGTTAGTAAGTTGCTCGCAACCACCAATGCAAATTCACAAGCACAGAACACTAAAGATACACCCAAATGCAATCCTCCTACACATGCACCATACCAAAAAGCTACGGCAGAAGTGGGTATCAGAGCCGAGACCCAATCTTCCCCGTCCACAGGTGAACTTCCACCTATACGACACTCTCCTAAATTAGGCCTTTCAAATGGCAATGGAAATCAACAAATCACATTACCATCGATAAGTGCTCAACTGGGGGACCTCAACAAGCTTGCTGAAGCAGCATCCACTCCAAACGAAGTATCTTTCTCCCAATCTCCGGGAAGACCAGCTTCCAGATATGCTTCTGGACCCGGAGCAACATCACCAGCCAACTCTCCGAATGACACCCGTAGAGGAATGATGTCTCCTAGCAGACCACCACAATTCTACTTTGTCTCAAGTGATCCCAGGAGATCTTCACAACCCGAGGGGCCCCATTATATAGCTGCTGGGGACTACAGCAGTAGCAGCAATACGGAAACCCCAAGTACCGATCAATCTGGCTCGACTCCTGCCACCGTGGTAATAGATCGTATGAGTATTGATGGCATTACGAATCCACAGGTTGGCGGCTTCCAGTGCACCAATCCTGGCTGTAAAGCTATTCCTTTCCAAACACAGGTATGCTTAAAGCTTTGATGAAATTCTAGGATTCAAAAAAGACCTAATCCCAATACTAATCAACATAACCTCAGTATCTGCTAAATTCGCATGCAAATGTGCATTCTTCAAATCGACCGCATTATTGTCTGGTCGAGGGATGCTCTCGAGCCGAAGGTGGAAAGGGGTTCAAACGTAAAAATGAAATGATAAGACATGGTCTTGTCCATGATTCACCGGGCTACATCTGTCCTTTCTGTCCCGAGAGAGAGCACAGGTACCCCCGACCGGACAATCTCCAGAGGTACGTAGAGTCATCTAATCACCGTTGCCATCCATAGCCATCCATAGCTTACTTCACTGGAACGACCTTGTCAACATCAATAATTGCGGGGGGCTTTACTAATGTTTCAAACAGACATGTCAGGGCACATCATACAGATAAAGACAAAGATGATCCGCAGCTGCGAGAAGTGCTAGCACAGAGACCAGAAGGTCCTAGCAGAGGACGGCGGCGCAGAGGAGGTAGTCGATAGTGTGGGAAAATCATGGAAACCATGTACACAGGTTGGGCATTCTCTGCCACGGCAATTTGCATTCACAAAGCGGGTATTTCATTGGGATGGCGGTATCTTGATGATTCAACGGAGGCTATATTATGATTTTATGGGTGGAGCACGTGGAGTATGGAGCATGTTGATACCAGAAAAGGGTTATTCACACCGAGCATTTGACGACGTTGATAGTAAACAAATGCACATTATTCTTTCTTTTCTTCTCTCTTCGTGTCTATACTACTATACTTGATGCAATTTGTTGAGAGGCATTTTCTCGGTAACTTCTGACGCGAATAAAGAATCTTGTCAGATTTGTTAGCCATCGCCTGTTCCCCAAACCCCTATAGAGATTTGAGCATCACTCAACGCTTCTACAAAAACATCATCATATCCAAGCCTTCCACCCAACCGCTCAACCACAACCCAGATGCCACCCATCCGAGTCATGTCTGGGGTGATATCTATATCCGATGTGCGGATACCAGCTGGGGCATCGCTGAACTCTCCCTCACTCGAAGATTCGAGGAGTGCTTTATTTGGTCCTTGACCTCTTTCTATGCTCACTCGAAGAGATGGTCGGGATTTGGGCGGAATGGTTCGGCCGAGCCCATTACCAGCTCTCGCTACAAATCTTAAACGTGTCAATCGGGATACGGTTACCGGTGCTAACGTTCTGTCTACGTCATCTGGGAAGACGAGGGCCGGTAGTCTCGTTACTAGACGTCCAGCAGTTTCCGCTAGAACCGGTCGTATCTCACAGCGACTGGAGGATTTAACGCGCAGGACGAAGTTTCCAGTTTCGCCAGCTTGGAATGTAGAGCACACGATTGTGTATTTTCCTGCGGTCACGTTGCGTAAATCTGCGAGAGCGCAGCCGCGTCGATAATCGCCGGATCCGCCAACTATGTCGCGGGAATTGATGACAGTCACCCGTTCGCCGTCGGCCCATATCATGGTTACGTGGACGGCGATGTCTTCTCTGTCGGCTTCGAGCACTAGCATCATATCTGTGAGTTCTTGGACGGAAATGCTGAATTGAGGATTAGAGGGGTAGGAAGGTGCGCTGGCGTTACCGCCTGCTGTGCGAGGGGTCCAAGAGCCGTTGTGAGAGGTGCTGAAGGTGAGACTGTCCGGGGCGGAATGGATGGTAAGGGGGGAGCGGGAGAAGAAGGAGAACGAAAAAGAGTATTTTGGGAGAGGGAGATTTTGTTGGGCGGCTACGACGGTGTAAGGAGTGTTTGCGGGCAGGTCGAAACGCGCGAGAGTTTGGGGAGAGTCGACGTAGGCGCCGCGGTGGATGGCGCCGTCGCTTAAATAAACGCGGTGTCCGGAAGCGTCAAAGACGTATAGGCCAATGAAGCCGAGGGAACTTGATGTTGTGCTTTCAGTGCTTGAACGTTGAGCAATATCGTGTTCTTCTGTGGTGAAATGACGACTAAGCAATACCCAGACGGTTTCTCCTCGAGTCGAATGGACGACATATTGGGGATTTTGGGTAAACGTGCCGGTGGTATTTATATGCGGAATGGTCCAGGAAAGATGGTGATCCTGTCTATGCCGGAACAGACCAGGGTTCCAATTGAGATACAAAGATTCGAAATTTTGTATGACATCCTCGAATGCCATCCAAAATGTTCCTGGCTTTGTGTAGCTGCTCTCAGTATCAGTTTCCTCGAGTGATTCGCGGAGGTCCTCCGTCCAAGTATTTGTTTCTGGTTTCTCCTCAGCTGGTCTGCGTCTGGGTCCTTTCCAAGCCATGCCATCGCACCAGGGATTTTTGACGAGTAGTAATCGCTGAGATCCGGATTCCCTCATGTCTAATATGGCGTAATCATGCTCACCAACCAGGCCCAAATCAGATTCCTCTCTTCTGGTCAGCTTACCAGTTCCCAACGTAATCATGACATCACCGAACTCCAAAGACTTGTAGACACGCTTCCATAGCAACTCGGACTGAATCTCGTCACTTATTAAATGAACTAAGTTAGTATGGCTTTTAGTAGTGAAAGGGTGTATGGTACCTCTGTAGAAATATTTGCTCGGGGATCCATCCCGTCATTATCCATAAATCTGTACCAGAGTTTGAGCCCGGAAAATCATAGCCACCTCGTACCTTAAGATATGCCTTCTCAACTAATGCAGGCCACAGTAATGCAGGATTATTTCTATCTACAACATGAAGACTGCGAGCAGAATTTGAAGCTGGTAGCCGATCGTCTATTGTTACCTTCCTATAACAGCCATTGAACTGAAGACGGAGGATATATTTTCCATTTTTGGATGACTTCGGCCTCTGCTGTTGTACATCAAATGGACGTAGAATAGTAGCCAGTACCTATTTTTGGAGATAGTCAGCAGCTTGAAGCATGACCGATATCAAAATACAAGATCTACCTTGCTATGACCCTTGGAAGCACGCGCCGTCCCCGCGCAAAGACTGGCTACGACTGAACAATCTGTAGTTATATCCTGGACAAGGTCGATATCTTTAGAGGCTTTCATCAAAATTTCGTCAAATTCCACATCTTTCAACATCTGGGAAGGAACACCGTCCCTCTCTTGAGGTCTCTTCCAACCCGCAAAGGTTTCAATCTGAGCCTCGGAAAGTTTCAGCTCCGAAGGATCTCTGATGGAGTCAGCAAACGGCCAACTCAACCTTATCAGGCTCATCTAGACATACGTATATAAAGATGTTGTCTCGAATATAGAATCATCGGGCTCAGAGGTCCAACGTGGGAAAAGGAATCCATGTAATCTTGATCCCTCGAGTAAAATAAGTTCTTCATGTTTATTCAATGGTCGTTCGGATATCGGAGCTTTGGAGAAGATTGCGCGCGGCTTTATGGGCCAAGTGGATGACTTTTTGATCTCTTCTGCTTTCAACATCAATGCCTTGCACTTGCGATTAATCCTTGCCCTTTCGACATCCCCAGTCACCTGTGCCTGCTTTAAAACTCTCAAGTACAACTCAATGGCAGTGATAGCAACTTTCAGGGCTTCTTCCCTGGTACTGCATTTGTCTATGTTCAACTCCGTTTCCTAGTCTCGGTGTCAGAATGACTTCCTTCATCACTGGGAATGATGGGTATCAACGTACACGAGCTTTGGCTTCCATGATGGCTATAATACCTTCCCCTCGAAGAGTATTACTGAATGTACGAAGATGGACAGCATGTGGATGAAAGAGTTCGAGAACGGTGAATAGTATATTAAGCCATCTTCTAAGCAAATACTTGTCCGCCTGATAAATGACTTATTGGACTTGACTTGCTATGGGAAGACTAGAAAGCTGGAGAAAGAAGCGTAAGGAGCAATCGTAAGGGCGCTATTTCATCAATATGTCTACTTATTCATGCAATAAGTAGAGCAAGCATTTAGTTTGTCGGCGCCGTTTCCCATCCGTTTCATAAATTGTAGTAAAGATGAAATACACGTGATGCTCGAGGTCGTCCATCAAGGTTGGGATAAGAATAAGACAGAGTCTTGGCATGGAGCAAGTGGATTGAATAATGATGGAGTGTGGAACGAAATGCACGTCCCACTGCAAATATCCGAGCCGAGGTTTAGATTGTCGCAACTCCGACTCTCGCGCCGCGCATGATAACGGATAAACTATAAAGAATACCGCTACCTATCACCTATCATCAGGAATTCCAATCCTACTCGAGTATAATCCAAACATCATATCTTAGATTCATAACACCTCCTATTCTTCGGTTTGTATTGATCAATACTTGTTCCTTTTATAAACCGTTAGATATTTATTCATATAACATATGAAAAAGACCTTGCACTAAACCTATATTCTTTACCTAATAATAATACTCAGATTGCACATCAATTATTGCTTGTCCATTTGCTGTTCCATGAGGTTTTAATCTCATTCACATATATATCCTACACCAAAGTGTAAAGCCCATTCAGTATATTTTACACATCCAGCATGGCTGGACAATCAAAAGAAGCCACCATCCCACCATGGGGTTTGGCAGTTGCTGGTGCCACAGGAGCTGTGATTGCAAATGCTATGGTATATCCCCTGGATATGTAAGTTTTGATCTCTGTTTGCGTTCACACTCGCAAAGTGGTATGTAATGGCTTGCTATCATGTTATGCGAATTTTCAAGAATATTGTGGCTAATATTGCAATCCTACTAGTGTTAAAACCCGCCTGCAAGTTCAGGTCAAACGCAAACCGACCGATGTAGCCCCAACGGGTGTCGATGCGGTCCATTATACATCGACTTGGGATGCGATTTCCAAAATCGTTGCAGATGATGGGGCTGCTGGGCTCTATGCCGGTATCAATGGCGCCTTGATTGGCGTTGCTTCCACCAACTTTGCCTACTTCTACTGGTATTCAGTAGTCCGAACCTTATACATCTCTTCTCAAAAATTGTCTACCCCTCCAAGCACCGCGATTGAGTTATCCCTAGGGGCTATCGCCGGAGCTGTTGCTCAGGTCTTTACGATTCCTGTGGCAGTAGTTACTACTCGTCAACAAACACAAGGGAAGGGTGAAAGGAAAGGAATGATAGACACAGCACGGGATGTTATCAATAGCGAAGATGGCTGGACTGGCCTTTGGAGAGGTCTCAAGGCCAGCTTAGTGCTTGTTGTCAATCCTGCCATTACATATGGCGCATATCAAAGACTAAGAGAGGTGATCTTCCCGGGAAAGTCAAACCTCAAACCTTGGGAAGCATTTGGTAGGTTTATAAATTCAGTGAGAATTCCGGAAGCTAATTGAGGTGGCAGTATTGGGGGCGATGTCGAAGTCCCTTGCGACCATTTTGACCCAGCCTCTAATCGTTGCAAAGGTTGGACTTCAATCAAGACCACCTCCCTCCCGAGAGGGTAAACCTTTCAAAAGTTTCATCGAAGTGATGCAATTTATCGTCCACAATGAAGGGTTATTGGGACTCTTCAAGGGAATTGGTCCACAAATCACTAAAGGACTCATTGTTCAAGGCCTCCTCATGATGACGAAAGAAAGGTATGTTCCAATCAATATCAATGTGTTTCAAGTCAGACTGAACCAGGCTAAATACTTCGTATAGAATGGAGTTGCTTTTCATCCTTCTCTTCAGGTATCTTCGAAAGATCAGATCAGAACAGTTGCAAAAGGCAGCAGATCTTGCAGCATCAAAAGCCAAGCAAGTTCTGCCGGTCATGATCAAGTCATAGTTAAAGCAGATTTCGAGCGAGTAATAGTAACAGTGAGTATATGGGAATTTCTTATTGGCTTTGGGTAGTAAAAGAATGGCAAAAAGGCTGGGTTTAGTCGGAGTAGATATGATAGAGCTTTGTACTGTACATACATTTTATAAGAAACGTATATTGATCCATGCAACCAATAATTTTCGAATTTTCGACCATTCTGGTGAAAGACGAACGCATTTACGTAGGAATTCTTGTATCTGTAAGGGATCGAAGTCGTCAAGATGCATCTAAATGCTGAGGGCGGGCTGCCAATGGGGTAATCGAAGCTAGCCATATTTTCACGTGATATTGAAATTTAGGCGAGCGCACCGATTGTCCATTTCTGAAAACTTCCTATTTTCGTACAAAACGATCAACTCGACGCCGAAAACACCAACCAACAGACTGCTACTTAACAACAGTCGCAATGGCGAGTATGTTAAGATTCCGATATCTGGAACTATTGCAGTCCATCATACTGATCTCGCGCGTTCTTAGAATCCAAGAACTCGTCTCAGCATAATCAGTCGAAGAAGGCTCACCGTAACGGGTACGATCTCCTACATTCTATCGCGATCAACCGCAACGTTTATCTAAGATAACAATTGGCCTTGGATGAATGGCGACTAATCTTATTCTCGATGCGCAGTATCAAGAGACCAAAGACCTCCAGATACCCATCTCTCAAGGGTACCGATCCTAAGTTCAGAAGAAACCACAGACATGCTCTCCAAGGCACAATGAAGGCTTTGGTTCGTCCTTCCGAGAAACAGTATCCGCTGCATTCGAGTACTAACTATTCTTACAGAAGGAGTTGAAGGACGGCAAGCGTGAGATCGCATGAACTGGATAATACCTTTTTTCGTGGGGCTAGGTTGTGGCAGTAGTTGCATTCCGATATTTTGCTCTACAAGGTAGTAGAAGCAAGCCGACGACATACACAGGGATTGGACGCTGGGGGCGATAGTTCTATCCATTAAATCAACACAAGCTACACCATCCGACGAACCCCGAATCATCCCCTTGTGAGGACAAGTGCAAAACGACTTTCGTTCCAATGAACCCCCATTCCCCCTACCCCTCTCTACCCCAAACCCGTTTACTCTGTGAACAATCATCAACACAGGCATTTGTGTGTACAGCTTTTAGAGCCATTTCTATGCTCTCTAGTTGAAAGGATATTTTCTTTTCGTGCCAAGATCAAACTCCAAACCCCTTCATTACCAAACACCTTTTCTCAATACTCTATGAGGCAACTGGTGCATGACGAAGGGGTTACAAATCGTGGATATCAAATATCAAGTCACAGTTCACAGGTGGCTTCATTTTATGGGATTATATATAGTATATTGAATACTTCGAGGACTATGGGTCAATACATATACATGGACTTCTTCATGAGTGATAGTCTGATAGTACCATAGATAGGACCATATCAAATTAATAAATTAATCGATCAATCAATCAATCACTTCAATTCAATGGACACTCCATAATCTCACAAATGCGTATGAACGACGAACTCTGAAATAAAGATAGTGAATTTAAATGTAAATAACTTCATTTCTTATAGCTTGTCCTTGAAAGGCAATTAATTATCTGTGTTGGTGAATTACTAGGTACCTTTCTCTTTATTCTTATTAATGGGCATTCCCGCATTGGCTTCGTCTGATTTCCTCTGACATTGCCTTGGTATTGAAGAAGACCATACAAATCCCAACGTACAAGCAGCCTATAGACTAAGACTAAGACTAAGACTACTATCTATTATTTATGGAATAATCCCCGAAGTCAACTCAACACACAACAGCACAGGACAGCACAGCACACAGCACACATTATCCTGTCATTGTATCCAAAGTACAGTACCGTACCAACACAGTACAATACTAGCAATCTACCCTGTCCTACCCTACGCTACCCTCCTCTCCCTCAGCCTGACTTCGGAGATTTCACTACCAAATCCTTCTCTATTGGTTCACTCCTACCCACCTCTAAATCCATTCTAAACCCATTCTATACCCACCTCAACTTATTATTTGACAAATACACGAACCTATCCTGTCCCGGTACTCGTACATTGGTTGATTTTGCTCCTCAGCAGGTCCTGCAGGTAGCAAGGAGCGAGCGTTGTTCGTCGGTGTTTATATACAAATACAACTTTACATTGAAGCAGATCTTTATAATTTTGGGGTCGAGGCTTTTGGCTGGAAACTTAAACTTGCACTTGTACTTGCAATCTTCCTCGCATTGACATTTATCGGCTGTGTTTCACATTTTCCCCCATTCCCTCCAACAAAGCCGAATCTCCAATCTTTCTCGTCCTGAAGCACTTATACAGTTATGCTCAATATGTCTGCCGGCCACGTTATAGGCAACCGAAACAGCACTCCTGTCGAGTCTACCAATACCTCGTCTCTTCGACCTCCATCCTCACGCGCTGTCGGCTCAGGTCATCACCTTCGAGCTTCAGCAGATATGGCCGCATTTTCAGCTTCACCTTCAGCCAGCCGTGGTCAAGTCCGACCTTCATCCGATTTCTACGGCACTCAACAAATCCAAAGTCAGGGTGTCCCTGAAAATGATGCTTCGGACTCGATGGCTCAACAATGGATTGCCGACATTGATCAATATGAGAATACATTGGAAGAAATGGCTGCTGCAACTTTGGATCAAGACTTTAAAGATGAGTTGAGCGCAATAGAACAATGGTTCAGAGTCCTGAGTGACGCCGAACGAACCGCTGCTCTGTATGCTCTACTTCAACAAACAACACAAGTACAGATTCGTTTCTTTATACAAGTATTGCAGCAGATGGGCAAAAGTCATCCTATGTCTGGTGTGTTGTCGCCCGCAAACTTCGATAAAGGTTGGTCTCCAATATCTCGGCTTCATACGTCTCATCAAATCCAGCTAACTTGTCTCTCTTCAGATCCCATGTCAAATCGACTTAACGATGCAATGAACAAGCTTAGTGTTGACGGTTCAAGGAATTCTGTGGGCCGCACTCCCGCTACTCCATCTGCGAAGAGGCACTCTGGTCTAGATCCTTCTACTATAAATGCTATGTTTCCAGATGCTGCGGCTGCCATCGCCACCGAAAAAGCCAAATATACCCAGCAAACCGGCAATCCTCCTTCCTCAAACAGAAACAGTGCAGCATACGATAATCGTGTTTCTCTCACCGCACCTGTCATTTCTGGTCCCGGAGACTTAGCAGATAATACCGTACCTCCCGCCTCACCGTGGGGATCTCGCAGTAATGATCAGGCGAATAGGCCCAAGTCATCCTCAGGACAAACACCGATGGGTCAGTTCATGCAGCCACCCCCCTCAGCTGGCGGCTTGCGCTCTCCTCGACCAACTCAAATTCAGAGCTCATCTAATCTTCAAAGTACTGTACTCAATGCTCCTGATAACCCGGGCTCTGATATGCCACTACTATCACCATATAACGCAGGAAATGGAAACTGGGCCTCGATGGTCAACACACCAATGGTTCCCAATTTCAATACGGCAAACAGCAACCTTCAAGCCGACATGGTCGCAAATGCGACGGCTATGAAATTGGCGGCCCTTTCCACAGTTAATAATCGTTTTGCTTTGGATGATGTGCGAAAGTACCGCCGTGCTAGATCAAACGATGGTGGACAGATTCCACCGTCTCCCGGTCTTCCCAACAACATGCCCAACGCTAACGTTGTCATGATCAATGAACACGGCCAGGTATTGACTCGAGACCAGGTCTTAGGGCTTCAAGCTCAACAGCAGCATTCTTTCGGCGGTAGGCAGTCTAGGCCAAGCTCTCCAGGGTTGACCATGCAAGGCGGATTCGGTCAAGTTAGTTTCGCATCTCCACAAAATAACGGCTTTCTGGCCGCTTACGATGGAGCCTCACCTCTACTCAATAATGGTATGAATAGCCTAAGTCTCAACGCATTTGGTATGGGCCAGCACGAGGGGTATCTTTCCGATCATAGTGAAATGGCGCGGGGCAGGTCACCACGTGGAAGAAGAGGTAGCTCAAAGCCTCCCGAGGATCCCACAGATCCTAGCCTCCTTCAGGATATTCCCAGCTGGCTGAGAAGTTTGAGATTGCACAAATACACCGATCAACTTAAAGACATGAATTGGACTGAGCTTGTGGAACTAGACGATGAGGCATTGGAGAAGAGGGGTGTCAACGCTCTTGGAGCGAGAAGAAAGATGCTCAAAGTTTTCGAGCAAGTGAAGGGTAAGAATCTTGTAGCCATCTCAAAAGTGAAGCTAACATAATGTAGAAGCAAGAGCGGAGGGCAAGCTCTCATGATTGATTTCATTCTTTTTATTGTCTTCACGCAATTTACGCACGCTTGATCATTTCTTGAGTTCCGAATTGTATTTGAATACGAGAACATGCAAGCAGCGGGTTGGTCGTTCATGAACAGGTTAAGATTGTGGATATGAATGATGTTGGATTCGTTTTACAAAACATATGCAGTTAGTTTGGATCTTGATATGCATAACACAAATTCGTATCTTGATATGAGAGGGGTTGTGAATTTCATATCGAAAGCTTTTAATCATGTAATGTGAACAAGTCAACTATCTCTCTTTGCACCATTTAGTACAAGCTTTGACTCCGGAGGCTTATTAATTAGATAATCATGAATATTGAAAGGTATTCTTGTATATTATCTCTTCAGATTTTGTTTTATAGATTGTTGTAAGAAGTGTACTAATATTGAAAGTCGACTATAGAGCTATCGTGGGAAAACACGTGCCTTTTTCAAAAAAAATGTTCGTTTTCGTGCACTGACCAATGCATCATTTATAATATGAAAGGTTAGAAAAAAAATACATTTCATTCTCGAGACTGCACCCTCATCTAGCATTGATATAGGTATCTAAAGTTTGGTTGACGATGATGTAGCAATATCTTAAAAAGGTTTCATCAGCAAATACGGAAACCCCTCCACTCGCTTTCTCGTATTCTCGTATTCACGCATTCACGTATTCACGTATTCTCGTATTCACGTATTCACGTATTCACGTATTCACGTATTCACGTATTCACGTATTCACGTATTCTCGTATTCTGCTTTCTCTCGCTCTCTGGGGTCAAAAGCCGCTTAAAGATAGCTTCCCATAGCACCCTTGAATCCCCAGCTCAAGAACAAGCTCATAACAGAATTCATCAAAACCAATCGAGCCAAGAAATCAAGAAATATATCATATACAATCCGTGATGCAACCTTTAATTCTTCTTTCTCTTTCTCTTTCTCTTTCCCAAATTCCCTTCAATTGTGCATCGCACATATCCAATATGACTTGATCGACATCAGAGAAGCGAATTATATCGTCCCATTATCTACGAATAACCGGGAGATTCTAGCTTTGGATAGAATTATCTTAATATACTCGCAATGACCGACGATGCTTTCGCGGCAGGTGGCGACAATCATGTGAATGCGAGTTCCAATGCTAATGCCAATGCGACTTCGCCTCCCACCATTCTACCGCGCCAAAATGAACAATCCGGTTTCGAACCATTCCCCCCTCTAGATGGATTTTCCCCCAAAAGTCCATCTTCTCCCACCACCAAAGTCGAAGCTAAAGGGACTACTCGAAATAGAAGACGATCAAGCACGCGGATTAGTATTAGGCAAGCTTCTAAAGTATTTGAAGAATCGAATCCGCCTACTGGGTTTTGTATTGCTTCGGGCCAAATTGCTTCGCAAGTCCCATCAATAACGGATATCAGACGAGGAAGTTTTAGAGCAGAAGGCTGGTCGGGCGAGGGACAGGTTCTGGAAAAACAGAGACGGACTAGCTCTTCACAAAGTACAATTTCACAAGTGGGCGAGCAGGAGAAGGGCAGGAGAAAGAACTCGATGGGCATGCATACCTCTGATCATACCCCATCCACCCCGGAAATCAGACACGATGTTCTCCCCGAAGCTGCGGATGAAGAGGAATATTCTCGAGCGCCGATACAAACGCATCGCAATCTGAAAGCTACGTCTGGGGTCACGAATCTTGATGTCACGAATAATGTCCTTGTCAAACCAATATCAAATGCTCGGAGTAGCAGCGATACAAATCCAATTTCTCACAATGTGAAGGTAAATGATGGATACAGGACAGTCCCTTTTGATAATGGCTATCAATTTCCGCCCAAACACTCATGGAAGGTATCGACAGCAATATTCTTCAAAGCCTTTTGGAATTTCTCCATCACGCCCGTGGGTTTTCTGGTTACGGTTTACGGACTGAATGTTGTAGCTTGGGGAGGCATGCTGTTCTTACTATTGTGCAATGCCTCTCCAGCCATGTGTCATCCCACCTGCAACGACATCAACTCCCCTCGACGCATCTGGATCGAAATCGATTCTCAGATTTTGAACGCTCTATTCTGCGTCACTGGATTTGGCACCATTCCCTGGCGCTTCCGCGATCTCTACTATCTCCTCCAATACCGCATCGGCAAAAACGAGGTTGGTCTGCGAAGACTGGCCGGTATCAACAGAGGCTGGTTCCGACTCGCCGGCTCTCAAGATCTTCCCGTGGAACTAGGGCCTGCGCAACTCGTCACCGAAAATCCCCATGTCCCATCATCAAGCGTGGCTTTTCCCCCTAACAAATCTTCCGATGCTCCACTGACGGGTGTGCGCGCCCCCGCATCCGCAATGTGGAAATTGGATTTTGTCGTGTGGACCATGGTGTGGAATACCTTCCTGCAAGCCGTCCTCTCGGGTTTCATGTGGGGTCTCAACCGCTATCAACGTCCATCGTGGAGCACAGGTCTCTTTGTAGCTTTAGCTTGTATCGTAGCTGCGTGTGGCGGTATCATGTCATTTATCGAAGCTAAAAACGTCAAGGCGATTGAGGGTGTGCCGATTAGCGATGCGGATCGGGAACAATTGAGGAGGGATGGGGAATTGGGTATTGTGCATTTTAATAATATTAAAGATGCAATGCCGAAGGAGAAAGAGAAAGAGGGGAGGCGAAAGGGGGAGAAGAAGAGTCAGAGTACGTCTGAGGAGACGCGCCTGGAACAAAGTATCGAGGAAGCGGGGGCGCAAATCGTTAGGTAGTGTTGGAGTTTGGTATATTATGGGTTACATGCGGTTTGCACATACATACATATATACCCACGGCATACAAAATGTTGAGGTTAGGATTGGGGTTGGGGCTAGGACTAGGATAGGGCTGGATAGTATAATGCTCATAGGCGTTTCAATTCATTCAGTAGCTCTACTCACTCGTATTATACGATTAAATACCAGAAATACACAATACACAACACAATACGATGTTTTCTCCATACTCGTAGAACCAGCTTACTACTATTCATTTGTATACTCTACTGAGTATGATATAACCATAAATGTTTTATTTATATTCATATTCATAAATAAACAACAACCCATGGCGATTTTCCTCCTCCTCCTCCTCCCTTCTTCAATATAACTAAAACCTAGTAGATATCCACTACTCATACTATAATCCTACTCGTACTCATACTCGAGTACTGTAGCTAAACAAAATTTCTTTTCCAATTTTCTAGAGTCTAGGTAGAAGCTAAATAATCAATCCATTCATCTGTCTGATATACCGGTACTTGAATATATTCGAGTACAGTACTTAGTGGAAAATCTAAAGTCTGTATAGAAAGTAAATAATCAATTCATTCATCTCTTTGATATACTCGCACTCGTTTGTACTCGAGTATTTACTGAATTTGACTTGATCAGATTTTGTATATGTATCGAGCTCATACTTATGCTCATCTGATATATTTATACATTTATATTTACTCTATTACTTAAGTATTTGATTAACTCGAGTATAGTATAATGAATGAATGAATATATAAAGCAAGGATTTTTCAAAAAAAAACCCCCCTAATTACTTTATGTGTGTAGAAAAAGCATTTGATTCTGATTCTGATTCGGTCTGTATAGTATATAGTAAGGTAAGTAGTCTTAAGAGTGATGATTGATTAAGTACGAGTATAAAGTATGCTTTTAGTTTAGTTTCGTCTGGTTTAGTTTGGGGAGCGAGGGAGTGATATGATGAACTTCAACTGAGTGATAGGAGATAAAAGATAAAAGACCGACTTAGTATCAGTATGCATGAGTTCAGTCTAGATGGGAAGATGAGAAGATGAGAGGATGAGATGGAAGAAGGTAGTGGGAGGGGTATGTACGCTTGTCGATATTTTTTAGCATGTAAAAGGGGTACGACAAACGACAGTTGAGAAACGATGCGGCCCGGCTTTTCTGGGACTACTTCTATTTCGTTAGTGCTGAAGAACTTCTGACTGGTATACTTCCCTAGCAACCCTTCCTGTATGCTTCAACTGATTCTGATACTCCATCCGCCTAGCCATTTTCATTGATGTTAGGTGGATTCTCTTTGATATTTCGAAGTAGAACAAATATTCCATAAATCTTTCATCACCCCAGATGATCAAAAGTAACATGATTTATATCTACCCCAGTCGACCCCTCCATCGTAAGTAGCATTCCTCAACCCGACATCTCAAAATCCTCGCCACCCTTCTTCTGTTCCTCCGCCCTCGTCTTCGTCCTATTTTTCGCTTCTTCCACCCACTCATCATACGCCTTGGGTCCTTCTTTCAACTTATCCCCTATCACACCCTTCAGCACCTCTCCCGCGAAACCCACGAAATTGTGTCTCCGTAAAGCATTTTCAAATTGCCACTCATTCCTCTTCTGTTCCTCCCTCGTCAACAACTCCACATCTCCCATTTCCCTCGCCCTAACTCTCAAATCCCTCACCATCGCTAGTAAATTAAACCGTATCTCGGTTGCCGGATATCGTGCTATTCTTTTCTGCAATACCGGTATAACCTTCTCCGGAAACTCCTCGAACGTGGAAGCACCATGAGATATGGGTGCAGGTTGCAGACCATCTAGTTCGTACAGCGTGCCGTTAATAGACGTATATGCGATGAAATGATACACATCTCCATCATCATCCTTCGACGATCGTTGCGTCTCATCGACAAACGGACTCGATTTCGCAAAACTGTTGTGCACATCCCTAATCAACTCGCTATTGCTGAGCGCCTCTCCTCTAAACTCTGCCGGAAATCCGCTGGTGAATTCTTTGAATTCGCGCAAAGGGGCCCCGACATCTATTTCTTCATCTTTATTCAGAAGCACCGAGAGTAAAGCTTGGGTGCCGCAGGCATTTTGTATGGTTTGTGCAGCGAAGAAGAGGTTTTCCGCGGCGGAATAATCGTAAGAACCATCTTTGGGTGTGCCATCTTTGTTGGGGGCTTCTCCGACGGGATATTTGAAGAGGAATATGACGCCGTAAACGGGGGAGAGTTGGCGTAGAAAATCGGAGTCTAGAGCGATCAATTCTTCGAATTGTACATCTTTGACACCGAGATTATCGAGAAGAAATGTAAATACTCCCTATTTCAAGAAGCGGTTAGCTATTTATTTGCTCCAAGTCGAGACCAGTGATGCATATTTCTTACTGCATCGGATTCAACTGGATGGAATTGTTAGTATCTTTGGCATTGTATATATATATTTCATACGAATATTGAGAGAACGCAATACTCACTGGTAGACCAGCCACCACTCATATTTGCGAGAGTTTAAAGTACAAAGCTTGTGGTGAATGAGAAGTGGTTTTGAATTTGGACTTTCATAGATATTTGAAGCTCCAAGCTTCTTTGAGTCTAAGCTCCAGGTACGATAAGTTACGTCGACGCTAACATCGGCGCTAAACCTCCCGCACGTGATGGACCCATATTGCTCCCGGTGAGGTTCTTAACGACGGAAAAATGTGTTGGATGTGAGTGGGACGTGAAAGTAGTAAATGCACATCATTTGTTTAAAGGTTGACCATATTTGTGTAGATTTTAGACTTTTTATATTACTGTGGGGTGAAATAGAAGGAGAGACATCAGATTAATCACACATATTCAGTATGCTCGTACATGTAACACACATCATTTGCGCATATCATTTCAAACATTTGGCAGTACAATAGTTTATTTTAATAGATTTGATTGATTGATTTCCTGGCAGATATCCGATGGATTATCTAGACACATTATCATTGCAACCCCAAGTGTTTGCAAATCCATTCCATTCGCAATAACAAAATAGCCGCTGTTCTTAACTATAACGCCCTCCAAATTTTTGTAGCCATCCATGGCTATCCATTGAGCACATAAAGCCCAGCCCATTCAATATTTCCTCCAATTCTCGATCCCCAGTCAAAAAACGCCGCCCAATGCAAGATGCTGTAATGGTATATAAGGATCGTGGGTGCTGGTATTCTACAAGAATGCATAGCGAAAAGAAAATCGTAAAACTTCGTGAATCGTTGGTCGGATATAAGGAGAGTCGTTAGGATGATGAATATTAAAAACAACAATTAAAGAAGATCCGTAAATGTGATCTCGTGATCTGATGGCGCGCGCGTAATCGTAAATACCAAAAGGGATTCGAAGATAATTTGATATTAAAGCTCGCGACGTTTTCCCTTAAGATTCGCCGGAGTAGTGTCGTATGGCGAGTGAGGATGAGGATGAGAAGTATAAGGTTGAAACTGAGGTAAGTGCTGCATATGTTGCTGCATATTATCTGAAGATTGAGGTTCGAATTTGATTGAGTCCACAGAAGACCTGGGCTCAACTTTAATAAAAGGTGCTGTTGTGGTCCTGGTCGTAAATGTTAAATTGCGTTCGTTCGAGATTTATATCCATACGGTCGGGGGCACAAACCCGCCGAAATTAGAGCCAGAGCCCTGCCCCTCATAAAGAGCAAAATCATCCCCATGTTCGCTGTAGACAGTGGAACCCTCCCCAAAATTCGAAGATGCCGGGCTGTGATATCCACCAAACCCGCTAGGCGATGGAATTCCCAAGTAGTGACTGGCGTATGGGTCGAGAGTCAATGGAGGAATGGCTGTGATCGAGTTTGGATCAGGAGGCATGGTCATGAGGTGTTCTTGGCTGTAGGTGAAAGCAGGATTTCCATACGGGGAAACGGTATTGAAATTGTCCTCCATGCCATAATCAATATGTGAAAATGTTGGAAAAGATGCTGTGCGTTCTGGCTGAACCCAACCCATGCGGTTTCTAAATTTTGATACCATATCGATGGGATACTCCATGAGATGAAGAGGAGTTTGCATATCAGAATCGGAAGTCTGGGAGACATTGATCGAAAAAAGTCGACGAGCGATTTCTTCGATAGGGCCCAAAGACAGACTACCAAAGTAGGCGGCACCAACTTCGGGGAAAAGAGGTTCTACAACCAAAGCGATCGTGTAGTAGTGAGCAAGAATGACCAATGCCGAAGGGGATCCTCGCGTTTGCTGCAGAAACATGACCGGTAGCCAGAACAACCAAGCTCGGAGTGGATTGAGCATTTCGAATCGCTGAGCGGCGGTATGGGATGGAGACACCTTTCGGACACCTCGAACAAAACTCATGAGCTGCTGAACAGCTTTGGTGTCTTCGCCGTTACTTTTCAAATGGACTTCGACTTTTTGAAGTTGGGCATAGGCTCGTTGCAGTGCGTCCAAGTCTTGCTTGCGTGGTTGACTGAGTTTTTTCTGGCCAGGCGCTGGAGACGGTGGTGCGGTCGGGAACGTACTCTGCTCTGCAATGAAATCACCGAATTGAGATTCCATCTTCCATGGTTGCATAGCATCGATGACCTATCAGATGTTAGTTGATGTTAATAGTAAATACCCAGAATAAATTTAAGTCATACAGATGAAGTCCCATGCATCAGCTGGGTCCAACCACGCCTATATAAATATTAGCTTTATGTTCATTTAAGAATATGTTCATTAATGACTTACCAATCCGTTGCTTGCCAAGAAAGGAGGAGAGAAGCACCCAAAACTGCATCGGAATTTTGTCTTGAAAACTCTCCGATAGCGTGGTGTAAGCCTTTAAGAGCAATACCACGATGTATGTATGCCATGTTTGCGGTCAGAGGGCAGTCTGTCAACCAAGCTAGATGAGTGGCGGACAAGGCAAGTAAGGCATGCATGACGAAAGCATAGTTCGAGCCAATCTTGAGCAGGCTAGGAGTTTGGTTAGTATGCCCCGCCTTCGTTATAAATAGTAGGTAAAACTTACAGTGGGATCTGTCGAGTCCAGATGGTGAAATTACCGGCATCATGGGTGCTGAGCTCACTGGAAACGGAAGCAACGTGGTGAATGAGACGAAGGTCTTCGAAGCTGAAATACTGAGGGTTGGGGGCTGGATAGATGTATAAATCAGGGAAGGGAAAATTCCCGGTCTGTTGCCAACGCTCGACATCTGCTTCGATTTCTGGGGTCCATAACAAGTCTGCTTTCTCGGGGGTTACAGCTCGCTCCTCCTGTACTGGCATGTCCATATATGGACAGCGACAATTGTGTTTCGTACAGTTTCGACTAAGTTATGGTTAATATGGGAGCCTTTTAATGCCATGAGATAGCTCTGCTTTCATTAACATACCATTGAGGAAAATTCTCATCGCAACGAATGTGTCTACGTTTGCAGGTTTCACAACCCTTTCGAGACTTGGTATGACTATTTCAAGTTTAGTTTGTGTCCACAGAGACATTGCCAATGGTATGTATCTTACCTCCTACGAGGGGGTCCACCTCCAGGTCCGGCCATTTTAGATAAGGCTTGGGTAAAAGAAGAAGTTTAAAAAGAAAAAATAGTAAATAATTGACGACGAAGGCTTGAACGAGTGAAAGCCAACGCCGAAACGGGTTCGGAAAAGTAAGGTCAACCGGATATATAGAAAGCCAAAAAGTTTAGATATTGTGTGAGAGAGGCAACAAAAGGGAAGACACTAGAATATGTTTGTAAAGTCTCCGAGGCTGCCGGATATATGTAAGCTTCACCGTCCTGAAAGCGAGTGTGATGGTAAGGCTGCGAGAGCCGGCCGAGTTCAATATCTTCTTGAATGACAAAACAGCCAGACTTGAAGGTGCAGCGGCTGAAAGTAACGTAGCTATACTCCGATGTCGAGATGAGGTTGGACAGGCTTCGAGCAGCAAATAAGCATATAAGCTGGGTCTGTCTTTGGAAATCCGGGAGATCAAGGGAGAATCCGGCCTGATATAATCGTCACACAGAGAATAGTAGTTGCGTAGCGATTGTGTGGGTTTGGGTTGTTCGACGAAGGTAGATTGTGGGTCAAGGCTGCGAAAGTAATAATTTTCTCCGAAGGCTTGCTTGCCTTTTAGGTTTTGGGAGAATTAGGGCTGATTGAGGACGACACAAAAGCGAATGGAATGAGCCAACGAGGGCTTCTTAAGGGTGATTGATACACACAAGCGAATGTGGTGGGAGGGAGATGCTGCAGCGAACGTGAGGGCTGAAGTGTGTTTGTTTTCTGGATGATCCTGATGCGAAAGGGAAATATCAAAACCATGATTTGGCTGGCGATGCCAGCATTCTAATAGCAAAAGGCGTCCTGTGCCGGGAGTGTGGCAGAATTGATGAAACAGGTATAGTGCTCAGCACAGCCAAGGTACCCGGGATGCGGAGCGCTTGAAAGCCTGCATGTGTAGGGCAGGGTAGTGTGGTACGGAGTGTCTAGGATGATGATGGATTTGGTATGGTCAGGATGGATGAATGGCATGGTGGAGGGTGGAAGGGGTGGAAGGGGTGGAAGGGTAGAAGATGGTAGGTGTATGAAAATAAATCTTTTTTTGGCTGATATGGGTACGTTTAGGTCAGGTGGAGTGAAATTGATTGATTAGTGAGTATTTTCCCGTAGTCATTAACAAAACTTGAGAAGTAACTGGTTAGAACGAACTGCAGTACAGTAGTTCAAGTTCCAAAAGACAGGCAGATAGTAATAAATTTTTAGTAATCTTTAATATTAGACTATTACTTCGCAAACTGCATGACCAGATTTTGCCATGACATGGGGGATGTTCTTGGCTAAAAGCGTGCTATTCACTCGTTCATCCATTTCTACTTGGCTAACTTACTTCATTCTATTTTCATACAGGGAAGGGCAAAACAAACGATCTTGAGTGCCACAAGGAACAAAAGACCCACGATTTCTCTGTATCAGTGTCTGTATCAGTGTGAAGTCTTGGATTGATCGAGCATTAGTCAAGCATAAGTATAGTAGCATTCATTACTTAAGTATAGTGGTTTGAAAATGCCAATAAGGGCAGGGTAGTTGAGGGTTACCGAAGAAAAGCTTCTCCTTCCATGGTTTCGGCAGGGCAATGATCTCTTTTAGGGCGGAACAGAATCATTATCAATCAGTGTGCTTTGACAGTTGGTTGGATTGCTCCAAGGTAGTATTTACTGTAAGTATTATTACTACTTGTATAACCGCGAATCGTATCACCGCGGGTTTTCCGATATCATTGAAACTATCAATATTTTCAAATTTAGGGGCATTGAGGCAATAATGATGTATACTAATAATACAGTACTAAAGCAATAACTAATAAGGCTTTAGAAAATCCAGAACAAGTGATGTACTCCGTACGGACATCTCAAAAATGTCCATTTAGGTTTCACTTGAAAGTGGCAGGGCAAAGAGGTAAGGGAGAAAATGGGTAAAAGAGACGAGACACCCCGGATAAGAATAACCTAATCCGGCTAAACCCCTCCGATGTTTTCTTACTTTCTTACGCTGTCTTACATATAAGGCTAAAGCAAATCAGTCCAATGATTATTTTTAAACCCTAAAACATTACAGTATAGTTTTACCGTACTACCGTTAGGTCGGCCGAGAATTTATAGTCTAAGCAAAGGAAATCTGGAAATCTACTTTATACATCCATCTAGCGATAATAACTCACCGCTTTCAAGTTCCCATCTACAGTACCTAGTAGCTTTTCCGGAGAAACTGAACGAAACTCTATTCTGTTGTGGCTGGTTAGCAATTAGCACAGATTCGGTATATAACGGGTATGATGCGACGGTGCATAAATCCAAATGTATAGAGGAAGATATGAAAAGGATCATAAGGTTAGTGGAGAGAGGAGTTCCTATCTTCCTTGTTTCCTTGTCTTGAACAACGAACTAGCATTCAGCGGCGTAGATCTTCTGATGCGGTCTTTGGAATAAGGTATAGCAAGGATCAAGATGGTGGTGTGTAGTGGAGGGAAGACATGATGCATCTTGATCCAAAAATAAACCTTGTGAATATTTACTAACTATTCACATACAGATATACATATTTACCATATATGTCTAATCTGATTTGCCATATTATTAGCCGTCAAATACTATGACAAACGAATCAATACCCCTGATCGATAAAAATAATCCATGATACAGTTGTACCCGCTAATGGGCATAGGGCTCCAGCCTCCATTTTTTCCTTTGCTTGAACTCATCAATGTCAGAGATTTTGTTGCATTATTGGGTTGTGAGAAGATTAATCACCTTCTTACATGGCATTGTAGTATTAGGGTACATCTACTGGCAGTAACGATGTAATAGTAGTCCTAGGCAAGTAAAACTAGAACTAAAATCGATCATCAAATTCGACCGAGGCATTTTTATTAACCCTTTTCTTCAATCAATTTGCAGTAATCATTGAAACGAATGGCAATGGCAAGGCATAAACCGAAACCGAAATATGATGACATTAGATCAGACTACCTATAATATGATGTTGCTACACTGCGCTACACTGCACACTGCACACTGCACACTGCAATGCAAATGTATGAATGTGAAGCAGGCCCGATATTTATCGATATCCCATCTATCCTCTGCTTATTCGGGAACATCATCCATAACCCCCAACCATCCATCCATTCGAATCATCCATCCATCATCGCCTTGTACTCACTCAATCAATAGCTGTGTTGATCAACCCAAACCAGCTTATTGTTGCATTGCAACATAACTTACGCTTCGACGCTCGCCGCCCGCCGCTCAAGCCCAAACATTACTTTTCAGAGGCAGGATGTGGCCCCAAGAGTTTCTCACAAGCTCATCCACAACGCATTCGTCGATAATGGCCAATATAAGCGAACGACTCCGCCTCACACTAAACAATTCGATTTCTTACCAGTGTCGCACTGTGGGGTGGGGATGAGATTCAAAAAGCAAGCAGATAGACGAGCATTCTACATGTCCAAATGAAGCAAACCTGGTGGGTGCACTTTCTCTTTCCACTCGGCTCTCGTGTCCAATTTTATATCATAACAATAGTGCGGTACGCTGAGAGGGGCCCTGAATATAGGTTTGCGCTGTTTCTGATGACAGGCTGACTGAAACTGCCGGTGGCTGTGCAAACTATGATGGCATGTTTGTCACAAAAAATCATGGGGCATTGGATACCGAGTTCTTTCTTTCCTTACCTGGCTTGACATTTGAAATACCCCCCTTTTTGCTATTGCCACGGAACTCGGATATAACTATCCAGCCCTATCCACCCTTTTGGACTGGCCCTCATCACATTACTTACTGGTACTATGAAAAGTGATGCGAAATAGAGAGTGTCAAGTGATATACAGTAATAGGAAAGCAGATGAACAAAATCGTCCGATTCAGACATCTACATTTCCTGGGTACAGTAGCATCTCCCGGGTTACCACTCCATCGGACTGTACATTCATTGGGTATTTCAGTTCCACAGTCTGCACACCGAAAGGTATTCTATAGGTACATGTAGTGCTGAGGAAAACTTGAACATCACCATGCAAATCCTCATGATTAGCAATCCGCCGGGAGCACAGTAAACTCCTACTTTTCACACCCCCCTAGTTTTCGGATCGACACAGTCTAAAATAGTCAAGTAGACTTATTAACCTTAGTAGAGCGAGCTTGATTTACGGTAAATTCTTTCAACTGCTATCTATAATCTACAGCACTAACCACGGAGACCAGGCGTGACCTCGGGCACCACGGAGCTTTCTGAGCTCGTTTTGTCTCACTGGAAGCTGGTACAAATCGATCCATGGGTTAGAGACCGAGGCTGAAGGGAGAAACCCCATCCTTATAATTTGCAAGGTAAACACTCATAGACGGGGCCTCTCTCGCGTGCATTTTGATCTGCGACTGGGTATTCTTTCTTATACGGTTTCAGTTTCCCAAGCTTCTTCTCGTTAATCATCATGGTCGATATTATTGTGAATGAAATATGAGTATTAAACCTAAACCCCCCCTTTTTGGTCACATTATTGCTTCTAGGTCTCCTCGCCAAGGATCAGGGTCTTGGCTTCACCGCCTTATATAGATTTGAATATAGGGAACTGTTGGCTGTGAGAGAGGGAGGGATTGGATTATTCATACATCATAAGGATGAGGCAAAACTCCCATCGTTTCCTTCTGACTGTGTAGCATATAAGAAAGGGTTGTCTGTCTATTGCCATTATGCTATGCATTGAAATGTTCTTATGAAGTTGTGACAGACATTACCCCGAACGCCCCCTTCATCGAATCCTGTCAATCGCGTGGCCAGCACAAGCAAGTAGTATGCATGAAACCTACCCTACTGAGCAATTACTATATTGAAGTAATAAGATCTGTACAAAAAGTCATTGGATTGGGTACAGTTACTACAGTAGTATCTGCGCAAGGCAAGGCAAGGAAAATATAATCCCAATCCCCAATAACCTATTTTTAGCACCCATATATTTTTTTTCGGGCTTCTAGAAGATCGATACTAGAGCTAAGAGCATGCTGTGATGCGTTGTGGAAAGAGTAGTTAGTGGTGAACTGAACACTACCGAACGCACGAAAGTTCTTACATGCAACATTGAGATACTACGTAGTATGGAAAAGTGGACAACATCTAACCTTACAGCTACCGCAAGCGAAGCGTAGAGAAAAGAATACTTGTACACTGTACATATATTTCTAATAATGATAATGATATAAATAATACAGGTATGCAGGTAGCTATGTTAATAATCAATTTTTGGGTTCAGTGGTCTGATTTGATATAATTCTGGTCCGATCTACTGAACTCCTCTATCGTCATGAGGGGCTACCGCTTTCTTCCCAGGTATTTTCGTAGATGCATGACTTGGAAGTTTGATCGCTCTGCTTTCCTGTGGTGCTCTGTGACTTTGACCTTGGTGATACATAGCCGTAGTTCCTCGGTCCTTCTCGAATAATAGCCTTCGAATAATAGCCTACCTACCTTTGGTATTTCCACGACTCTCTCTTCGAAGTGGATATGATTGGGATGCGGTAGTGTCCACTTGTTCCCGTTCACTGTCCATTCATCAATCGCATTGGTACTTTTGGCTTGTAGCCAACTTTGAAGCTTTCCAGCATTTCCTCATTCCCCCACTTTTCCCAGCGTCGCAACGTGCTCGGCTGGTTTTCTGAACAGCGCCGTTTACAGAAAATTCTTCACCAGTCATGATCGAGCTAGAAACCTTACCAGTGTTACCACCGACGTCGTTTTGCCTGGTTGATCCCTTATTTATTCCCCTATCATGTGGGTCCAACGGCGACGGCACGAGGCTACTGATATAACAATGAGGCAAAGGCGGCCATGTTGCAAGGTTTGATTCGTCTCGAATTTTAAGAACGCCGGAGTCCCTTTTTACTTTTACTACTCCCACTAGTCAGGGTTGCTATAAAAGCTTGATTTTGTGCAAAACAAGAAGTTTCAGAGAAATGACATACTTACCACGCAGATGGACCTCTTTTTAGAGATTTTTGGCGATGGAAATGGAGATTTTGGACAAAATTGGCATATGCACGTCAAATCTAAGCTCAGGGAGAAGCTCAAGCGATTATTCGATGAAGCTGCGAACGGCTCATCCGATAGGGCAAGCATTTTGGCGGTGAAGAAAGTCTATTCGACACCTGAGAGAGAACTTGCTCGATGCTCGTCTAACATCTAACATCTAATACCTAACACAGACTCCCCGCCCCATCAAGCTAGATCCTTCATAAACTTCATATTTCATCGCGTGGCCTTAAAAAATATCTTCATTAAGTATAAAAAGTCAAGGACCCATCTCATATTCTCAATATGAAGATTTGTTACGTCTAAAAACATGAGATCTCGCTGTATTTCCGGAGAAAGCCCCAAATGGAGAAATCCTCACCCCGGTTCCAAGCTTTCAATCCACAAAGTTGGACCCTGACTATGCAGTGTTCAATCTGCATTTGGATGGATTTCTGCATCGATGACGGCCATGAAAGAGGCTGAGGAACATGGATATTCCTAGAGTAACATTTTTCATGGCTTCTTGATGACCAATTAGAAGCTTGAGAAGCTTCGAATTCTATATGCAGCCACCGCTTGTAACTTAGGCTCGGAGAGCTTGGTGGAATGATTCCTTGCACTTCTATCCCTTGGTATCTCTTGGTGATAGATGTCATCCGACGGTGAAAAGTTAGAACAGAGTATTGAATCGTTTGAATGGGATTCAAGTCATGGGTAGAAAGAAGTCAAGAGAATATCGGAAAAAGTCAACGGTAATATCCGGGACCTAAAATTGTTGAGCTGAAATATCTACATTGGATATGGTTGTACTGTATAAGAAAAGTGTTCAATGACCATGTCACTTGCCTTGTAAATGATCTTATGGGGAACGAAATAAACTTTTGCATCTTTTTTCTCGGTAACAGCCTCCTAGGGCGAGCAGGGGAAAGGAAAGTTTTGGTCTTGGCTTTTTCTCGGCAACGTTGATATCGGTCGGCGTTCACTATCAAGGCTAAAAATAGTTTGAGATATATTGATGACTATACCTATTGGGTATATCCTGCACTGATTCTGTTGATCCACTTGTGCCACTGAAAACCCGCATGTTACCGAACAGCCTTGGAAGGGTTCTTGATCTCTTCCCGAGAATCTACCTCCGTTAAACCGAGTGTGCGCTGTGGAGTAGAAAAGTATAGATGCCGGGGACTTCCGATGCTAATTCAATGAGTGAAAGTTATTCCGCGACTAAGGGAAGACCAACATGGCATATTCCCTCAAGAATCGGACTTTTCCCTCCCTCGGATTCCGAGCAGACTCTCAGACCGAGTCTGAGGGTTCTGAGGCGGAGTCAATAGTCCGCTGTGGCTGCTTTTTCATATGCTACAATAGTATACTTCATCATCAAACATCGAGCAGCCAGAAAAACTTTAAATAGTATGGTATAGTACGAGTAGTGTAGACGGTATGGACTATCATTGGTACTACTGTACGTACCAACCGTGCGCTAACATCCCGCTTCCTCATCAGAACTACCTTTCTAGGCCACGCGAGGGAGAAAAGGTACTATGTACACATGCAGAACACCATGTAAATCTCTTTCATCTATGATCTATCCTATACTTGCATGATCTAAAAAGTGGTCTATGACGAGAGGGAACAATCCAATGTGTGCTTCAATCGTTGTTACATCCGAGTCATCGTTCACTCGGACCACATTGATGTTCATGTCCTTGAAATCTCAGATAGCCATTAGATCTTCCATGGTTTCTAGTCTCGGCATCAAGAGCAGAAGCTTCCATGCTTTCTTCCATATTCATCGTCTCTTCAGTACAGGAAAATACGAACAAATGAAAACCATGTTACTGTTACTGTATATGCTGCAACTACAAACATATTGGGAGGACCAATACCCAAGGTATGTGGTCTGGCCCATCTATGGACCTTCTTTTGCTGTACAAGCATCCATCGTACAGGAAGGGGAACAATAATACAAAAAGAACTTTTGCGAAGAAAGCAATAAAGATTGCGGGGTATGTTCATGTATGGCTTCACAATATTCCTGTATTCTCCAGCCCCCTCGATCCAATCTGGATAGTCGGTGAACGTGTGATCCTCGTTCGCATGTATCACTGCAGTAACCCCACTTCTATTGAGAGACTAATTGGAATAACGATTGATGGTATAAACCTGTAAATATGTATTTTGCCTGCTAGAGATCGAGATATGGTACTCACGCACATACAGGATAGCTCAATGGCATGATATGGCTGCTATCCAGTACCTAAGCAAACGAGGGACCTTCAAGTCTGACGATGCGCATCTCCAGCTATAATTGGTACTTCTCGATGTTATCGAATTCCCAAAGTTGGTCCGGTCCAATCATCTATATATGCGGGTATCGAATAAACCCATCCATCACCACCCTGATCTCTTTTCGGTCAATGCCCCTGACATCGTCCGATCATTCGACGAAGAACGAGATAATTGCCGGATGAGGTAATATATCGCGATTCCTACGCTTTTCCAAAAAAGACAGTCATGCACGCCGTCTTAGTCATTGTCACCAATGTTCAGGGGTCATATACACTCAAATGATTCCCCCGTCTCGCCTCCTTCAACAAACATATCCTAACTATATAAAGGCAGCCTCGAGGAGGCAAGACTGGAGTAAGAACTCTAACTAGAGTTCTTACTTTTATTCGATGAGCCACCACGACTTCGTGGTGGTGTAATCGTAGGGTAACAATAAATCCAATAAATGTTTTGACGGCGAAGTCGCTGAGGCGGTCCGGAATAGGATTTCGTCTTTGGTCGTTGGTTATGGTCATGGGCCATAACCCAGTAGTCGTCGACGATCCAAGAGCACAGAGAGGCGAAGCTTCGTTGTGAAGGAATATGCGCTGGGAGTAATAGGTCCATTGAGTCAGCATGCGAGGGTCGTCGATGCTGCAAATGTCACCATCGGGAAATTCACTTCTCATCCGTCAATTACTCACTCGTTGCAATCGAGCAGGAAATTTATGATGGTATTCAAGGATACATGGAAGAATGCTTTGCTAGAATCCTATACCTAGGATTTGTACACTTGGAGTTGACGATTTGATCCTTAATTGAATCTTGAATAAGTTTTCAATACGGAAATCTTCCCTTGCATATCTAAGTCGTCACTTTCGGGACTACGAAGTATCACCTTGTCAATCAGTAAGGAAAATATCTTTCTTGTTTCAATGGCATAGCCAGAGGTACAATAAGTCCAATTGGAACTCTTTCAATATTTGCCAACCTGCGAATATTTGAGAGTGGTTGAACTATTTTCGTGTATTATTATTCTAGATGGATTCGAAGCTCCAAATTATTTCGATGTGTCAAATAGATGGATGCAATGTTCTCAACGAATTAAATTTATGAGATAGGTTCACAAATCATGAATATCTCTCTGTCCGACTACCTTCCGGACTGTTGGAAAACTGGGCATATCCGCCAGTCAACATACTTTTACTACCATACTAGTTCGTCGGTCTATTCAAATATTCATCTATTTATCAATTCATCAGGAACATACAATCACTCGTCACATTTGGTTGCTACTCTCCCACAAATAAAGTCACTGCCAAGCTGTATACATTTATCTTTCTCGCCTAGCAAAGAGCAACACGCTGCACCTCTCCTCATCAATAGTTGTTTTCACAAGTCGTCCGACCAATTTCATCATCAATCTAATCATCGCTCATAAAAACACAGCACGAGACGAAGAAGCCTCTGAACGGGAGGCCCAAGCCCTAGGTTCGCAAAAGCAACTACGTGGTGAGCAGCCCCTTCGCTATCAAGTCGTATATACCACATCAACTAAGATTAAAGCCCCCGAGCCTCAGCTTTTGCTGTCGTAAAAGGCGCATTTGATTCTTTTGTATTGTAGGTATGCACAGATGGAGAAAGTAAAGAATATAGTCATCGACAACGAGGTTTTGGTTGGGAGGTAAGCGAGCTTCCGTGTATTGAATTTGATTTCTCGTGGTGGGGTTGTTTGAGTGGGGAATATTGAATACTCGCTTTCATACCAGTGGAGTGGAGGTAGCTCTTGAGACTGCGCTCTTGCATCAAGTTGATGTTTTGTTCCTTCATCTACATCCTCTTCTCACCTCCTCTTCTCACCTCCTCGCAAAATCTTTTAATATTCAATAGATGCAAGAGAAAGTTGAATCGCCTTAAGAATGAAACAAGCCTCGGCAGTTCCCGTGATATTGATTATTTTGTAAAGAGTACTTCTACCATTTCTAGATGATCTGAAATGTTCTCCGCGTACTCCCTCTTCATTACATCTTATCCTCACTTCAGCCTTTTGATTTTCATTTGCATCGATCCCCAGTATCCAGTTTCCTCTAACTTGTTTCGTCCCAATGTGGAATGTTCAACTTAATTATGGAGGTCCAGGTAGCATGATCTCTCTCTCTTTGTGTGTGTGTATTGTTGGAATGCAAAGGAGATATCGTACCAGCATACTCGAGTATTATGTATCTATATACCACACTCCAATGATTATGAAGTCTCTTCGTCATAAGCTGTATACTATCCACTCAATTACTCCCTTCTAATACATCTACACACACTGCATATATTTTATACTTCTCTCTCCTTATTCTACAGGCATCCACAGTCCCATCAAATGGACAACATAGCATGCACTCTATCCTCCACACACAAGGAAGGCAACAGCAAGATTAGTTCAGAGCATCAGCTCGGAGCCGATGTCCTTTCTACATCACCACCCCCTAGGCTCCTAGACACATTCTCCTATCTAGCCCAGCCTGTCCTCAATATTCTCCTCGCACAAATATACATCCACTCAGTGGCACTCACTTTAACACTTACCCCCCACCATTGAATCTTGTTCGTTCAGAGTCATTTTCCACACAAACACACACCATACCCATCCACATCCACACCCACACCCACACCCACACCCACACCCACACTTAACTCAGCTCTTCCGCACCCCCCCCACCCCAACAAATCAAACACGAGCTGTCCTCCATCCGAAACACCCTCTTCCACCTATACGAAGCAAGATCTACAAGCATACGCCGACCAAACTCTACCAGGCCCCACAAACCTCGTATTCGACCCCAGCTCTGCCCAGTGCCCACACTGCCCACACAGCTGATGATTCCGCACTACAGTACCTTATAAAACTCTTCGCAACCCGCGTCTCTTTCTCCTGAGCTACTTTATCTGCTGTATTTCCCCTGAGAGCTGAGAGGCTTCGGAGATGTCAAACTCTTTTTCAATGTTTAACTTTCTCCTAATGTTAAACTTTACCTCGTTCAATGTCCCACTCCCACTCTCTCTTTATCTGTATCTTCATGTTCAACTCACCTTCCCTCGATTGTCCGACTCCCCCTTTATCTTCATCTTCATGTTAAACTCACCACACCATACCATCACAATCAATATCATTATCCCACTCCTTCTCAACTCAATATCCAATATCCAATATCTGACCACTCAACCTACCACCCATCCACCACCCATCCACCACCTATCCCATCCCTCAACACCCAGCTCTCCCACTCCTCTATTCTCCCACTTTTCTCCTCAATTCTCCCCTCCCCTTTCCTCATCTCATCTCGTGTAAAGTGGATCCACCCCTTACTCTTCTTGACCTCCTCTTCGTATTGTACCCACCATACTACCCACCAATGCACTGTACATCCGCAGCACCACAGATTAGAACAGAATTGAGCACAGAACTGAGAATAGAATAGAAATAGGACAGCATAGTACAGCACGGAGCGGCACTATTATGATATATTCATTAGCATGATAAAAAAGAGGGCATACATCACCGTCACCGTTACCATCATCGTTACCTCACACTCCCATCTCACCCACACCCCACCCCACCTCACCTCACACAACAACCAAAAGCTTCCCAATAATCTAACATCATAAAATTCTCTACTAATATATACTATTCATCCACCCATACCCATACCCATACCCAACCACCCACACCCATTCACCCCAACTATATATATGCTATGCTACCTATGCTACCTATCTAACTATCTACACTATCTAACTACACAATGACCCCCAGAAAATCACCAAACATTAACACTCGCTATATTCGCTATGCTCGCCAAAAACAATGCTTGCTTGCGTCTCTGAAGCTCCACCCCATCAATCCCATCAATCAATCCCAATCAATCCCTTTCAAATCATCATATTATAGTGACCCTTCCCACTTCTTCACTTTTTTACTTTCTCCCTCTCAACCTAGTTTCTTGACTTCCCCAAGATCCCCGCATCCCGACTCAGAAGAAATACGAGAACGAAGAAAGAGAAGAAAGAGAAAGGAAAGAAAGAGAAAAAAAGAGGTATAAAAAGATCAAAGTATATCTATCTAATTTGTTTCTGCCTGCCTGCCTTGTCCTCACATCCATCCATCCATCCATCCCATTATCCCATCATCATCTTCATGAATGATCGTAGATAGATAGATAGATAGCCACCAATAACATCACCCTCCCACTTCAGGTTGTACTCATGCAAGCTCCAAGGCAAAAGAAAAATAAGGAGAAAATCGATCGCTGTGCCATCGTTTTTGCCAGAATGTTGTATGCCATTTTCCTCTTTCAATCCCTCGTCGATTTCATTCAAGTCTCTTCCAAATCACCAATTCCATCCACTTTCATCATCACCATCCACCCCATAAAACGGAACCTTTCTCACGCTAAATCTCTTTTGTAAATACAAATATTTCATGCATATCTTGCAAGCCTGCTTGCTTGCTGTTTGATTTTTCTTTCCATCATGAAGTGGCAAGTACTAGCTTGCTTATATCTGTGTTCAATCCCTAGCCCATGTACGCCCACCTGCCAAGATTGTTATATGTTTCAATTACCGGATCGCAATATGCTTGGATTTCGAATGAACCCGAAGGTGTTCTGTCCATGTTCATATTTACAGATTGTACATTGACCTCAAAGCTGTGATAGCTGCAGGGGAAATATTATTGCGGAGAAACGCATTAAAGTCTGGAATCAGACCTTTGTAAAGATCGAGGACCTGTAGTAAGAAATACAATGGTTAGCCTTGTTCAAAAATTATAAGGGTAAAAAACAACAACTTACGTGTTGGAATGCCTGTTGTAATTCGGCATTCCACGTACTCCCAGCTTCAACATCCTTTCTGTGTTTTGCTATCTCAGTGATAAACTGGGCCAAACTTTTTTCCATGGCTTGTGGGTTTAACATAACAATCGACAAAAAGCCCTTGAAAGCAGTAGCCTTTTCCAGGGTTTGATCGACACCTTCGAGAGCCTTCAGAAATGGTTGGGAAAAGGTAGCCAAGTGGGGTGACAGGATCTCAGCATTGAATAAACCCATTCGTCCTAGAGCTATCGCTGCATTCTCATTCACCGACTTTGGTACCATTGGATTGGACAGCATGTCGAGGAATTTTTCAGACAGTTTGGGCACATATGGGGCCATGTCCTTTTGGTATTGAATTGCAACTTCACCTGCAGACCAGCATGCATTGTTAAGCACGCTAAAGGTCGACTCAATCTGCTCGTCAACTATGGAATCAAGGTCAAGCTGGCGAATGAGCACAGGGAGAAGCGTGGGTAGGAATGGTCGTAGTTGTGGAAACACGTATTTTGCACAATCTCCTAATAATGCATAGGATGATTGGCGGACGTCGTTCTCTGGGTCCTCCATGCAATATACGAGAAGTTCGAAGAGTTGGGGTTGCGAGTCGGATACGAGCGCTGCAGATTGCGTATCATCAACTGCTTGGATGATAGCGCTCAATAAATCCAAACTAGTAACCAAGAAATCCTTGTCCGGAGTATCTAACCCTGGATTGTTAACCGCTGCCATGAATTCCTGTAGGTTTTGGTGGATGATTATCACACATCTCGTGAAAACGGGGGCGGCAAATGGGGCGAAGCTGTCCGCCAAAGCAGTAGCGACATATGACAAGCATTCTAGGAGTGGAAATAGTTCTCGGGATTGATCAGAAACTTTGTGCCATCGATGAATAAGTGCTGGCATCAATAAATCGATCAGTTCTGATTGTGCTAAGCCTTGCCCTACATGCTCGGCCAATGTCTGAACGCAATCGTAAAGAATGAAAATGTTACGGTCCTTGTATTTCTCAAAGCACCTGACGAATTGCTGGATGATTGGTTTGCAATATGGCGTAAGGTTGGCACCCGCTTTCTCTTCGAGATGTGCGAATGCCGAGGCTCCAGCTTCCTGCACCCTCTTATTGCGGTCCAACATCTTTGTCAAAATGCCCTCCATCATAGGCTCAAAATACTGCGCTCGAGCATTTGCATCTTGAAGCCCAGCCCCCCAAGCAGAGTATCTACCAAGAGTCCAGCAGGTGATTTGCCTAACTAAAGGTTCATCATCATCCAAAAGCGAGATCAGGTAGGGGACCAGATCAGGCAGATGTGGAGTAACGACATCCATACAGCCTTCTGCAACAGCACCGAGAGCCAGAACCGCTGCTTCTCGAGATGGCCATTCCTGGTGTCGTAGGTTGGTCATCAAATATGGAAGGATCGTGGTGAAGACTGGTCCGCGGAAATCGGTTGCGAAAACATCAAGTGCTGCAGCTGAACACTTTCTTAAATTCCATCTATCTTCGGGAGGCTCATCGTCATCGTCGTCCTCTATTTCTCCTTCATCAAGGTCATCATCGTCATCATCCTCATCATCGTCCATGCCTGCGAGTTTGGCGTAATCACCACCGTTTGCCGCTCCAATATTGTCGCCATTCGCTTGCATCCTGGCAGCCTTGTTTTTCGCGAATTTAGGTTTAATGTCCTCAGCGCGGTCCTCGATGTCGGCATCATCGCCTCCTCCTTCAAGCATGGCAATATCCTCCTCACTATATACCATACTCTCAAGGAGCACGGGGATAATTTTGTTAAGATATGGACCTAGAGACTCCCATATCTCAGCGTGTTCCCCAACTGTAAGCCAGAACTCGGCAGCGTCGCATGCTAATTCCTCGTCGTCAGTTTTTCGTTGCTGTGCTATCATGTAATCGACCAGGCCGCTGATATGGGGAAGGATCTTATCAGGTCGAATCTCCACAATTTGGACAAAAGCTCGGCAGACCTGTCGTCGAACTTCATTTGAGGGGTCGCTGGCGAGCTGAAAAAGGCGGTTGAGGAGATCATCCAGAGAAACAAGTAAAGCTTGGGGTTTGTGTGAAATGAAGATATTTAAACTGGTCAAAGCCAAAGTTCTGATTCTTGGCTTCTCATTCGTAGCGAACTCGATCAGTTTCGGAATAATGAAAGCAAGGGGTCGCTGCCCTTGATACTCCTTATCCAGCATCTTTCGATTATCTTCACAGATCTTCGACAGAGCTGCCATGGCTCCTTCCTGTGCTTCTGGTGAAATTGTGCTATCATTGTTCCCAATCAGAGCCAGCAAATCTGGTAATATCTGTGGCCACCCTAATATACCTCCCTTACTAACAATTTCTGTTATCACATTTCCTGCCAAATTTCGTATAGTTGGGGTTTTGTCCTGGAGTGCCAATGGAACCGAGGATTGTATAAGAGCTAAACTCTCAAGGGGTATTGATTTGTATCCGGATCTAACGTTATTCTTCAACATCATGGCTGCTGCTGATCGAATCGCGAAGTATTCATTTGGAGTATAAGTTAAGCCCGAGGGAACCTCCGAGTGAGAAAATAAGTAGGTAAGGTAATTATTGATATCGGGAGAAGATTTTGCTTGGGACAGCATCTGTTTGGTATGATAATTAGATCGAGCTCTGGGAAAACCATCCTAGCATAGGTAATGCATTTCCAAAGAAACAGCTTACAATCTCTGCCTGCTTCTGAGCATTCTTGTCATGCCCACCTAACGAGTCTTTCAAGCATCCTGACAATTGCTTCAAAGCCTCTTGTTCCGGCTGCCACGCCATATCTGTCACCCTCTCACTAGGAACCTGTCGCACGTTCGATTTGGAGTATTCCAAAAGATTCCGATATGCAGGTACGCACTTCAAGGTAAGGAATAGAAGCTCTAGGGGTCACACAAGAATTTTACTTGTGGGACGTTAGATGAGGTAGTTCGACATCTGTCGCAAAGGTTGAAGTGTTAGCCTATGATAATGACATATAAAATTATTTTTAGAAGTTATAGGTAACTGGAAAAGTTGTAAGTAAAGGGGGATAATGACTTACGAATTGCAATTATGAAGGGGGAGAAAAGGTAGAAAAAAGGTAGAATGTGAACTGTGTTACGATTCAACGAAGTAGAAGTAGGAATTGGTGGGGTTGTCAATTTGTTTGCTGAATCTAGCGGGCGGTAGGAAAAAGCTGTGTTCGAAATTTGGGGGTCGAATCTTACTAGTACATACGAACTACCCATATAACGCTTGCAGGGAGAAGGGATTTTTTTTGGGTTGAACTCGTATGTAATTGAAGCTTTTTTATTAACTGGCTTTTGTCGAGTTATATTGAATCGATGCCTTGGTGGATGGGAAGGTACAAGTACCTATCCTTGAAGATATATCGGTAGACAGATTGACAGATAGACAGATAGACGGATTAGACAGAAATAAGTTGGTAATACTGTTTTGGTTTTGGCGGTTACCAAAGGTCCTTTGAATTTCATTCCTAGTGGGTTCTGGGTTATTTGAACAGGCTGTTCTTCCTTCCATCTGTTGTTGCTTGTGGTTGAAGAATTATCATAGGCCAGTATTGAATCTCGCTTCAAAGAACAACTTCCGGGGGTAACAGAACGTTGGTTGTTCGGCATCAATTTGGGTGATTGAGTCGTAGAGTAGTTGAGTAGAATGATGATAAGATGGTAGGATGGATGAAATGGTGGAAGGGAGGACTGGCTCTAAATTGATTTTTTGATACTGTAGATATAGATATACTCGAGTAGATATACCTAATAGATACTAGGTATAGATGAAGATACAAATTAAATAATAAATTCCAATAAATTATCAATATAATAACACAAGAGTATTAATTATCAGGCAATGTGTCTTCCATTCCAAGGTTGATATTGATCTTATTATCACTTACTCGAGTACCTCATGACTGATATTTGTAGATACACCTACCTACCCACTTGTTCATACAATTTGTCACTAAGGCGAAGAAAGATATTTGAGACATCGTGTAACTTCAGAACCCAAAGTCCCCAGCCTAAAGAATATCGTATTCACGGAAGGTTTAGATTGCAAATACCTAGTTCTATCCATTCAATCAGTACCGGTATGGGATTTGCGTAAATGGGTCGGCGTATCGCACAATATTTCATATTCAATCGACTTATTGTCAGGAGCCAACAAGCCACTTCTTCGGACCTGCAGCTGGGACAGTTCATGTAGCTATCCGGTGACTGTAGCCCCAGCCCTATGTCATGAATCCAACTCATTCCCAAACCCCTCCCCCCAAAAATTTCGGGCCTCAGTGCGGCGGCAAACTGTATAACTTACTCGTATATCCAGGATAGAAATAAAATGAATGGATAGCCTCTTCTCCTTCAGGAAATATGAAATCGATGCTGGATTGAAAATGGCCTGGGAATATTGTATGCAGAAAGCGCATATGACACTATTGACACTTCGGCGATTTCTAGACAAGATTGACGGTTGTACACAACGAAAGATTTGATAGACACTGAAGTATTGGCGAAGTAAGTCGTGGGCCATTGAATGTCTTTAAAAGAATGTAGAAACAGATCGGATCTTGATAAGTTTCTGGTTCTGTTATTGTTGTACAGTGCGAGTAAGATCCCAGGGATTTGGTCCCGTACTTTGTCAGGTCGCACATCTGACGACTATGGCTATTGCTGTTCCACAGATGGATCGTGATACGAGCCTCCACGAAGACTTTTGGCCTATAAGTCTTTGATTTGAGGTATTACCATTCTTGAGAGGGCTTGAATAGCTCATTAGTCATTTCTAGAACCGACATTTGTACAACGGCAGGGTGCACAATTATCAAGTTGTAGCTTGTTTTGCAAGGACCCGATTCTCGGTATCGTCCGCTCTCCATCGTACGAGTTGAAATAATATGTGTAGTAGCTGGTGCTTCATCTCCATTTGATGAAGTATTGAAGGCAATGACGGCTTCGGTTTAGGTGCTATTGGTACCATTCACAGTTGGTTCACCTTCAGTCTTTCGCATTTGTTCCATGACAATTTCCACCACCTTCTTGAAACCTTCCATCTCCTCCTCAACAGTCCCGCCCATTCCTGCACTTGCGAAGCTTATTGAGTTGCCAACGTAGACAGGCTTTCCTGTTTTACGCGCCAACAATTTTGCAAGACGGGTCGTGAACTCGACTGAGGATTCGTAGACACACAAGGGTGTAGAAAGTGGCTGACTAGCATTCATCCTCTGAATTTATGTTAATATGAGTAGATGGATGTGGGGGCAAAGGATATGCTTACATTGGGAAGTGCGTAGACGAATGAACCCAGAGGTGGTGCTGTAGAAGTATCGCCATTTAATGCCGTTGTGAGGAATAACAATAACGAGACTTGGCTGATGGTCAGATGTAGATGAATACTGGTCTCTGGCGCCTTTGGTAGAGGAAATGAGATTTGAATAGGTGACTGCGGCGCGCCCATTGAAGATGTATTTGAATCCGCCATCTTTTGTTGATGTTGCCTATTTGGAGATGTTGTTTGTTCATGGAGTGGACAAAGTTATTAATGTTCTTTGGCTTGGCGGGGTACACTTGAATGCATGGGGAGTTTGGATACAGAGTGAACCGTCATAACAATCGTTTACATTTAAAATCTTTGCAATATAACTATCTACATAATCTTATGCTAGACTTGGTCCTGAAAGGCAAATTTTGCTGTAGTATATTCAGACATCTCGACTTTTGTATATATTTCATTTTTAAATCCAATTGAAAGTTAATTTTGACTCGAAGAACAAGACACTGGAAAGCGGTGAACAATAGTTGCGGCAAAATAAATGAGTTTCGTCATTGTTTGATTTTAAGAATAATTCTTGACCACAATCGAACGAGATAAACATCCTCACTTCTCCGATGGCGTATAGACTCATCGCGGCGCATGCGACACCTTCTCAATTGTCGCAAAGGGTTCCTTTGACTCTGCGAATTTCACAACCGCAATGTATATGCAGGTGTCATAGACCTCGAAATTTCTCGTCATCTGCGAGATTCTATCGTCAGAACAACGAATATAAGGATTCGTTTAGCACAAGATTACGGAGGGCTCTGAACGATACAAAAATAACATGGTATCATATACCTGTAGGCTTGGGTATAGGCTTCCTAGGACTTGGTCAGATATATCGAGTGAATGAGCGGGAGAAGGCAAGGAGGCGAGAAGAAGAAAACGAAGATGGAATTGTCAGGAGCGTAGGATCTGGGAGTAATGAAACCGATGAAGGATACCAAGGACGACCAAAAAAGAGAGAAAGAATAAGGCCCTCGGGACCATGGTATGTGTTCGCCTGATGTCTTAAGTGTTTATCTAACGCAATTGCAGGCAGGTTCAAGTAATGTCCACTCTTCCGCTGAAAGCTATGTCAAGAATATGGGGCAAATTTAATGAATTGGAAATACCTTACTATCTACGTGTACCGGGATTCAAATTATATTCTTATATCTTCGGCGTCAAGTATGTAACCTTTCATCCTCAAAAATGGACACACTCTAACTCGGTTTCTGCCAGCCTCTCTGAAGTATCAGAACCCGATCTTCATGTATACCCTAATCTAGCTTCATTCTTCTATCGTACATTGAAACCAGGAGCTCGACCACTTCATCCAAACCCGAATGCACTGCTTTCTCCAGCCGATGGTCGGGTTCTTCAATTTGGTGCCATCGAAAGTGGCGAGGTAGAGCAAGTCAAGGGAATGACTTATAGCCTGGATGCCCTTCTTGGTACCAGCAAACCAGCTACCACTCCAAACCCTGCAGATCCCTCCAACATATTCACACCCCATGCAGATACCACACCTAAACAGAGTAAGGCCAGGTATAGCGATGGGGACGAAGAGATCATCAAGCATGACGAAAAGTTCGCAACTGTCAATGGCATCTCATATACTCTTCCGAACTTACTTTCTGGGCCACCCCAAAAGCAACCCGGACAGACAACAAGTGATGCCTCCACCACGCCAAAGGCAGCTTCTGAAGCCGAAGTGCGTGCTGAACTTGCTCTTGGTGATAAGCCGTGGTATTCTCGACTTACTGCAGAGAATAAGACCGCTTTGTATTATGTAGTTGTATATTTGGCACCTGGTGACTATCATCGTTTTCATTCTCCAACCGCTTGGGTCGCTGAGAAGCGACGTCATTTCGCCGGAGAATTATATTCGGTGTCGCCTTATCTCCAACGAACATTACCGGGTCTGTTCACACTGAATGAGCGAGTTGTGCTTCTTGGCAGATGGAGGTGGGGATTTTTCTCCTTCATTCCTGTCGGTGCCACCAACGTGGGCTCCATCAAGATCAATTTTGATCGAGAACTACGAACCAATTCTTTAACAACAGATACTGCTGCCGACCGAGCTTCTGATGAAGCTGTGAAACGTGGGGAGTCATATAGTGGATTTGCTGAAGCTACCTACGAGGCTGCAAGTCCCATTCTCCACGGCCATGCCCTAAGGAGGGGTGAAGAGATGGGAGGGTTTCAGCTAGGAAGTACTGTTGTGCTCGTGTTTGAGGCACCTAAGGGACAAAGACCAAGTCTCGATGAAGGTTGGATGGGACAAAAAAGGAAAGGAGGGTGGAATTGGGCCATTGAGAAGGGACAAAAGGTAAAAATGGGCGAACAATTAGGATGGGTCGATGAAGCATAATATCTACTGGACCAGGGAATTATGGGATATTCCAAAAAGTACTGGTACTGGTACTGGTACTGGTATTGGTACTTGGAGCAAATACGCAAATACATGTAGATCATTCAAATGTGGTTCAATATCATAGGGGTCCTCAACCCATCAAGGTTGGCCATCAAGGTACCCACCCACCTTAGATTTTGTATATACAATCTAGGTACTTATAACTCTTCAGATTTTGTATTAACAACAACAAAAGATATTAAACTATAAACTTACAAACTTACAAACTCACAAACTTACAATCATGTTAGTCACCGAAAATACACATATTGATAGTCATATTCATGACGTTCTCATCGTCGGCGGAGGCCCTTGCGGTCTTGCTGTAGCTGCACGTCTCTGTGAAAGCACCCCTTCATCACTCTTTACCGACTCGGAACACCAACGTTATCACTGGATGAAAGCATCTTCAGCTCGTCAAACTTCCAAGCCTTTCAAGACAAGCCGACGTTCTCATACAGCAAGCGATCGATTGGTGCAAGGTGCGTCATGCTGTAATGGTCTTGATATCGCTGTGCTAGATGCGCATGGCGGCGAATGGATGAGTGCTTGGAATGAGAGATTCAAGAAGTTGGAGATTAGTCATTTGAGAAGTCCCATGTTCTTTCACCCGGATCCGAGAGATAGAGATGGGTTGAGGGGATATGCGTGGAAGGAGGGGAGGGACGATGAACTTAAGGAGATTCATGGCGTTATTGGAAAGGAGTTGAGTAAGCATCAAAGAAAGCAGAAGATGAAGAAAAAGTAGGTAATTCTGTTTCCTCACTTTACGAAAATATCATGAGAAATGTTGAAGCTAACTGGAATAGTGGTAGAAGCAAACAGGAAACCACATATCTCGATGAACGAGACCGACCTGATTATTTCAGACCAAGCACCGCCTTATTCAAGAGCTTCTGCGAGGACATCGCCACTCGTTATGATCTGGCCAGTATCGTGGAAAAATCTGAAGTTAATTCTATCGATTACAAACCCAACGAATGTGCAGATTGTCCAGGGGTTTTCACTCTACAAACATCTACTGGTACAAAACGAGCACGAATCGTTGTCTTTGCAGCAGGTGCTGCTCTGGACCCAGCTTTGCCATCGGATTGTCCATTCTCCCACTCAGGAAGCATAACCCACGCCCTTGTTCCTTCATATCTCAGTTCGAACGATACACTCCTTCCTCCACATATGGTCCATAGAATCTCGCGCAAGCAACGAACGAACCTTCTCGTCGTAGGCGGCGGTCTTACCAGTGCCCAAATTGCAGATGCAGCCCTCAAACGCGGCGTCACAAAAGTATACCAAATAATGCGTGGACCTCTCAAAGTCAAAGATTTTGATTTAGAACTTGGATGGGTTGCAAAATTCAAGAATCACTTCCTTGCTCGCTACTGGAGTGCGGATTCTGACGAGGAGAGACTGGAAATGTTTAAAGAAGCGAGAAATGGCGGAAGTGTCAACTCGGAGTACCATCATATTCTGAAGACCCATATCTCGAAAGGTCGGGTTTCGCTTCATGAATATACAAATATCACTTCCGCTTCCTGGGATTCCGTTTCATACTCGTGGAAGGTGAAGACTTCTTCTGACTTAGATCTACCTACATTCGATCATGTCGTATATGCAACAGGTTTTGATATCAACTTTGAAAAAATTGAAGCAGTACAGCCGTTGCTTGAAAGATATGGCATTGAGACGGTTGGAGGATTTCCATGTTTGACACATGATTTGAGCTGGAGCGATGAGGTACCATTTTTTGTAACTGGAAGATTAGCAAGTTTGAGGATGGGTCCTGCTTCGCCAAATCTTGAAGGTGCGAGAATGGGTGCCGAAAGGATTGCTGTAAGTGTTCATTTCCTCTTTCTTGCCTTATTGACTGCTCTCGAGGTTATGAATATCTGCTAATTGTTCGCAGTGGAAAGTAGGTGAGCTTCTAGGACGTGGAGAGCCGGACAGTAAGGGTGAAAGACGGGACAGTGGTTACAGCAGCGTTGATGGCGGGGATGAAGGTGTCGATTTCAGAAGATTGGGTCTGGGGGTGGAGAACCAATTTGATGTTCTAGATATGGGAGATGATAATTCTGGGAGTGAGAATTGAAGCGAATAAGATACCGAAGATACTGACTGGTACCCTTTTGAGTTTATAATACCCAACAACGATCAAATTAGCTAGAATATACAATGGAATCCGAACTAATCAAATTGCATCTCATAGAGATTATGTATTTGTAGATGTAGAAGTGCATCGTGAAAACAACTTACATTAATGGGCCAACAACCTTTATAATGATGGACCCCTCGGTAAAATGTGGAAAGGTCGTCCCAAAGCTTACATTTAAAGGTAACGTGGAATCATCCAAGATCTACGACCCAACGGTATTAATTGAATCATTTATAAAAACAAACAATATTCTTTTACACATGCCTTCTCACCTTGGTTAATAACCAAAAACTCTCAATGTTATTATGAAAGAAACCACGTCTTAAATCGAGCTAGCATCATCTTATTCGACTGATCTTCACTTCATCGCATATTGGCCAACTCGATCACCAACTTCAAGGACGCATTCCGAACTTACAAGAACCAGCGTCTATCATGTCTCAATCTCTAGAGAATGAGACTGGTAGTAATGCGCTCACAAATGATGAGGAACGCCCCGAATTACCAACTTTCACTCTTGCCATTGTCTCTCCTTCAGTAGAGGTCGCGAGCCCATTGACTTTCCCCCAATTGTTGGCGAGCACTACGGTACAAGAATTGAAAGCAAAGATCAGAGATGTTGTGCAATCAAAGCCGACCGACTCAGCCCAACGACTGATTCATCGTGGTCGAATGCTTGAGAGGGGATCGCAGACAATGTTAGAAGTCTTTGGTCAAGAGAGCGTGAGAACACATTTACACACACAAGTAATGCGCTTGCTGACTCTGTTGTTTAGTTATCAACTCTGGATACTCAAACCCTTCATCTTGTTCTCCGACCTGCTCCTCTAGAAGCGACCCCAATGGGAATTACAGATTTTCAAACACAAAACACCCCCTCAAATATACCGCCGCCCCGGACTTTGACCCCTCCACCTCAGTTTCTTGGGGTGCAACACCTACAACAACAGCACACTGATTTTCACCATGTCGCACATACACATCATGCAAGGACGGACAGATTACAGCAATTACAAAGGGAGACACAGCGTCTGCAGCAAGAACTCGAGGTAGACACTCGGGCTTACCAAGCTCAGGTCGGACGCCTCATGAATCTAGGAAATCATGTGCCGACACCATCCATTGTCACTCGAAATCCATATGTACCTCCAAACGTAGATCCTACCCCAATTCAACAAATCATCGCGCAGCATCAACAAAGGCGAACCGCGGCACTGGCAGAATATCATGGGGCTCGGGATATGGCTGGACCAGCAAACATGCTCACGGCTCTACAAGACGAAATGAACTCCGGTAGATCAACACCCCAATTTAGGACTCCAGACCATAGCGCTACCTACACGCGGGAAGGTGTCGGCCCAAACGGAGAGAGATGGCAAGTGACGGTGAACGAGACTACAACCACAGTCCCTGCGCTTCGATCAATCGAGCGACATAACCATGGACAGCACCCTCCATCTTTAGGCGCAGCTGCAGGAAACCCTGCGTTAGATTTACAGAGCATTTTGCGCAATGTGGACAGATTAAGGGCTGTTCCCCAAACACCCACAGTGCCAAGATCTTCATCAACTCCTTCATCAGCGCAATCAGAAACTCAAACTCTTCCATCTTCTACCCCTGCACCCGCGACCACATCTGCTCCTAGCACACCTCTCTCCACTGTGCCCCTTAACCCAACCGCAAACGTGTCTGTACCAAACTTGACCACAGCCCCAACGACTTCTACCAGAATTACATCATCCCCTTCTGTGGAGCCCATGGTCTATATACTTACGTCTCCCTCAGGCCCGCGTGCCCTATTGGTAAACAACTCCGAGACTTTCTATACACCACGTGCTCCAAGAGTTCGTCAGAATATTGCCATTGGTGGCCGAGATCTACTTGGCCTACCCGAATATCGCAATAGAAATGCCCAAAGGGCTAGAATGGCCCGTGGAAATCGACCGCGGGCAAACGAAGCAGCCCCTGTCGAACTTGCACCTATCGAACTTGCACCTATCCATAATCGGGCTCAAAGACCAGCGGTGCCTATCGCACTCCAAATATTCAATGCACTTTGGTTGATTGTTAGACTAGTGGGGTTCGTGTGGTTCTTCACTTCTGGAAACAATAGTTGGCCAAGGCTTGTGATGATGAGTGGGCTTGCAGTAGTTGTCTTTCTCGTCAATACTGGAGTTCTAACTGGAGTCTTTAACGGGATTACTGAGCAATTTTGGGGCCCGATCAGAAGACATCTAGAAAATCTGATCCCTCTGGCTGGACCAGACGCGGCGCTTGTACCTGCAGCAAATGCTGCAATAGTACCTCAAAACGGAGCGGCCGAAGCGAATGCTCAACCTCGATTACCGCACGGCCAACTTGACGAGACTCAGGTGGCCGCAAGGATCCTCGAATTACAACGACAAAGACAAGCGCAACCAGGTTGGCTAATCACGCAAATTCGGAGGGCAGAACATGCTGCGCTTCTTTTTGTAGCGAGTCTTATTCCCGGTGTTGGAGAGAGACACATTGCTGCTCGGGATAATGCAGCGAGAGAAGCTGAGGCGGCGGTGGTCGAGGCTGAAAGACGTCGTGTTGAAGCAGAGACCGCGGAGAGTGGTGCTGCAGGACATGGACAGGATATTGTCAGTGGAGCAACTGATGGCGAACAGCAGCCCGAAACAGTTGTTGAAGGAAGAAGAGCGAGCGGCGAGAATCCTAGACCGAATGGTGAGGCAGAGCGCGAAATACCTCCAGCTCAGCCTCTGGTTGTCTGATAGTTATTGATTAGGGTGTAAAAAAGAATAGTGATGAACACTGCATCAGCGAATATTCTTCTAGAGACTTTCTCTTACTTTCCTAGACAGGCACATATGTACAATTGACCGCTCAGCGTCTAAGACTTTAATGATGAGATGAAGCGATTGATAGTAGCTTAGGCTGAATACGTTGATACCAATACAAGACTCTTTTGCAAACAACGGGAATGGGTCGAATGAAATGAGTAGCATATAATGCCCAACTACAAACTAATAATAGTATCTCTACAACATCTTCTACCTTTTACCTGCACCATACCCTACTAACCATATTCCCCCTATATACACCCACCCATCCAACCTAGACCTCCCTCTCCCCTTCCCCCTCCACCCCTATCACAATCTTCGGACCCATCTCCCTCACCCTATCCACCAACACCACACTCGCCTTCAAATTATCCGCACCACTCATCGCCTTCACAATCATCGTTTCACTCCTCTCCCTCACAATCCTCCTCAACGCACTCACCAAAAACGCACTCACCAACTCCACACTCCACGTATCGGGGATCATCCCCAACACATCCCCCACATCAAACCAACCTCCGAAGCGCTCCAGCAGTGAACTCGTTTGTTCTACCCGATTACTCACATCGTCTATTTTGAGGAACTCGGTGAGTAGGGAGTGAAACAGCGCTGCTTGTTCGGAGCGCGTGGGTAGGGTTGCTGGGGATAGCGTGCCGGAGATGGGGTGGTAGATGCTGGAGCCGCCGAGCAGACAGTAGTTGATGGCGGTGTCGTAGTCGCCGAGCCCGTGGGTCAGGAGACGCAACGCTTCTTCGTGGAGCGATTGCCGACCGTCGAGGATGATGATTTCGGGTACGAGTTCGTGCGTGTAAGGGGCGATGCGGGCCAGGATGGCGGCGACGTCGTATTGGGATGCGGATCCTTGGCTGCCGCCGAGGAGTTGCAGAAGTCGGAGACGACTGTGCCACCATTCTTCGTCGAGGGTATTCTCGGTGATGAATTGGCGGTAAGTGGGTTTGGGGGGTCGGAGGGCCCGGTAGGATTCGTAGGTTTGGATAAGGACTGCTCGGACTTCGGGAGACTCTTCGAGTTTGGTGGTGACGATGTCGAGATAGTATGCAATGAGTTCATTTATGTACTCGGAATGATGCTTTGTAAAGACCAAATACTCGAGGAAATCTTTCACCGCACCAGGCGCTCCCTCTCGTAATATTTCGAGAGCTTGCGTTGGTTCAAACTTGACTCGACTTTGCCCGTCGGCAAAGACTTGAACCCCAAGTTTGGGATTTCTTGATGCCAACCAAACACCATATTCTCGCACAAGAGCAGGATTTCGAACATTGATCAGATACCTCCGTACCTCATTTTCACCATCTAGGAGCTCACCCCCTTCATCTTCTTCTCCTTCAATAATCCTTTTCCATGTGCTTAATACTTCTTCAGTCATCTTTCTGCTTTGGTACAAACGACTGAGAACATATAGGCGATTATGAGACTGAAGCAGTGAGATTGCTCGTTCGAAGCAATCAACACCGTTGTCCACTAGGTTGTTCAGTTCTGCTCGTACAGACTTAACTCTCGCTGGCCCACGAGGAGACGATGCATCTAATTGTAGTAGTACAATCAGGAGAGCAGCATCGACGCTTTTGAAGACCTCGGTCTCATTTGAAATGCTGCCGAATCCTTTTCTTCGACGCCACGATAGCAGGAATCTTCTCAGAAATCGAAGAACCTGCTCAGACATTATGCTCTGATTCTTTGAGCTTTGAACATCCGAAATTCCATTGGTTATGAAGTTGTCTGCAGCATCCTTCACGCCACCGTGAATCCAGATTCCTGTCTTTCCTTCAATGATCTCGTGTCGTAGGACGGGAACAATAGCAAGAATAACTCTGGGATCAAGGCTTCCCTCCGAAAGAGCCTCTTCGGCAGCTCCATATTCAGCCTCTGTAGCCTGACCGGCTGGAGTCGTCAATAGGCTTATGAAAATGAGCAACCCAATTTTCTGTCGGATATAGCCCAAGCTAATAAATTCAGTCTCGGTTTTGGCTTCACGGCCGCGTAGAGAATTCATCAATTCAATGGCTTTCCTTCTATCAAGAGATGGCACTTCTTCATCCCCGGTCTCCATGCCAAGTTCCGCATCAAGGCGTAGAGCGAGTGGGTTTCGGACTGTCCACCATACGTTCTTTCCAGACCAAGTAACCACACGTGATTTTGATTTCCCCAATCTTTGCGCGAATTGTTGCTCTTCATCGTTACGACGGGCTTCCCAGCCTGGCGAGAGCGATTCTTCGAATAGCTCTCTCTCGCCCGAAACTCTTTGTAGTGACATTGCAGTTGGAGAATCCGCACTTCGCAGAGATAGTGTGGATGTGTTCAAAGATTTCAATGCAAAAGGTTGAAAGCGCTTTAGCCGAAGTATGTCGACCACGTCGTCAAAATAAACATCCCCGGGCTGAATTACCGTTCTTAGTCCAATCTTACTTTCTCCTCCATTACCACTCGCTTCATCCAATGGTGGAGCTTCCAGCCAGAACTTTTGTATCGCATCCTCCCCAGGATCAAGGTCCCACCGTTGAATTTCGATACCATGCCGCAGTATATCACCATCTTCAAATGTCATGGAAGCAAGCACATATCCTTCCTCCTCTTCCATTGTATTAGGGACGGGGTCGACATTAACACCACGCCCATCAACAACAACCTCGTCAGGATACCTGGCAAAGTCTAATGTTGATCTAGTAACGTCACCCTCAAGATTTACGAACATGCCAACTCCATGATCACGTATACCAGTCCCTGTGACCAGAAGAAACTCCTGCGGGGAAGGCGATACTATGTGGGGCTTCAAGTATACAGACGGCATGGGAGATGTAGGAGCTTGAGCGCCGGCCACCGAGAAATCAGCTGGTGGAGGTGGTAAGGGTTTCTCTGGACTGGGCTCACGCTGCACAGGCCCCGACGAACTGACTGCAGGGACAGGCGAGGCGTCTCGAAACAAGCGGTCGGGAGTACCTCGCCCAGAACGATCCCCGCTTGCAGCTCGTAGACTGTCTCGTCGCGGACCGGCTCTGAAAGCACCATGACTTGTACTTCTTCCATGACTCCGTTCATCTGATGGGCCCGTAAGAGTCAATGATGAGTTGCGTGAAACCCCCCCACCGCTCTTACCAGATATATCCTCGACCCGCCCACCCACACTACCAGACTGGGAATCATCCGAGGTTGATATAGGAAAGAGGGGTATTTTTAATTGACGATCAACATCGAGTAAAGCGTAAGACCTAGAATCTGCAACACAAGCAAATGAATCACGGCGGATGGATATAGTGCTTCCTGCAAAATCTATTGTCTATTGATACATCAGTCCAGCACTTATGCATGACCTCGACTAAACGTACTCTCACAGCTCGAGGATCTTCCCCAATTCTCACAACTCTCATCTTCTTATTCAGCGAAACAAGTACAGTAACTCCTCTGCCATCTTGCTCAGCGTTTATTGGATCCGTATTCAAATCTGTGCCGCCAATCCAGTTGCAAGGCCGAATCTGCGTTGTCCCAAATACTGGACTTAATTCTGGCAGGGAATAGAAGGTGACTGTCCAGTTGCACAATATGCAAGCTTTATTGACTCTCGGAAGCAGTAAAATCTGTTGAACACCAGGCCTATCTCGAGTAGATGGCTCATGATAAGCGGGAGGTAGTCTCGAGGCTAGAATATATGATGGCTTTCCTGAGGTGTCGGCAGGATCGGAGGGGATCTGTACGAAATGAAGGATTTCAGAGGCCGAAGTCCCAATATATAGGTTCTGATCTGTGAATCCGCATCAGCAATAGAAGAGGACATTGGGGATTTAAAAATAACAGCAACTTACCTAGAAATTCCACACAATTAATCTCAATATCCGTCCTATCTCCATCTGCAGACAAAGGCAGGTCCTCGATCAGGCTGCGTAGTACGTAGGGACCATTTTCCGGAACTCTTCGTTTCCTTTTCCGCAGAGTCGAAACATCTTCTGGATCATTTGAAGCCATTATGAAAGGCTTACTATCAACTTGTAATTATCATGGCCAGTGCAAAAGTACTCACTCATTGCCCTTGAGCATTTGCGGCGCATTGGATGATAGTGATTATCTGAATCTGGGTTTAAACATATCAGGCTTTGGTGCCTGTGGGAAGGCTGTGGCTACAGGGATACTAACTCCAACTCGCCAAGATACACCCCGAAGGCTCGGGGTTCTGCCCAATAAGCAATAAGCATGAACGAACACCTTGCATTCTGCGTACGAGGCATCGCATTGCTCGAGGCTTAGAACCATTTAATTCACTACTTGTACATACCATAAATAAGCTTCAAGGTCACTTTATTCCTTTGCCTTTGCCTTTGCCTTTGCCTTGAAATTACTTCACTCCCCATGTCGACATTGCGATGACCGACTTCGCAGAATCAGCACTGGCAGCTTCGGTGTCAAGTCCTCCATCTCCGCCCGCAGATCATGGAGTTTCAGGACATGATGGAGACAACAAATTCCAAAAGGCAATATCGGCGTGGAGGAGTGAGTCCCTGATGTTCTACAAGACTTCAATACTCGTGCTAATTATCCACAGCTATCGACCTTACCTCCATGATACCGTCCCTTGACAATACCGCATCAGAAATCGTTCAATATCAGAGGGACTCAACCGTGCAGCGCAAGGAACTGGCACAGAAGACGAAGGATTTCCGGAAGTTGGATGACCCAAGCAAGCTATCTGAAATCAAAGGATTACTGAAAGGTTGGCATTTCTTGAGATGCGCAATGCATTGGCCTTACTAACACAGTTATCTACTAGCATATCAGACTTTCATAGATCTTCTCACAAACCACACTAAATCTACGAATTCAGCCTTTCTACAAGTATACTCATCTTTATCCGAGGCTCCAGATCCATATCCTTTGCTGGAAGCATCTGTCGATTCCCTACTGCTATCCGAGGACACACTTCCTAAAATCACACAAGAAAATGAACATCTTCAGAAGAGTGTTAGTAAACTTACGACTCAATTGGAGGATACGGAATCTAGATTAGAAGCGGAAAGAATTACGCGCAAGAATCTGGAGGCAGGTCTAGAAACAAAAGTCAAAGATGTCGAAATTTCTTGGGCCGCTGTGTTGGAAGAGAAGAAGGACAATTGGGAAGCAAAGGAGAAGTCATTAGATGAAAAAGTGGAAAACCAGGATCGCTTATTGAATGAGATCAAGGCGAGCTACGAGGTCAACCAGCGCCTAGGACAGTCCGAGAATGCAGATATGGATGGAAATCGCGGACATGTTACGAGTGCGGAATTGGAGATGGTCACATCCGATTTGGAACGCACGAGCGTCCGTTTAGCAGAAGTCGAAGCTCGAAATGAGCAATTACGAATAGAATTGGCTCAGTCTGCTTCTCAAGTTCCAACTCAGCCAGCATTGGCTTTGGAAGATGAACCCGCCTACTTGCGCTTGAGATCGGAAAATTCTTCGTTGTTGAGGAAATTAGACGCAGCAAGAGTGGAAAGGGATGCCAGGAAGCGAGATCTTGATACAAAGCTTCGAAGTTTGGAGAGGGAAATTGGGTTACTCAACGAAGAACGCGATTCACTGAAGACTAAAGTCCAAAGATGGAGCGATTATGAAGACGTGAAGCAAGAACTGGAAGTCTTGAAGAGTATCGAGTTTTCTATGGGAGACGATGATGAAACGCAAGATATCGGTGCTGATTCCAGTACTCAAGAGCCGACAGAAAATGGATCATCAGGAAAAGCAAAAGGGGACACCCTAGAGCAGCTGCTTCTTGCCCGGAATAAGAAATTGAGCGATGAACTCACAATATTGAGAGTTTCTCATCAAGATCTTCAGAGTCGCCTACAAACCATGCAGGAAACTCTTTCAACTACCAATGCTGATTTGGAGAAGGCGCAAACTTTGGTCACCACATTGGAGAATGACCTGACAAATATGCAAAACGGGGCGAGCGCCTACCCTTCTGCTCCTTCCGTAGCTGGAACGTATTCAAGCCGTTACCCTCAATCAGCCATCGGCCAATTTGCGTCGAGGAACCGTAAGATATCTCCCACATCTTCAATCATATCTGGATTTGATCCCAGAACACCAGCAGGCAGCACGCCTATGGATATTCTTAGATCAGGCGAACCTGTAGGTGGGGGTTCGGGTATTCTTCCCATGATTACGGCTCAGCGTGATCGATTCAAGAAACGCAACTCGGAATTAGAGAATGAGCTTTCCGAAAGTCATCGCACAGTTTCAACGCTAAGGCAAGAAATCTCTGCTTTGCAAAAGGATAATTTGAACCTGTATGAAAAGACAAGATATGTGTCAACATATAATCGAGCAGGCCCAACAGCTTCATCAGCATCATCGTACGCTACCAACCCCAATCCGTCGATAGTCCAAATCTCCTCATCGACATCCTCAGGTCTTGCCTTGAATCGATATCGTTCGGCATATGAATCCAACATCTCGCCCTTCGCGGCATTCCGTGGGCGAGAATCAGCTCGCGCATATAAACGAATGAGTTTACCCGAAAGAATAGTATTCTCAATCACAAGAATGGTATTAGCGACCAGGACTAGCCGAAATCTATTCGCAGGTTATTGCGTGGCCCTTCATCTAATGGTGTTCTTTTCGCTATATTGGTTAGGTAGTGTCGATGTAGATCAACATGCGAGTCATCTAGGTCAAGCGGCACTCGCAGCCGCCGGGGGTGCTAAAGGAGTAGTTGAACCAGGAACGGATGCTAGGCAAGGTGATTGGCATCAGGAGGGATTTAATGGGAAGGTGTCTTGATGATTGTATGGATGGATGGATGAATAGGGAATATGTTGTACTATCGTGTGATAATAAGAGGCCATTTGCCAATTTTCTTCTGGTACATAACCGGTTCCAAGATTCGTCATCGCGTGTGTATGTATTGCCGTCCATCCAAATAATTTGAGACATTATCATGAATAGCTATTTCTAGATTAAATGCATGGCCGCGACCGTTTATTTTCTTGGGATTTCAACATTATTGGCCCTACCTACTGGTCTCCCTCCGATGAAGAAACTAATACGTTCCGTTCCGGCAGAGCTAATCCCTGATTGTGGAGCCATCTATCCATCTATCATCTACTCATGCTGCCAGAAAGTCCGCAACTCGGGTAAACCAGCACATACCATATAATAGTAAACTACAAGAGAGTAGCCTAGTCCTTTTAGCTCCTGAGTTGCGGACTTTCTGGCAGCATGAGTAATCATCTATCATCTAATCATTCTTCTAGTAATAAGGTAATATTAAGGCTTAAGGTATCTGATTGTGGATTCATAACATGTATTACCTATTCATGGATATGAGAATCAGCTAGCTCTGGCTCTGGCTAGTCAAAATAGCCATGATATAATAACATATACCGTACATGTACTATACTAGAACTCAGAAAGCAATGATTGGAGAAAAAAATCTCATGGTCATCCAATAAACAAATTTACCGCTTGTAAGACTTGCCTCTTTCGGTGGGATATATATAGATCTTGGATCTTTCTTAGTTTTGGGGTTTTAGGTTTTGGGTTTTGTGCTCGAGGATGTATGTACTCTAAGCGCCCATTTGAAATCGTGCAGGCAGGACCAATCGGGTATTTTAGATGCGATGCTGGTTTCCTTGAATGAGGGTTTTGGACTTTTGGACTTTGGGACTTTTGCTTGGAGGTAGAATGGATATTGATGGGAGATGTGAGTGAGTGGGTTATATCTATAGCATATCGATAGTACTAATGTAGTAAGTTATGGTATGGTATGTTATGAGTTGGATTCGATTGGATTCAAATGTAAATCGGTAACCGGCAATCTGGATATAGATTTTCAATAACGTGCTATTACTCTGTAGATGTCGTTGAGGGTGGGGTTTCCTGGTTTAGATTATTGATGGAGTTGATGGGTTGGCTTGGGATAGAGAAGTACTGTAGCTTCATCGACTTGATACCGGTAGATTGTAAGACTAATCTCTCCAATTGTTGAACTAATTATATATCTTGGATGCAAATTTGAGTCTTTGTACCTTTAAATCTAAGTGTACACTTCACGGAAGTGTAATTGTGTAACAGCTTTGAGTTGGCTATTCATCGATCTCCTCCTGTTTCTTCGTTTAATTGTTTTGCAGCAAGTTGTAGAAGTAGATTCATACAAAACGATATCTTAGGAAATTGTAAAGCATTTAATCAAAGCGTGCAGTAGTCAGTATATCTTGTAATACATACTCCGTATAGTGGGATGTGTTGATGACCTTGTATAGGATGGTTACACATAAGGTGGTCTTGACCGACATCAGCACCTTAATATTAGAAAAAGAACCCGAAAGGATTCTGGCTGTTTTCCTCACATAATCCCTTTCCCTTCCTCGTCCATCCAACTCGGGCTCTCATTTTTCATTTCTCGGGTCATCTTAGCTGATACAATCATACCGAAGGAATGGTCACTACAGCCCTGTACAGTCAGGCTTTCCACTAACCCTTTCATTTAAACAAGTTGTCGATTGTCCAACTGTTGGTCTTGCGTCTTATAACTAATTGAAGGGTTTCATGAAGAAGATAGATCTACATCTGTATTGAAAATTAAGGATAAACCCCCCCCCCTCCACCCACCGACATCTCCAAATTCGCTTTGGTAAACAGGCATAGTAAATAGGCAAAGGTAAATCGACGGACCAGAGAGCGCATCAAACAGATCTCCTTTCTCCATACAGGTATCCACCAACTTCCCATTAAGTCTTTAAGCGTATCGGCAACCAATCTAATCCATCACTGGCATTCATTTGAACACTAGACGCAAAAACACCCGTCAAGTATAAATTCATCGAGAACCAATCACTCACAAACATGAAGAAAGATGAGAGACTTGCCATCAATGCCATGCAACAGTCACATCAAACCCCCTGCGTATAAACCAGGATACATCTGCAACCTAATCCTCCCCCTGTTTCTCTCGACTGGTCTGTGAGGCCTGTCTTGCCGCCATACCAAATATTAGTTCGGTCTGGGGGACACCAACCTTTGCGTTTCCCACTTTAACGAAAAAGTTATAGTTACATACATTTCATACATACACATTACATGGTGGTAAGCGGCTGTTTTCCAGGATTAGTATCAAGGGAAGGGAATTGCCAATGGAGCCGAAGTGTTTTGATACTATAAGACGCCTGCTGAGCGCCTGTGAGATATGAATTTTGGAAGTTCAATTATTCATTGAACAGTTAGAACTCTTGGGTGCGCTTAAGAAGTTTTATGTCTGTTGGTCTCTTGTTTTCCATTGAGGTCATAGAATCTATATATCCGACATTACATCGAAGATCTATTCTGGCTCATATATTTATATTTCTTCATTCATCTCTTTTATAAAGTGTGGAATTGGACGTCTCGGTTTCTTTCCTTTTGGGTGTTGTCTTCTCTGGTTTTTAATATTTCTTACCTTTCTTCACTTCTTTAACTTTTTACTCAATCGCAATTCATATTCATCATCATGGTTTCTTCATATTTTCTTTGGGTCGTCTTTGCTCTGGGAGCAACGGCTCTTCCAGCTCCAGCCTTGACCTTTTCAACTGGTGCAGCACAACCCGCAGAAAAACAAGTCATATCCGAATACTTCGATATGTTGGGTCAGAAAATTCAAGCAGGAAGGAAAATGTCGCAGGCTCCGATATGCAACCTCAACAAAGCCGTTCAACCAATTTTATGTATGTCTCCTCACACCATCCACATAATACTATATAAAGTTCTCCAACTAACTAACGCAATCATCACAGCTCCAACACCTTTACCCGGACCCTCAACAGGTCTCATCTTAAAGCACGTCGCCATCGGCCGCGGAACCCAAAACTACACATGCGGCACCAACGCAACCGCAGCTCCCGTCGCAGTAGGCGCAGTAGCAACCCTCTTCAACGCCTCCTGCGTCGCATCCACCTACCCGGATCTCCTCTCCAAACTCCCCAACGTCGCCCTCCAATTCAACCTCAATCTCTCCCCCTCCTCCCCCATGCAAAACCTCAACCCCGCCAACCTCATGATAAGCGGCCACCATTTCTTCACCAACCCTTCCACCCCATTCTTCGATCTCGATACTAAGAATTGGGCATTGGGACGAGGAGCCTTTGCGAAAAGTGATGCACTTGCAGCTCCGGTTGGCGCATCGGTCGGTCAGAATAATCAAGGGTATGGCGCGGTAGCTTGGTTGAAGTTGACGGCGAAGGATGGGGTGACAGGTGGTCTGCAGGAGGTTTATAGGGTTAATACTGCTGGGGGGTCTCCACCAACGACTTGTAAGGATAATCTGGGGAGTAGCTTTGATGTGCAGTATGCTGCTGAGTATGTTTTCTCTTTTTGTTTTATTGTTTCAAGGTGGATAGTATACTAATATCATACAGATACTGGTTCTACGAAGAAGCATGAGCATATCTTTAAATCTACAACGACATGTTCATCTACATCTCAGCACACCAAAAGATATCACAAATAGGTTCGACGATAAACGAGAAGGCAGGCAGACAAGCGGGAAGGGGACAGGTCATGGATATAATCTTTTCTTCTCTTTTCCATTCCTTTCAATCGTTACATCACCCAGGAGTCGTCTATCCATCCATATCCATGCATATAGGCGGCGTCGAGAGTCTATATTTTCATATCATTATTTTCCTTCCATTTGAATGGCTTTGGTTTGGCGTTGGATTTATTAGGTTTATACATTTTTCATGCTTTGATATCCAATTTATTGTGGAAAGGAAAGCTAGGGAAGGAATGGAAAGGGAAGGAAAAAAGGAG